CCAGGCTAAGCATACCCAGTTCCTTCAACCATTCCTCATAAGGCTGGGTTTCCAGACCCTTGATTATCTTGGTTGCCCTCCTCTGCACATGTTCCAGCTTGTCAACATCCTTCTTAAATTGTGGTGCCCGGAATTGGACGCAGTATTCCAAGTGTGGTCTGACCAAGATAGAATGGAGTGGTGCTATTATTTCCCTTGATCTGGACACTATACCTTTTCTTTCGCTGATAAAGTATCTCCAAATAGAAATAACTGGAAAGGGCTTGCTCAATTTAGAGTCCATTTTAAAACTAACACTGTCTTTGGGAAAATCCAGTTAGGAGACAATTCATAAACTGTTGGGAGCAGTTGTCTGGATAATCTGGGTTAATGTGAGTCATTCTGCACCGCTTCTAGAATGCCGTGAGAAGACGTCTCTCCCCTGTGTGTCTGCTCCTCCTTCTACAAAGCTCATCTTATTCCTCTGAGTTCTCAGCAGAATGCTAAAATCAAATGGGCCACAGGTTCTTTCCTTAGCCATTTTCCGGGGCCAAGATGATATGCTTACCTTTGCCTTAACAACATGGTAGGCAGATTAGCCTAAATCTTCACTCTCTGGCTGGCCTTTTGCAACTAAATCTGCATTTCTGAGCTCTGGCTTCACAGCTCACTAGACCAGAATAAAACTGCCCTGTGAGGCATTTTTGCTAAAAATAGCACATACAAGGAACCCTCAGATTTAAACAAACCCAGAACCTAAGTATTATTTCCCTGGCCTGATTTTTTTCCCTCTTCAATTATTTGGGGTGGGGAATAAATTTGATTCAGTTCACATTTAAGGGTGAACCTACTTAATTTACAGGTTCGGAAATTCGCACTTCTCGGAATTTTGCAATGTAGCACTGCAGCCAAGTAATTTGTACAGAAATGCATATACTAGGGTAAAGCGTGCATATAGTTCGGGGTGGGGGGAACCATGCACTTTATTAGGCCAATTTGTTTTGCAAGAAAAGTGTATATTATGCAAAAATGCATTTAAAAAAAAAGGATATATTAGGAGCAATTCACACTAAAATGCTGGTGTTCATGAGGACTTCCCAGTGCTAAACTATGAATATAGTTATTCAGTGTACACATGGAGCGTGGAATTGAGATTGATTCCACATATTCAGCATTATCGCCTTCATTTTGACTTGCCGTCCCTTCATCACAGCAATTTCTATGACAGTCTTAATTCAGTGTGAATTACTCCTGAGCAGGGATGGACAGATTAGCCTGTATCCGTTCTATGCCAATTTCATGCCTAAACAAAACTGGCTCCCATTTGTGAGTGGTCCAAGGACTACTTTTCTCTTTCTTTAACATTTCACAGCTACTTAGAGCAGCTATTATTTCCTCCATGGCTGCACAGTTAAAGGAGAACTGGGTTGTATGATATCCAAATGAATTCTACTCCCAGTGGACCCACTGACATTAGGAAACCTAAGTTGGTCATATCTATTATCTTAAATAAATCTACTCTGAGTAGTGCTAGTATTGGATGCAACCTGCTGTATTCAAATGCTCTCAGTATGTGACTGGAAGTGAACTTCTCATAGCTCAGCCAGTAGAGCATGAGAATCAGGGCCGTGGGTTCGGACCCCACAGTGGGCAAAAGATGTACCATATGGAAGAAAAGATGGCTGCCACTACAGAACCACAGGGCAGCCATCTTTTTTCAGTGCGATGTCCTCATAAGGTTACAAGGAACCTTATGCATAGGAGTAAATAGCTGCCCATACATAAGGTTGGGACACAGGTGGCGCTGTGGGTTAAACCACAGAGCCTAGGGCTTGCCGATCAGAAGGTCGGCGGTTCGAGTCCCCACGACGGGGTGAGCTCCCGTTGCTCGGTCCTTGTTCCTGCCCACCTAGCAGTTCGAAAGCACATCAAAGTGCAAGTAGATAAATAGGTACCACTCCGGCGGGAAGGTAAACGGTGTTTCCATGTGCTGCTCTGGTTCGCCAGAATCGGCTAAGTCATGCTGGCCACATGACCCGGAAGCTGTACGCCGGCTCCCTCGGCCAATAAAGCGAGATGAGCGCCGCAACCCCAGAGTCGGCCACGACTGGACCTAATGGTCAGGGGTCCCTTTACCTTTACCTTTTACATAAGGTTGCCATATTCTCAAAAGTGAGAATCCAGACATAGTTTTGAGTTGTGGTTTGGGATTTTGGGTTGTTGTTTTGTTGTCAAAGTTGTTGAGCTCCCCACCCCCCGGACATTTTGCAGATTCAGCGAAAATCTGCCCAGATGCCATTTTCAAGCCCGATTCCCGGAAATCTCCAGGAAAACTCAGACGTATGGCAGCCCCAACCATACATCATGCAGGCAAGTGCATTGTCACTGTGATGACACAGCCATTAAAAACCATGTGCCTCTTGCGAGAGGGGACTTACGCCACTCCTTGCCTTGTGGAGCAATAAGTGCCTGACCCAGGCCATTTCTGCCTGTTGAATAAACTATCTTTAATTAATTCCCAGCTATGTCAGGCTTTAATGAACAGTGGATTCATATTAAAACGTTAACAAAAAAAGAAGAAGCTAGACACAACAGCATCCATTGTTCTTTCATTTAATGAAGCTCATTAAAGTTGATTAAGCTCCCCTAGTCCCAGTCCTCTGATTGTGTATGTTGGTCATTACCATAATGCAAGGCAGCCTTTGGAATCTGTCCAACACCCATCAACTGAGGCAATGGCCTGTCACTAATCCTACATCAACAGACTAATTCCCTCCCTCCCCCCCAAAACTCAGTTTTGCTGACTCACAGCCAGACATTCGCAGCAGCAGAGCAAAAAGGCCATATAGCTGGTGGCAGCCTAGCAAGTGAGAGATGTCCGTGACTTCACTTCCTCTTCATTGGTTTCTGCTTCTGGCTTGCTTTGATGAGCGGCGGTGCCCTTCTGGCTGCCTGGAGTGGCACAGCCGAAAGCTTTACAGTCTGAGTACTTCACAGCTGCAAGGGGGGGAAAGGAGAACATTGATCTCTTTCACACACCCCTCCCCATTGCGTTTATCTCATTGTAGTTTGTGCCTTGACCCGCTCTGGGGAAATGAGTCAAAGAACGCAAACATCATTTGCATCCAAGCACAGCAGAATCTCCCAGGACAACTGAGTGCATCACATTCAGAGTATGCAAAGGATGTCCTTCTCCCTTTGAAGAAATCAGGCAGCAAGGAGAATCGTGAAGGAGGAGGCATGACAGTTCCCCTCTACTGGGGGACTGCATTGCAGGAGGGGCTTTAGGACCTCACGGTGACCCAGCGGTGAGCAGAGGGATGCTGCCCACGTCACTAGGGCACCCAGCCGCGTCACGCCCCCTGGCCGACCAATCGTGTGAGCCAGGGGGCGTGGCCACTGACTGTTTAATCTGTGGCATGGCTGGGAAGGCTGCCTCCATTCATCTCCGTCAGATCTCCCAGCCCACCAACCCCCTTTTCTTGTGTTGCTTGATTATGGCCTTGCTATGACTAAAGTTAGGGATGCAGGTGGTGCTGTGGGTTAAACCACAGAGCCTAGGACTTGCCGTTCAGAAGGTCGGCAGTTCGAATCCCCGCGACGGGGTGAGCTCCCGTTGCTGGGTCCCTGCTCCTGCCCACCTAGCAGTTCGAAAGCACATCAAAGTGCAAGTAGATAAATAGGTACTGCTCCGGCGGGAAGGTAAACGGCGTTTCCGTGTGCTGCTCTGGTTTCACCAGAAGCGGCTTAGTCATGCTGGCCACATGACCCGGAAGCTGTATGCCGGCTCCCTCGGCCAATAAAGCGAGATGAGAGCCGCAACCCCAGAGTCAGTCACGACTGGACCAAATGGTCAGGGGTCCCTTTACCTTTACCTATGACTAAAGTTGTAGGGGGCAGGTAGGAATTTTTCCACTTGGCAAATTGGCACCAGCCATTTGGTTCTCGTCTACCTAGTAGCAATCATCACAACTTTGTAAAGTTAGGCATTGGGTAAGCCTTACCATGCGAGGGGCAGTTGTTGCCTCCAGCCCGCTCCTCCACATTAAGGGTATCCCATTAATTTCCTGATCTATGATTGCAGTCATGGGATTTTTGTCTTTCACATAATGGTATACGTTTTGACTCCACAGTGTAGGAAGTGACGGAGACAGGATGTTTGTGTTACTGTGTTCCGTATTGTCCTTTGTTCTTTTTTTCTTTGCTGTCTGAAGCTAGAGAGAGAGGGAGCCATGTTGCAGTGCTCCGTGTGTGTTTATATGTAAATAAAGTCGATTAGCCAAAATGCTGAGTTGCTGAGGTCTGTCACGAAAAGCTGTGAAGACTCTGTGGATCCCTAAGTGTGCCGGTGTCAGTTGGTATCAGTCACTGTGATGTTTGGGCTGAAGAAAGCTTATGAAGCTCCCGAACAATCGACCAGGAGAGAGGGAACATGCCAGTTGGGCATCTGTCTCTGCCAGGGTCCTACTCGAGTGTAGGCTGAACTCCTGACAGTGGTTCCTGTCCGAAGCCTGGGTGTGGGCTAGGGCCATGCCACAGCCCCATCGTAGGAGTGCTCTTAATTGATGTCTATCATAGGGCTCCCCCTATCAGTGGTCTTGGGATGTCCTGCAGACAGGCAGGAGTCAGTATATAATCTTGCTTCACCCAATTGCCTAAGCCAAACCACTCACATCTGTAACCAATAAAGTTGTGGCCCTGTTTATCCCATTAACCCAACATATTCATGTCTGTGTGTTTATTTCTGTGGGAACTGCGGGGTGCGGGGCCTCGCCACGCAAGTCCCAAATGACTGGAGATTAGGGTAGGGATAGTCCTCTCCCTTTGTAATGCACAGACTACCTTTCGCGAAGAGGAACACAGCCAGTAATAGACAGAAGCATGGCTTTTACAGGTCCCAATTGCTCCCTGGGGATGGTGGTACTGGGTTACTGCTTTTGGTTTGATTTTATATGTTGTGGTCTTGTTGTGAACCGCCCTGAGGCCCCCGGGTACAGGGCGGTGTATAAGCTGAATAAATAATAATACAGTGGTACCTCGGGTTAAGTACTTAATTCATTCCGGAGGTCCGTACTTAACCTGAAACTGTTCTTAACCTGAAGCACCACTTTAGCTAATGGGGCCTCCTGCTGCTGCTGCTGCGCCGCCGGAGCCTGATTTCTGTTCTCATCCTGAAGCAAAGTTCTTAACCTGAAGCACTATTTCTGGGTTAGCAGAGTCTGTAACCTGAAGCGTATGTAAACTGAAGAGTATGTAACCTGAGGTACCACTGTAAAATAATGAAGCCTTAAACGGTTCAGGACCGCAATACCTCAAGAACCGCCTCTTTCCATAGGAACCTACCCGGACCCTGAGATCACCTTCTGAGGCCCTTCTACGTGTGCTTCCTCCATGAGAGGTCCAGAGGGTGGCAGCACGAGAACGGGGCCTTCTCTGCAGTGGCTCCCTGTCTGTGGAATGCTCTCCCCAGGGAAGTTTGCCAGGCACCTTCATTATACACCTTTAGGCTCCAAGCAAAAACGTTCCTCTTCAGCCAAGCCTTTGGCTGATTGACATCCGATGCCCTTTAAAATGGGGAAGGGGCGTTATCGGGTAGTTTTTGTTTTTATTATATATTTTGGGTTTTTATGTTGTGATTTTATGTTGCAACTGCCCTGAGACCTGCAAGTACAGTGGTACCTTGGGTTAAGAACTTAATTCGTTCCAGAGGTCTGTTCTTAACCTGAAACTGTTCTTAACCTGAAGCACCACTTTAGCTAATGGGGCCTCCCGCTGCCACTGCGCTGCTGGCACACAATTTCTGTTCTCATCCTGAAGCAAAGTTCTTAACCCAAGGTAATATTTCTGGGTTAGCGGAGTCTGTAACCTGAAGTGTCTGTAACCTGAAGCATATGTAACCCGAGGTACCACTGAATAGGGTGGTATACAAATTTAATAAATCATAAAATAATAAGAAGAAAAACTTTGCTGGATCAGACCAAAAGGTCATCTAGTGTATCTTCCTGTTTTTCAGGGGAGTGTGAACTCTGAAGGCTAGCTGTGCCTCAGTTTGTCTATCATTTTGGAAAGACCAAATTCGGTAGGTTCACATGTGAACTGAATCGAATTTCTGCCCCATGCCTGCCCTCAGGATCTGCCTCCTGAGGTGGTTGACGCACTCTGCCTAATGACAGGACTGGCCTTGGTGTAAAAAATTATATGCCTCAATTTTATTTGAAGGTCTGAAACGGCATTGGTAAATAAGGTGAAAGGGAAAATAAATGCCATGGACAAGCCTACATATCAAGTATGCACAGGGCTTAAACAATCCTGAATCCAGGGGGCAATTTTTCCGTTTTTCTACTGCTGTTTTGAAAGCCTTACATTTGTAATTGTTTCATAGTTTACAATTTCCGCCACAAAAAACCCATCCTTCTAAACACCACAAAGATGATACATTTCCTTTCAAAATATGCACTCCGGACCAAAAATTATATTCCCGGAGACTCGAAATCATTAAGGTGACATTAAAATAACCTTTTGGAAAATTGTTCCGTAGAGACAGGCCTAACCTTTCTGCTTCCACTATATGAAACAAAACTCTACATGAGGCCACATTAGCGTTGACATTTTTGATCAATTGAAGAACTGTACAGCAGGGCTCAAGGTACCTGGACACAAGGACGCTTCACTTACCACAGGAGCTCAGATTAGAAATTCGTTAGCAAAGTGCTCTGCCTTTCAAAGAGCAAAGGTTTTCTCCATTGACTAAGCAGTCGCAGAAGATTGAGGAGAGGCTCAGAGATGTATTGAACTAGCCATGGGGGATTAGGGTAAGCAACCAATCAGGTGGACTGTGGTTACCCAGTAAACCATCCACTTCAGGGATGTTTGAAGAAACGGCTCTCTTCTCTAGGAAGCTATTTCTGCCTAAATAACTAGCAATGCATTCTCAGGCCATGCAGAAGTGGCTGTGCAGCTAATCCAAGGCAGGGGATGGATTCTGCATTTTTCACCACAATTGACTCATATGCAAAGTATGTTCCCCATTTAAAGGTCAGGTAGTACAATCCAAAAGGACCAAATTGCACATTGGCTTGTGTGTCCCCTTGTTACTCCCACCCCACACACACCCCACACACTGATCTGATATGCTAAGGCTGCTACAGTTATCAACAACAATAAAAAGCGAGTTTTCCATTAAAAAGTAAAAAACCATGGATATCTGCAGCAGCACCCATTGAAGTCAAACAAAGTCTTAGCATTTCCACATTGCTGGAAACAAAATTAAAACAAATTCTTCCTAAAATATGTAGGTTTTTAAAAATGTAAATTTTCTCCCCGAATATCTATCTAGTACCTCTCTCTCTCTCTCAGATATTGTATGTGTGTGTGTACACACAGAAATATACATACATATTTTGATAGATTTCAGATATCACAGACCCTCCAATTTCCCTATTTTCCAGGGACGTCCCTGATTTAGAGAAGCCGTCCCAGTTTCTGATTTGATCCCAGAATGTCCTATTTTTCCTTAGGATGTTCCTATTTTCACAGGAGAAATGTTGGAGGGTATGGAATTATCCGATCCCTGAGCTGTCTGAAGGGAATCTTGTATAGGGAAGGGTTTTTTTTAATGCTACACGTTTTATTATGTTTTTATGTATGTTGGAAGCTGCCCAGAGTGGCTGGGGCAACCCAGCAAGATGTGTGGGGTATAAATAGTAAAATTATCATTATGGAATGGGATGTCCCTATTTTCATCGGAGAAATGTTGGAGAGTATGATATCAAGAACTACATTACAACATTCAGAGAAGTGCTGAACCAATGGATAGATAAGTTTTGATCAGCACATTAATCAGAGATGTGTCGCGATCAGGTCATTTCATACAGGAATCTGCAAAGATTAAATTCATTTTTTGGTGGTCATTTGATAGAAAATCATGTATTGCTTTTCTGAAGATGCCAACGGTCCGTGGAGAATTTCTAGGGGAAATAACAACAACAAGCCACCTAATAAAGAAATCTATGGTGGGGAACGCAATGTAATAAAAAAAGAACACGAGTAGAAGAACTCTTTCAACAACTCTCTTTCCATATCTGGTGACATTTACTGTTCATCAAAAATTGATACGACTGATTTTAAAGCACACTGAGAGAAGAATTCCCAGTGACACTGTCATACAATATGCAAAAAGAAAAGGAACAGGGTGATGGGCTATTTGCAAGGTGCTGCTATTAAGAAGAACTGGGCACCAATTAAGAAAATTGTAATGAAACAGTTAAGAAAAAAATGAATGTCGTGCATATTCTTAAATAACTTCTTTATATATGGGGAAGAAAAATAGTTCCAAGGTAACCATCTCTTTGTAACATTTTTGCGTGACACAAAAAACTGGGTGTTGTAGCTTAGGCCAACCACCAACAGTCAACAGCGTTGTTGTGAAGATAAAACAACTCTTTGAGCACCTAGAAGGAAAGCTGCAATAAAATAAATATATGAATAGGTGTGTGGCCTCATTTCCCAGTGATTTTATAGGAGAAAGTACTTAGGCATTAATTTGGGACAGATTTGCAATAGGGAGGCCTGACCTCCAGGTCTTGGGATCACCAGGCGCAAACCTGGCCCTACCAGTGGTTTTTTCAAACTTGGGTCCCTGGCTGTTATTGGACTACAACTCCCTGTGGGAAATTGTTGGCATGGCAAATGAAAAAAAGACAAAAACTCAACACCGTCGCGAATTTGGAAGTGGAAGGAAAGATTATACAGAACCCAGTGGAAATTAGAAAGTGCTTCCAGAGGTACTTTAAACAACTATATACACAGGAGAAACAGAAAGAAACGGACATTGATAAATTTTTGAAAAAGAATGGATTACAACAAATTTCCCAAGAAAATAAGCTAATGTTGAATTATAAAATAACGGAACAGGAAGTAGAAGGGGCTATCCAGAATATGCAATTGGGTAAATCCCCAGGGCCGGATGGACTGACTTCAAGATATTATAGATCTTTGAAAGAATGGTTAATACAACCTTTAAAGGAAGTCTGCAAAGAAATATTGGAAGGGAAACGGGCACCAGAGTTGTGGAAGGAAGCTTACATCACACTTATACCGAAAACAGAGACTGAAAAGACACAGCTTAAGAACTACCGCCCCATATCATTGCTCAATGTGGATTATAAAATTTTTGCAGATATTTTGGCTAAAAGATTAAAAAAGGTGTTAGTAGAAGAAATTCATAAAGACCAAGCGGGCTTCCTCCCGGGCAGACACTTGTCTGATAACACGAGGAATATAATTAATATTTTAGAAAAATTACAAGTGAAGATTAATACTAAAGCAGTTTTGATATTTGTGGACACGGAGAAAGCCTTTGACAACATTTCTTGGAGTTTTATGAAGAAAAATTTATTGGGGATGGGGGTCGGTCAAGGCTTTGGAAACGGTATAGGTGCAATTTATTCAGAACAGAAGGCTAAATTAATTGTAAATAATGTGGTGACAGAAGAATTTAAGATTGAGAAAGGAACATGACAAGGTTGCCCAATCTCTCCTATCTGTCCTAGAGGTTTTGTTAAATATGATTAGAAGGGACCAACTGGTAAAAGGTATACAAGTGGGAGCTAAACAGTACAAATTGAAAGCATTTGCAGATGACCTGGTATTGACTTTACAGGAGCCAGAATCTAGTACCAAAAGAGTATTAGAACTGATTCAAGAATTTGGTCAGGTTGCAGGTTTTAAGTTGAATAAGACGAAAACTAAGGTTTTAGAGAAGAATCTAACTGAGATTGAGAGAGATAAGTTTCAGAAGGAGACAGGATTGACACTTGTCAAGAAAGTGAAATACTGTATTTAGGGGTTAACATGACTGCTAAGAATGTGAATTTATTTAAGGATAACTATGAAAAATGTTGGACTGAAGTGAAAAAGGATTTAGAAACATGGTCAAGTTTGAAGTTATCGTTGCTAGGCCGAATCGCTGTGATTAAAATGAATGTATTGCCAAGAATGCTGTTTTTGTTTCAAACATTGCAAATCTTGGACAAAATGGATTGTTTCAAGAAGTGGCAGAGAGATATCTCTAGATTTGTCTGGCAGGCCAAGAAGCCTCGTATAAAATTTAAGATATTAACTGATGCCAAAGAAAGAGGTGGATTTGCCCTGCCGGACCTTAAACTTTATTATGAATCAGCTGCCTTTTGTTGCCTAAGAGAATGGATGCTTCTTGAAAATACCGACATGCTGGATTTGGAAGGTTTTAATAATGTATTTGGCTGGCATGCGTATCTGTGGTATGACAAGGTTAAAGCACATAAAGCGTTTAAAAACCATATTGTCAGGAAAGCACTGTTTAATGTCTGGATAAGATACAAAGATCTGTTAGAAAATAAAACCCCGAGATGGCTGTCACCAATGGAAGCAAAGGCTCAGAAAAAACTCAATATGGAGGCCAAATGGCCGAAGTATTGGGAAATTCTGGAGCAAGAGGGAGATAGACTAAAACTGCAGAGTTTTGAAAAATTAAAAAATAGAGTGCGAGATTGGCTTCATTATTATCAAATAATGGAGGCATACAATATGGACAAAAAACTAGGCTTCCAGGTAGAAAAATCAAAATTGGAAACAGAATTGTTAGATCCTAAAGTTAAGAATTTGTCAAGAATGTATAACTTGCTGTTGAAATGGAATACTCAAGATGAAACGGTGAAATCTGCTATGATTAAATGGGCACAAGATGTTGGACATAATATTATGATGGCTGACTGGGAACAGTTATGGACCACTGGTATGAGGTTTACGGCATGTAATGCCTTAAAAGAGAATTTAATGCAAAAATCTATCATTTACCTGATAACAAATGTTGGAAATGTGGGGAGACTGAAGGCACATTCTTTCACCTTTGGTGGACATACCCAAAGATTAAGGCATTCTGGGAGATGATTTATAATGAAATGAAAAAGGTATTTAAATATACCTTTCTGAAGAAACCAGAGGCCTTTCTCCTGGGCATGGTCGGCCAATTGGTGCCAAAGAAGGATAGAACTTTTTTCATGTATGCCACAACAGCAGCAAGAATACTCATCGCAAAGCACTGGAAGACACAAGATCCACCCACTAGGGAAGAATGGCAGATGAAGCTGATGGACTACATGGAACTGGCGGAAATGACTGGCAGAATTCGAGACCAGGGAGAAGAGTTGGTGGAAGAAGATTGGAAAAAAATTAAAGTATATCTACAAAAATATAGTAAAATTAATGAATGTTAGAAGGATGTTGGAATGAAGTTACATGGTTTTAGCAGAAATGTTATTAAGAACTAAGTAAAAATAGGCTGTTAATAGGTCAAAGGATAAAATTTAAGGTCAGATCGGGTTAAGGTAATTTATAGAACAAAAATTGAGAAAGATGGAAAGGATTTGTTGAAACAGCTAAATTGAATTAGAATACAAAAAAGGGAGGTGTGAGGAGGTCGATGAAACAAGTAAATGAAAGATAAGGATATGGAAATACTGGATGTGTTTTTTAAATGTTTTTGTTTTTAAATGTTTTTGTTTTTGTTTTTTTCCCCTTATTGTTGTGCTGTATTTTTTTTGTTTTTTTTTGTTTTTTGATGTATTGTATTGTAACTTTTTAATCTCTCTTTTTTTCTTTTTTTCTGTAATTGTTAAACTTTTAATAAATATCATTTTAAAAAAAAGTTATTGGACTACAACTCTCATTACCACTGGTCCTGCGAGCTAGGGAGGATGGGAGTTGTAGTCCAACAACAGCGGGGGACCCAAGTATGAGAAACACTGCACCTACCCTCTCTTTGTCCCTGAGAGTAGGTTATAAAGGTAAAGGGACCCCAGACCATTAGGTCCAGTCGTGACCGACTCTGGGGTTGCGGCGCTCATCTCGCTTTATTGGCCGAGGGAGCCGGCGTACAGCTTCCGGGTCATGTGGCCAGCATGACTAAGCCGCTTCTGGCGAACCAGAGCAGCGCACGGAAACGCCGTTTACCTTCCCACCGGAGCGGTACCTATTTATCTACTTGCACTTTGACGTGCTTTCGAACTGCTAAGTTGGCAGGAGCAGGGACTGAGCAACGGGAGCTCAACCCGTCGCGGGGATTCAAACCGCCAACCTTCTGATCAGCAAGTCCTAGGCTCTGTGGTTTAACCCACAGCACCACCCTTATCCCTGAGAGTAGGTTATACTTCTCTTCAAATGCTTTAATTCGCTCCTGTGGGCACAGTGTCAGTGTAAAGCATTGCCGAGCTGGGGGTTATATCGTTGTACTGAGTGGAGAGGCAGGGAATGATGGAGGGCTGTGTCAAGGTGCCGTATAGCTTGCAAGTCTCGAGCAAGCTAAGTGCGTTTGAGTGCTGCAAGCACACTTCAAGAAGGAGTACCTGAAGTGGTTATCAATCAACCAGACATTCTGAAGTCGTCGTGATGTCCTCTTCCACTTTGGCCAATTCACCAGTGGAGCTCTCCTTCTCCTGGAAACAAGGGACTTTTCAACCATCACACCTACTCGGTAACTTCTGGTTGAGATTGAGTAATGCACTCTACATGGGGCTGCTTTGAAAAAAACAGCTTTTATTAAGGATATTTGCTGTTACAAAACACATAGACAGGGAAAGGTACATCTGTCATCTCCACTTCTTTCAATTCATAGAGTCTTCTTCACAGTTCATTTACATTTAGTGAGAGACACTTTTGTCATAGACATCTTGCAACTGGGGGGAAAGAGAAGGGGAGAGAGAGATGGGAAGTGTGGTTCTCTCGTTTGGTTGCCAAGTGTTAGTGTAGAGGGTTGTGGCAGCATCACATGCAGGCATAGGCAAACTCGGCCCTTCAGATGTTTTGGGACTACAACTCCCACAATCCCTAGTTAGCAGGACCAGTGGTCAGGGATGATGGGAATTGTAGTCCCAAAACATCTGGAGGGCCGAGTTTGCCTGTGCCTCATCACATGAGTATGTCCTTTGTTTGTTCCACTGTTAGAAACTGAGATATGAAAGCCAGGAGCGAAATGGCTCCTTAAACCTAGGTTATTGGGTGGGGGGAGAACGAATTCCTGTGCCCCACAAATAAGAACAAAAGAATATTAGGTTTGATTGATGGATATATGGGGGGATGGGGAGATGTGGTGATGGCTTTGGTTTATTTATATTGTGATGTAATATGGAAAAAACCAATAAAATATTGTATTAAATGCCCCCCCAAAAAGAAATTCAAAATCTAAATACTGTATGCAATGAATGAAACTTCATTCATACATAAAATCCCCCAAAGATTACCAGTTGTAAAAATATTGCAACCATCAGGTAATCTCTTAAGAAGTTTCTTCTTCTTTTTTTCAACCTCCAAGACGGCATCAAAATTATTTGATCTTCTAAATGTAGCTACAGCAGTTCCAGGCAATGACGTCTCGGTTCAGTCCTTTGCTTGAAACCCTTATTTTTAAAATGAATTTTAATCCCCGTCTGCCGAAGGTGCTTCAAGATCAACAGGCTCCGTGTAATTTTCCATTGCAAGTACTTATTCTCGCCTTCCCTTATTGAAAGCTTAAAAGGAAAAGGCTTGTGTGGAAGGAAGGAAATCACATTATTATTATTATTATTATTATTATTATTAGAATTTTATTAGTATTTTCCACACAACAACAACAACACGAAAGATATCAAAAAAAAACAATACATAACACACAGAAATCAACATTCGAAAACTAAAAAAAACATAAACAAAACAAACAAACAAATCCATATCTTACAAGTTAATATTATAAACACTAAAACAACAACAAGACAATGCCTTCCACCAATCCCACAGCACCTCCTTTATCTCTCATTGTGTCTTCCTGTTTTCCTGTTTTCTTTATCCTCTCTAGCCTAACATCTAGATATAAATCATCCTTTCATATCCTTTCACTTCACAAGGTTATTCCAGACTCAGCCAGATTTCTGCCCTCAAACCTTGACTTTTGAGGAAATCACTTTTCACACGACTGCGGAAGGGCTCCCAGAAACTGATGGGCACAGGCCCCAACAAGCTCCTAACATGCCTAGGTTTCAAGGTGGGGGAGAAAGGAACTAGGGGAAGTATCTCTGTGGAATAAATGGTAAGCATTTGCTACTGAATTGTAAAAGGTTTTAAGATTCGATATTTAGCAACATACAAAATGCACAGCAAACACAGGGGTTTATTTTATTATTTTATTTGAAACATTTGTATCCTGCTTGCCCTGTTCTACATGGAGTTGCTCAAAGTGGCTTAGAAATACAAACTAAAATGTAAAAGCAACAATGATCTATCTGTCAAAACATGAATTATCAAGCTAAAAATAGCAGCAAAACAGACACACACAGTTGGGGAGAGAGAGCGGTACCAATAGTCATTATGCAGGAAACAAAGGAAAAGTTGTTGTTATTGTTGTTGCTGTTGCTACTACTTCTACTATTAACTTTGTATTCTGCCCTATACCTGTAGATCTCAGGGCAGTGAACAATACAAAGTTACAATATAAAAACACGAAATACATAATAAAAATAATTAAAACAATTAATAATGCTAGTGTATACAAACTAATAAGAAACACACTCCCCCAACAAAAGCCCCTAAGAATCCCCCAGCCCGCAAATACAACATTCCAAATTAACATATAACTTTTAAAGCAACCCCACCCCCCATTCTTTTATGCAGACTCGCCCCGTTCCAAAAATAGGAAGGAAACCTAACTTCTTGCAGCAGGAAGTTCTATATGCAGGGAGTTTTCTCAGAAAAGACTCTCTTGTGTGTTGCCACCAACCTTCCCCCAGAAAATAACGGCATGCGCAAGAGGTGTGCAGCAACTAATCTTAAACAATGAGCAGATTTACTACATAATAATAATAATAATAATAATAATAATAATATATTTATACCCAGCCACTCTGGGCAGCTCCAACAGAATATTAAAAGCACAATAAAACATCAGACATTAAAAACTTCCCTAAACAGGACTGTCTTCCAGAAGCTTCTACTCCTCTTGGTATGGGAAATGTGCTTGGAGGTGTATGTGCGATGTGAAGTTATACAGTGGTGCCCCGCAAGACAAATGCCTCGCAAGACGAAAAACTCGCTAGACGAAAGGGTTTTGCGTTTTTTGAGTTGTTCCGCAAGACGACTTTCCCTATGGGCTTGCTTCGCAAGACGAAACGTCTTGCGAGTTCTTGCGAGTTTGTTTCCTTTTTCTTAAAGCCGCTAAGCCGTTAATAGCCGCTAAGCCGCTAATAGCCGTGCTTCGCAAGACGAAAAAACCGCAAGACGAAGAGACTCGCGGAACGGATTAATTTCGTCTTGCGAGGCACCACTGTATAAAGATTGCATTTAGCCCTGGTAGTGTTAAATGTATTTTTAAAAAATAAAATAAAAATCATTCCAGCAAAAGAAATCTCAGAAACTGGCGAGACAGCTGAAGAGAATTTCTAGCAAGTGGGAATGAATGATTCATTGCTGCATCACTTCTTCCTTGTCTCTTCCCAAGATTAGCAAAGGCAGAACAGCAAAGACTGCAATCCTGTTGCCACTTACCTGGGAATAAGCCTCATTGAACTCATCTATACATCCTTCTGATGTATAGAATTGCACTGTGAATTGTGCAAAAACAAGGGTATCTTAATGATATGATTAATGTTTACAAACTGAAGGAGCTTGCTGCATTTCAGCTTTCTGTGGGAAAATAGTACAACGTATGCACATAGCCCTAATTAAACTCTAGTAATGATCCAAAGGCAGAAAGGGCCTCAGTGATGCTGCAGAGTTTTATATTTAATGTCTGACTGACATTCTCACAGCTCCTTCCAAGGACAGAAAGCGAAGCTTCGTATGAAGGTCTCTTGGGGTTCACACATCCGCTGCTAACCTTTCACTCTTGCAAAGCCTTTTTATCACAATGAGAGGATGCCAAGATCTTGATACTTGGGGAATGGAACTTTTCTGTTTTTGTAAATAAAATCTGCATTTTCTCTTCTTATTATTTGCAACTGTAAACCGTTGGTGAACAGAACAGGTTGAATCCCTGGGATCTCTACTCCTCAAGCTCTTCCTGCTCCCAAGCACATACCACCTCAAGCGAGAAACTTCCCAACCATAACCTGGTGGCTCATGAATTTTCAGCCCTTCTGCCTCAACTTGTGGACGCTGAGGACTAAGCCGCATGAGTTGCCAAATAATTATTATGCACCACTTTCTGTACTACAGTAAGGTTACCAGATGTCCCCGTTTCCCAGTGACAGTCCCCGGATTTACAAATCAGTGCCCATATAAAATCCATTGAAGTTGAAAAGAGTCCCCAGATTCATTGAAAAAAATCTGGTAACCTTATACTACAGTAATACAGTGGTACCTTGGGTTACATACGCTTCAGGTTACAGACTCCACTGACCCAGAAATAGTGCTTCAGGTTAAGAACTTTGCTTCAGGATGAGAACAGAAATCATGCTCCGGCGGCGCGACGGCAGCGGGAGGCCCCACTAGCTAAAGTGGTGCTTCAGGTTAAGAACAGTTTCAGGTTAAGTACGGACCTCCGGAATGAATTAAGTACTTAACCTGAGGTACCACTGTACCTCGGGTTACAGACACTTCAGGTTACAGACTCCACTAACCCAGAAATAGCACCTCGGGTTAAGAACTTTGCTTCAGGATGAAAACAGAAATCACACCGCGGCAGCAGCAGGAGGCCCCATTAGCTAAAGTGGTACCTCAGGTTAAGAACAGTTTCAGGTTAAGAACGGACCTCCAGAACTAATTAAGTTCTTAACCCGAAGTACCACTGTATTTTACTTCAGATTGTAGTTGGGGCTGGCCATGTTATTGGAGGCTCCATCATATTTGACAAAAATATGTAAGCACGTCAAAAACTGGCATGCCAGGGGAGAAGAATGCCAGCCTCTCCTCTCTGGTACATTTGTTTGCTATGTCCAGATAGGTAAAGGGACCCCTGACCATTAGGTCCAGTCGTGACCGACTCTGGGGTTGCGGCGCTCATCTCACTTTATTGGCCGAGGGAGCCGGCGTACAGCTTCCGGGTCATGTGGCCAGCATGACTAAGCCACTTCTGGCAGAGCAGAGGAGCACACAGAAACGCCGTTTACCTTCCCACCGGAGTGGTACCTATTTATCTACTTGCACTTTGACATGCTTTCGAACTGCTAGGTTGGCAGGAGCAGGGACTGAGCAATGGGAGCTCACCCCGTCATGGGGATTCGAACCGCCGACCTTCTGATTGGCAAGTCCTAGGCTCTGTGATTTATGAGTTATATGGAAAAGCAGGCTGTCTACAACCTGACCCATTTGTAGTATAAAAATGTAGTTTTCCCTCAATCATAGTCATTCAAGCTCATCCTCAACATGCTGCTTTCAATCTAGACTGAGTCTAGGTGCTGCGTTGCACAAAGGCGAGTGTGGTCGCTCGATGCATGTTTCAAAACACTCTTATTAGCTGAGCCATGACTTTTCCTCCCAGCACATGTCCCAGGTGAAGGTAGAAGGAAGTGGTGATTGCAACCCACAATATCCTTGTGGATACATCCCCCATTTCCGGGACTGCATACTTTTGTTTTCAAATTGAGGCGCTGCGTGGTAACACAGAATCGATGAAGCTTTTACTCTCAGAATGAAACTGGTTTCTCAAGAAGCGTTTTCCGGGGGCAAAAGAAATATGCAATAGATCTAGATTGTGTGAGGACTGTCTGGAAAAAGCAAGTACTCAGTCTCCATTGATTCTAGAATAAAATGTCAAGCACATGGGCCCAAGAGCTCTAATGTGATACAGTGGTACCTCGGGTTACATACGCTTCAGGTTACAGACTCTGCTAACCCAGAAATAGTACCTCGGGTTAAGATCTTTGCTTCAGGATGAGAACAGAAATCGTGCAGCGGCGGCGCAGCGGCAGCAGGAGGCCCCATTATCTAAAGTGGTGCTTCAGGTTAAGAACAGTTTCAGGTTAAGAACAGACCTCCGGAATGAATTAAGTACGTAACCAGAGGTGCCACTGTGTTCCACAGATCATGCAGCTTGATTCTTTGTGCAGTGTTGTCTTGCAAGATGGTAACTCATTCCTCAGCCACATTACCCAGGGCAATCGAAAGCCCTCCTTGCTAGAATGTCTATTTACTCTTCATTGCAAGAGGCAACATTCCCCGGCAACAGCTGCCGCTGGCTTCACCGCTGCGGCTGCCATCCCACTGCTCCTCAGAGGCAAAAGGAAGATACAGAAACATTCAGGAGCTGGAAAGCAGCGAATGCAGGAAGGCAGGCTGTTCACTGAAATGAAGGAGCTCAGGGAGCCTCACAGGGGTGCTGTTTGCTTTGCAGGGAACTAGTGGGCTCTAGCATGCATCAGAGTGCTTGCCTCCTTTTCCCCATGCATCATCAGAATAATAATAATTTATTATTTATACCCCGCTCATCTGGCTGGGTTTCCCCAGCAACTCTGGGCAGCTCCCAACAGAAGAAGAAGAAGAAGAAGAAGAAGAAGAAGAAGAAGAAGAAGAAGAAGAAGAGGAGGAGGAGGAGGAGGAGGAGGAGGAGGAGGAGGAAGTGATCAAAAAATCAAACATTAAAAATTTCCCTAAACAGAGCTGCCTTCAGATGCACAGTGTATATATTTGTAAATAACCATCACTAAAGGGACGTGGGTGGTGCTGTGGGTTAAACCACAGAGCCTAGGGCTTACCGATCAGAAGGTTGGTGCTTTGAATCCCCATGACGGGGTGAGCTCCCGTTGCTCGGTCCCTGCTCCTGCCAACCTAGCAGTTTGAAAGCACATCAAAGTGCAAGTAGATAAATAGGTACCACTCTGGCGGGAAGGTAAACGGTGTTTCCGTGTGCTGCTCTGGTTCGCCAGAAGCGGCTTAGTCATGCTGGCCACATGACCCGGAAGCTGTACGCTGGCTCCCTCGGCCAATAAAGCGAGATGAGCGCCGCAACCCCGGAGTCAGACCTAATGGTCAGGGGTCCGTTTAGCTTTACCTTTTAAGCATCACTAAAGCAGGATCTCTCCAGGAAAACAGACCCTGCATTGGCTCTCTCCAGGGACCTTCCTATCAATCAGGGAAGCACAGGGCCCAATATATTTCTGGGTTTCCAGAGTGCTTTATCAACCACCAAGACATGCACAATTTCCAGCTGAATATTGATAGTGTCTTACAGCCAGAGTACCAGCCGTCCCAAATAAGAAAACTGCAAAGTGAGCATATTACGTGCCCAGAACTATCAGCGGACTTTTTCCTCAACTCAACCTGTTTACAGCGTGTCATCCTGCTTATTGCAAGGGAGCAAGGTCCTAGAGGGAGGCAGCGAGGGAGCGTCTCTTTGCTGTTTATCTTACTCCATCTGCTGGGATCTGCTGTTCCTTGCATGAGCTCCTCCTCTTAGCTAGCATTAGTGAATCATCACTCTTCTTTAGCCAAGAGTCGGGAGAAGCCGGTGCCAAAAATGGGACTCAAGCGTTTCCCACGGAAAGCCTCAGAAAACTAATCAGTGGGACACCTGCAACTGAAAACCTCCAAAGCCAACTGAGGCTGCAAAAAGGGCTCACAGGATTGAGCTCTCAGACAGCTTATCAGATCCGAGGGGCCAGTTGTGCCAAGTGTACATATGCTCTGGACAGCACACTTTGAGGCTTAAGCTATGAGACTTTAGCCAGTGCGGAGAGAGCTGGGAGAAAAATAAACTGATTGCTATGAGACAAGCAGAGGCTGACAAGGAGATTCAATGGGAGTTGACCACTGACAAAGGATGACAGGGAAAGGAAGAACAATTTCCAGGACTGGCCCATCATGGAGACAGTGGACCAAGAACCAGACAAATTGAGGATGGCATCTAGCTAATTCAGGGGCAGTGTGTGCAGACCCACACTGGTTTGGGGTATTTTGGTTAAAAGATAAAATACAGTCATACCTCGGAAGTTGAACGGAATCCATTCCGGAAGTCTGTTCGACTTCCAAAATGTTCAGAAACCAAGGCGTGGCTTCCGATTGGCTGCAGGAAGCTTCTGCAGCCAATCAGAAGCCACGTTGGACATTCGGGTTCCAAAGAACATTTGCAAACCGGAACACTCACTTCCAGGTTTGCGGCATTCGGGAGCCAAAACGTTCACATCACAAAGCGTTCATCAACCAAGGTACGACTGTACTAGGTGTGATAAAAAGGAGAATTCCCTAGATGCCAAGATCAAGGTTTGAGGCAAGTATGCTTTGATGAAAGAACCCCAGCAGAGATTTAAAATGACAAAGCATGCAGCAAAGCAGAGCATGGAAATATAAGCTGTTAGACCTTTAAAAAATCTCCTTCTAAGTTGCTTCCAAAGTTCCCCACTTCTCTTAGTATAGAAAAAGACCACATGTTTGGCAAGCTCAAAAATGGTTTACTTACAAACTCTTCAAAGGTCAGATTTATGCGTTCTTCCATTCAGCAGCAAGAAAACACAGGCAGTATAACTTCCAAAACAGTAAAGGTTTCTAAATTATTTGTATAGAAAAACCAAGATGGCTTGCTTAAGCTTGGAGCATCCAGCTTAGATCTCCATACTGGTAAGGTTCACATGGTGGAATGGGAAGAACAAAGGCTTGATAACCCTTCCTTCCAAGGGCTAACCTAGCTAAGCCTGGCAGGACAGCTTACTCTATGGTCTTAACTCCCTTCATGCATTAATTAGACTTAAGCATATTGGTTATATGAAGTTGGATATCCCACACAAACCTTACCAGGTCTTTGGCCAGTTAAAAGTGCACTCTATAAGACAGCACATCAATCTTAGTTTCATCTTCTTTACCCTAATATACAGATATCTTTTGGGCTAGAGAGTTACACTGCAAAATTCAAAGAAGTGCAAATTTATAGGACAAATGTGTTTTGAGTTTGCATGAAACATGAAACAATTTTCATGAAGTATGGATGGGGTAGGCTTGTGTTAAAATCCAAACCAGAGCAAATTTATATCCCATGCCTACCTATGACATAGCACTATACACCATTATACTTGTACTTGGGCTATGTGTGGAGGAATTATTTTAATTAGTAACATTATGCTAATGAGTGGAAACCAAGCACTGAAAATTTTAACAAATCTATCTCCTCCTCGATAGCCATTGACTTGCCAGCATTTTTCCTCCTCCTGTCTCTCCTGATTCTAGTGATCTTCTGCATCGATGCAATCAAGGAAATTCTCCTCTGTTAATTAAAAAATAATTGCCATTTATCATAAATTGCCAAGTTTTCTTAGAACAGCACAGACTGCTTCCCACATCCAAGAGTCCCACAGACTCATGCACACAATAAAGGCATCAAATCCCTTGTAAGGCTTAGCAAATTGCGCACTCTGCCTCTCATTAGGTTTTTGGTTTTTTTTACCTCCTCTTGTTCCAGAAAAGCTGTGTTCTTGAGTCAAATACAGCACATCAGTGGCTGAGACACACTAATTAAATTTCTGCAGTTGCAGTTGGGAATAGGAAGCCGAAGACTCTACATTAACTAATTCAGATCCAAAATGTGAAGGGATGCTAATTATTTTCGCTATTCACTATTCAAAAGGGATGATGAGCTACCTGGTATTTCTGAATTTGCTGTTTTGTTGATTATGCTTCAAGTGTGCTACACACATCAGTGACTGATGCAAACCTAATGAAGTCAAAAGGTGCCCAAGTAAATTGCAGTCACAAGATGAAAATCCAAATGCAAGTGTTCATCAGCGGAAATAAATATCCAATTCTGATTTGTCAAAACAACTTGTGACTTCCCTCTCTTTTCAGACTTCTCAACTGGTTTCCCTTGCTCATTGACCTCTTTCTGCCTAGCTGAAACTCCCTGGCCCCTCCCCATTTCCCCTTCCCTCTCTGAATCCCACCCATTGGACTGTAAAGCCTCGGAGCTTTGCTCTTTACCAGTGCCCCATTCATTGGGAGGGAGGAGGAGGGAAGTGAGCGGCAAAACAGACCATCTAGGAGATGTGCATCACTCTACCTGCAAGGTTGGCAAACACAAAGCCCTCTGCACAGCAGCACACAGAGACATTTCCAGGTGTCCCCTTCTGCACATCACCAGCCATTGGTGCCAACTCCAGAGGGCCCTGGGTGCCTGGGCACCCATAAAATTTTCACTGTGGGTGCCCAGCCTTGGCTGCCACCCCCACCTGCCGCCTTACCTCTGGCTCCACAGTGGTGACTGGGCTGGGGCCGGGGCCTCCACCGTGGGGTCTCTGTTGGAGCCCACTGCAGCCTCACCACCAACACAGAAGCAGGGAAGCGGCGCCTGAGAGCTGCTGAAGTTGGTGGATGAAATCCTGCCATTCTGAGATCCTTGGGTCCCGGAGCTGAAGCCTGGATACACAGTGCGAGGCAGCAGTGCGGCTGGTGGCAGTGCTGCGGTGCTGTGTGTGGCGGTCAGCTCAGCGGGATCCCACCTTCGTCGCCAGTGAAATATACTCAGAGTCGAGAGTGGATTTCATGCTCTTTATTCAGCTCATAGTGGTGAGCAGGAATGAAAGTTTCCCCAAAGTATCTGCTTTAAAATACATTATTTACACAATGGGCTGCACGTGATTGGCTAATTCCAGAATTCTCCTGTAGGCCAATCAGGTTGTGGATTCACTTCCATTTGGAGCCGGATTGGGTGGCTCCTGCAGACCAATCATACTACTGCATTGTTCTAGGACCAATCAGACTGCTGCATTCTGAATCCTATTGTTCTAGGACCAATCAGACTGCTGCATTCTGAATCCTATTGTTCTAGGACCAATCAGACTGCTGTGTTTTGGATCCTATTGTTCTAGGACCAATCAGACTGCTGCATTTTGGATCCTATTCAACTCAGTACATAACACCCGATCTCTCCACTGCTTTGCCTGGCTTTGAACCTCTGAAGTGGCATCCTTGGCCCTAACCAGAGACACCTGTGGAGGGGCTCCACCCGCAGCTTCCCCTCTCAAGGCCCAGCAGAGTGGGACTGATCCATCCTAGAGAGCAAAGCGGCTCTGGCTTCGCTCACTTGCCAGGCCGAAATTGGGCAACCATGCAAGTAGCATCATCATCATCATTTATTTATACCCCACTGATCTGGCTGGGTTTCCCCAGCCACTCTGGGCAGCTCCCAACAGAATATTAAAAACACACCAAAACATTAAACATTAAAAACTTCTCAATACAGGGCAGCCTTCGGATGTCTTCTAAAAGTCAGGTGGTTGTTTATTTGACATCTCATGGAAGGGTGTTCCACAGGGCAGGTGCCACTACCAAGAAGGCCCTCTGCCTGGTTCCCTGTAACCTCACTTCTTGCAGTGAGGGAACCGCCAGAAGGCCCTCGGAGCTGGACCTCAGTGTCCGGGCTGGAGGGTGGAGATGCTCCTTCAGGTATACTGACCCGAGGCCGTTTAGGGCTTTAAAGCCTGCATGGTTTGCTGAGGTGGGTAGGGGGTGGCAGGAGCCTCGGAGGGTCTCTTGGGTGGCAGCCTGACCTTTGGCTGGCAACCTCTGCACAGCAGCGGCGCACACATGTGATGTCATGACGTCACCGCATGCATGCACCACTGAGCACCCACTGGCAGGGGCCCAAGATGAAGTCCATGATGAAATGGCTCTGCCAAATAAATTCTCTGTTCTCACGTTCAGGAAAGGGTTGACAAGCCCCTTTTTCTGAGCCTTGGTTTGTGCAGGAGAAAACAGTGGAGGTTCCTAGTGAATTGTGGTCCATGCAAACCCCTTTGATTGGAGACTTTGCTGGGGGAGGGCAGGAAGAAAGCTCTCTTAGGACTGTTGAGAATTCTGTTCCACCTTAAGGAACAGACATGGGATTGTTACGTGTCACATGTCTGTTTACATTCCAGCACAGCTTGCTGGGAACTTCCGTTTGTGTATAGCTTTTTGCTTTTAGCTGTTCTGTCTGAGACGACAAGAGAGAGAGAGACAACATGTTTCTTTGTCCTGATTTATGATTAACAAATCTGTAGTTGTAGTATGCTTCCACAAGCCTCACGCCTATCTGCTGATAGTGTGCCCTGGCTGAATATGTCACTGATTTATGTTGGTGATGGTCTTTGCAGCGGGACGGCTGGAAGGAGATGGCCCAGCCTGGGCTAGCCAGCTGGCCTCCTGGCCCTCTGCATGGCAATAAGGACCTGAGTTTAACTTCCAAGCTGCCAGTGGTTCATCCCAATGCTAAGGCTCCTGCCCAAACCAGGAATGAGCGGCAGAAAGCATAATATACCTTGTCGATCCAGGCATGCTCTGCTAATGAGCTAAGCCCTCTAGAGGCACAGTTAGAGCGCAACTTGTGGAAAATGTAAGCCACGTGACAGGCCCAATCAACCTCAGAGCTAGTCCGGGGAACGCTGAGATTCCAGAGGGAGCCAATCACCAGGTTTCCATCATCACCAGCTTCCAGGAGGGATTCGATGCGGAATGAAAACAGTCCAATGGGAAACAGCTGAAGAGCCTGTCGCACATCAGCATATCTATCTGGCAGGCAGCTTCCTCGAAGGCGACTCTCCACGCCTGGCATCTCACGCAGCTTTGCACATGACTCTTTTCCCTTTCAGTCATGCTGATCCATAGCTGGCAGATACCCTCCCTCTCTGGATGGCAAGCTGCTTTCATCACACAGACGGCATTCGCCGCTTCCCAGGAGCAGGCCCGCTCTTCCCTGTTCCTCACCAGACAAAACGGTAATGGGGCAAAGACCCAAGGAAGAAAATGGGGGGAAGAGAGTGCCTGCATCTTCACTCTAGAGTGCTCTAGAGGGGTGGTCAACCTGAGAGTAGCCTTGGTTATTTATTGGGAAGCAACCAAGTGCCCCACGGAGGACCTTACAAAACAAAAACATCTTGGAGGTCCCGGGCCACAGGGAGGTTAGGCTGGCCTCAACCAGAGCCAGGGCTTTTTCACCTGTGGCTCCAATCTGGTGGAACGCTCTGTCACAAGAGACTAGGGCCCTGCGGGACATCTTTCCGCAGGGCCAGCAAGACAGAGCTGTTCCACCAGGCCTTTAGCCAGGGCACAGCCTGACTCCCTCCTTTGGCAATCCTCACAGAACTCTAGCCCAATGGTTGCCATTAACCTGATTTGAACTGATTTTATAATGAAATGATTTTAGAACGTTGTATTATTTTACTGTTGTTAGCCACTCTGAGCCCAGCTTCGGCTGGGGAGGGTTAGGGTTAGAAACTTCCCTATACAGGGCTGCCTTCAGATGTCTTCTAAAGGTGGTTCAGTTACTTATCTCCTTGGCTCAGGGGTGGCATAACTCCATACCCTCCAACATGAACCAATGAGTCTCCATTCATTTTGAAGCAACTTGTTTCGTTCTTATGCTTGTTCTGCACATACTTACGTATCTACCAGGGTACCAGGCTGGGGCACAGAGCTGCTGCACAAAAAGGAGTATATACACAATGGTTTCCGCTTTGCAAAGACCAGGCTGGATTAGAAGGGATGGTATTATTCTCTTGCCCCCTTTGGATCAGGTTTAACGTCTGGGGCTTTCAAATTGCAGGGCTCCTGCAGCCTGCCATTAGCATGCAGCAGGAAGACTCTGGTTGACTGCAGCAGTGAAAAGGCAGAAAAATTAAGCCCACCCTCCAACACTCGGAGGAATCAGAGGGAAGGCAGCAGGGCAGGAATGGGAAGAAAGGACCACCAAAGCACACTAACAATGCAATCCTAATCAAGTCTACCCAGAAGTAAGTACAACTGAATTCAGTTGGGTTTGCTCGCAGGTTGGGATTGCAGCCTAAATGGATTCATTCAGCCCAACATGTTGTGTAGACATGTGTTCCATTGAAAGCTGGAGGCAAAGGGCAGCTGCAGGTGAGGGCTGGTGGCAGGCCTGGTGGCAGCACTGATTCATGGGGCAGGGAATGGGAGTGGATCTGGGGTGAGTTGGGGAAAATTTGCCTGCAGCAGCAAATAACCAGCTCATAACCAACCACGATGGCCATGACCAGTGCAGTAGGTCAAGGATACTTTAGTTCTTCTGTAGTCACATATTATCAAGGAGCTGTCAAGGAGCCAGGTCAACCACATCACAGGCACACGGGATGCAATGATGCAATGAGCTTTTTATTAGCAGAAAATAACAACAAAGTACACTGGTACCTCGGGTTACAGACGCTTCAGGTTACAGACTCCGCTAACCCAGAAATAGTACCTCGGGTTAAGAACTTTGCTTCAGGATGACAACAGAAATCGTGCGGCGGCAAAGGGAGGCCCCATTAGCTAAAGTGGTGTCTCAGGTTAAGAACAGTTTCAGGTTAAGAACGGACCTCCGGAACGAATTAAGTACGTAGCCAGAGGTACCACTGTAGTGTGCTCTGGTTTGTCTTAATCCAGCTGAGATGTTGCTGAAACTTACTGCTCCTACCTCCACCCTTCCTATGCTAGCCTTTCACTCTGCATCCCTGCCAAGCAGACAAAGGCTGTGTCAAGGGGGTGAGCTTCTCTGGGCCTATGTGGCCCATTGCTCAGCAACGTGCAGGACTCTCCTCGAGTGGGGTGTCAGATGGGGAGGAGAGCCTGCAGGACTGGGGCTGTCCTGCTGCTGTGTAGCAGGGGCAACCTCTGTCTGAATCTGCACTCACACTATGACTCTCAGCCTCTAACCTTGTTTTGAGAGCCAGTGTGGTGTAGTGGTTAAGAGCAGTAGACTAGTAATCTGGTGAACCGGGTTCGCGTCTCCGCTCCTCCACACACAGCTGCTAGTCACACTTTTTTGAAGTCTCTCAGCCCCACTCACCTCACAGAGTGTTTGTTGTGGGGGAGGAAGGGAAAGGAGATTGTTAGTTGCTTTGAGACTCCTTTGGGTAGTGATAAAGCAGGATATCAAATCAAAACTCTCCTCCTCCTCCTCCTCCTCCTCCTCCTCCTTCTTCTTCTTCTTCTTCTGGAAGGGCCTTGATCACTCAAACTCCCTGCTTCTAACACATGGGTAGGCAAACTAAGGCCCGGGGACCAGATCCAGCCCCATCGCCTTCTAAATCTGGCCCGTGGACGGTCCAGGAATCAGCTTGTTTTTACATGAGTAGAATGTGTCCTTTTATTTAAAATGCATCTCTGGGTTATTTGTGGGGCCTGCCTGGTGTTTTTACATGAGTAAAACATGTGCTTTTATTTAAAATACATCTCTGGGTTATTCGTGGGGCATAGGAATTCGTTCATTTCCCCCCCAAAAAATATAGTCTGGCCCCCACAAGGTCTGAGGGACAGTAGACCAGCCCCCTGCTGAAAAAGTTTGCTGACCCCTCTTCTAGCACCTCTCAGCTCGCTCCTTCTGCAGACTGCCCAGGATCCAGGATCTAAGTCATCTGTGCCCTCCCTGGGGGGCTCTTCAGTGGGTGGCTCCCATCACTCTTCCTTAGCCAGCCTGTCCCTGCTGCCATCTATGTAGTACTGGCACCATCAAGTGCAAGTAGTTCAAGCTGCCACATCAAACCTCTTCCCAGGTGAGAGCTTATATAAAGCAGCAATGACAACAAAAACCTTCCATTGATTTATCCTTTATTAGCTCTCCTTTAGCAAGAGCAAACAGGCACTCAGCTTAAATTCTGCAGGGCCGGTAATACAGGCATACCCAATTTGAAGCACAGATGTGCAGTGGGGGGCAGGGAGCAGGGAGGAAGGGAAAGGGAAATATGGATTGCAGTTTTCCCCTCAATCGATATTGTTCCATCCTGCCAAGACAGCATGAATAACATGCCTGCTGGGAAGCACAGGGGTTAATTACCACTGGAAATGTACGAACTACCCCGAGATCTATGTGACCAGGTTAGCCCAAAGACTGATTACCATGATGAAAAAGCCATTAAGATCAAGACAGTCTGTCTCGTGGCCAATCCCTCAGACAGAGTTCTTGGGTTCACCTTGACGATACACTGCTGATAAGGATGATATTCTCTCCCTTTTTCCCCCTAGCACTCTCATTCAGCTTCTGCATTTTCTTGTTGGGAGTTAAGTGGTGATTTATTGCTTAGTTAGGCACCATGAGCCTGGCATAATACAAAATTATGTGGGAATGCCTACTGGACTTTGTAGAGACTGTTTATATCTTTCTTTATATATATATTTTTATTAGTTTTACATAAAAGTTATACATCATAAACATAATATTTTCACACTTTTTTAAAAGAGTTATTTCAAACCTTGAGACCTCCTCCCTTCCCTCCATGGGTTCCTATTCTAAATTTTATTCCTGCATCTTTTACTGTAATCTATATGTTATATGGAAGTGAGAGCTGGACCATAAAGAAGGCTGATTGCCGAAGAATTGATGCTTTTGAATCATGGTGCTGGAGGAGACTCTTGAGAGCCCCACAGACTGCAAGAAGATCAAACAGATCCATTCTTAAGGAAATCAGCCCTGAGTGCTCACTGGAAGGACAGATCCTGAAGCTGAGGCTCCAATACTTTGGCCACCTCATGAGAAGAGAAGACTCCCTGGAAAAGACCCTGATGCTGGGAAAGATGGAGGGCACAAGGAGAAGGGGACGACAGGGACGAGATGGTTGGACAGTGTTCTCGAAGCTACAAACATGAGTCTGACCAAACTGCGGGAGGCAGTGGAAGACAGAAGTGCCTGGTGTGCTCTGGTCCATGGGGTCACAAAGAGTCGGACACGACTAAACAACTAAACAACAACAACAATCCAAAATCCATGTTACATTACAAGTGACATTGTATTCCTGCCCATGATTTCAACTGTTTACCCAGTGATCTCTCAAATATGTTAGAAAGTCATTCCATTCTTTTAAAAATACTTGGTCTTCCTGATTTCTGATCTTTCCCGCCAGTCTTGCCATTTCTGCATATTCCATCAGCTTGGCTTCTCTGGGCGGTATATCTTTTTCTTTCCATCTCTGGGCAAGAAGCATCCTATGGCCATGGTTTTCAGTTACCATTGTCTTTCATGAATTTGTCTGTACCTAACTATTGCCGATTATTCACCAAAGCCAGACTAAATGTATTTGCATCAGAAGTACTAAACAGCAGACTGTCTGGAATAGGCCCGGTCAGAATAGGCTCTGCTTATGAGCCAAGGGTGTCAACTCCATGAAGCACATCCTACTGCACTGTGAGCAGTTCAAACAAGCCAGGGATCAATTAATTAAACCCCTATTGGTAAACCTAACTGGAAAATCCAAAACCTTCCACCTTAAGTACCTCCTTGGAGATATGTCAAATGATACTACCCTGGCTCATGGCTCAGTTCCTCTCAGAACAGAAACATACATACTCTGGATAAAACCTAGTGACCGCCCTGGAATCCTTTCTTTGCATTTCTGTTTTACTTTGCTTTTGAAAATGTTTTTGTGGGTCTTTGGACGGAAATAAAGAAACCAGATCAGGTTATCACTGGTAAAGGAAATGCTTTGCTGGTCATAAACAGAGGTTTCACAGGACCCAGGACCCACATGCAAACAGTTAAGGAAATACAGTGGTACCTCAGGTTAAGAACTTAATTCATTCTGGAGGTCCGTTCTTAACCTGAAACTCTTCTTAAGCTGAGGTAAAACTTTAGCTAATGGGGCCTCCCACTGCTGCCGCGTCACCAGATTTCTGTTCTCATCCTGAAGCAAAGTTCTTAACCCGAAGTACTATTTCTGGGTTAGCAGAGTCTGTAACCTGAAGCGTATGTAAGCTGAAGTGTTTGTAAGCCAAGGTACCATTGTAACACTGTGGCACTGCCTTTGGGGGCCACTGCTTCTTGCAACTGGGACCTAAGGGAAAGACTCACTATAAAATCAGTAACTGCACAGGATTTTCCAGCCAGAAAGCACACGGAATCCTGTTTGAGGATGCTCTGTCCTCAGCAATATAAACTTCATTATGAATGTAAGTGTATGCAGCAGCCTCATTATAGCACTGCGGCAGTAAGAGGCGTCTCTCTCCCTTCTTCTCTGCTGGAGGAGAGACAAATCTAAACTGCAGGCCTCTTGAATAGCCTGCAAACAGAAAGCCATGCAGAGATGAGGTCACATTCAAGCCGATTCACACTTTTTTAAAAAAAAGCTGACATTGGTTTAAAAGTTGCTGAGTCATCAGCAGTCAGCTGGAGCAGTAAGCAGCTTCAGATGGGTGAGGTGGTCCAAGCAGAGTCTTACGTCAATACAGATAGAGCATTAGTTTAAGATCTTACAAATTAAAAAAGTTAAGAGCCTCAAATAAGTGAGTTTGAGAGGGCATTCAGATGAACGTTTTAAACAGATGTTTGCACAAACCTTGCTTTCAGCAGTACAGAGCCCTAAATATCAGGAACTGGGAATAAATGGTAGGACAGAATTTGTTATTATTATTATTATTATTATTATTATTATTATTATTATTTTATTTATATGCTGCCCATCTGATTGGGTTTCCCCAGCAATTATAAGTAACTGGTGACTGGGAGTGGTCACAGAGACCACAGAACACCAGTCCTAAAGAACCTAGTCATTTTGACACTTTGGCAGCCTATTTGCAAATTAACAATTCCAAAACACAGACGCGATTTCACTTTCACAAGATTGAATATACTGCCTTCGGCTGTACTTGAGGGTTGATTTTTTAAAAAAATCCACTGGAAAAACGGTTATGTCCCTGTGGAAATGGCAGTACAGTCGTACCTTGGATCCCACTCATACGTTTTGGCTTCCGAACGCCACAAATCCGGAGGTGAGTGTTCCGGTTTTCAGTTACAGGTAGGTAGCCGTGTTGGTCTGCCATTGTTGTTGATGTTTAATCGTTTAGTCGTGTCCGACTCTTCGTGACCCCCTGGACCAGAGCACGCTAGGCACTCCTGTCTTCCACTGCCTCCCGCAGTTTGGTAAAACTCATGTTCGTAGCTTCGAGAACACTGTCCCGCCATCTCGTCCTCTGTCGTCCCCTTCTCCTTGTGCCCTCCATCTTTTCCAACATCAGGGTCTTTTCCAGTGAGTCTTTTCTTCTCATGAGGTGGCCAAAGTATTGGAGCCTCAGCTTCAGGATCTGTCCTTCCAGTGAGCACTCAGGGCTGATTTCCTTCAGAATGGATAACAAAAAAAAAAAATTTAATTTTTTCTTATCATACCAACAACAAACTTAGTTGGTCTCCAAGATGCTACTGGAAGGAATTATTATTATTATTATTATTATTATTATTATTATTCTGGTTTGCAAACGTTCTTTGGAACCCGAATGTCTGGCTTGGTTTCCAAACGTTTTGGAAGTCAAATGGACTTCCGGAACTTATTCCATTTGACTTCCGAGGTATGATGGTATTGAGTCAGTGGCTCATGTGCTTCTGACTTACACTCTTTATAAAGATTTGAGGAGTGAGGTTATTATCCCTCTATTATTGTCCGTACCAGATCGCTCAACAATTGCTACTGTGTCCTTTCTTTTGAGAAGATCACGATGATCAGGGGATAGCAAAAACTACAAGGTTTTAGCAGGGACAGTTAGAATAAGATCTATTATTTGATTATTGATGTAAAACCTCAAATGTATTTTCTATAGTTAAGTTTTTACCTCTATCTTTAGTACACTTTATTTTATTTTATTGCTATGGCTAGTGGCTGATGCAAATAAAGAGTCTTCTGATTCTGTTTCCTCTATGTTTCTGAGCGTGAGTTGCTGGGGAGCTTGGTTTTGCCGTTCGTAAGATATTTTCCCCAAACTTTCTGCTTTTTAAAAAAAGATACGAAATAAAAATCTGTATTATATTTCACTGCCGCTAGCAGACTTGCATTTGGGTGAGAGGAGGTGAGGGTTGTTCAAACCGGAATTGTTATTAAAAACTTGCTTGATGTTCAACATTCCCAGCTTCAGAACATGCTGTCTGAACAGCTCCTGCAGTATTTGAAGTTTGAAAAAAGAAAGAAAAGAAGAATCAGCTTCCATTTCTGAAACTTTGGCATTCTTTGCTAATTCAGGCTGAGAAAATGTGCCTTAGTTAACATCACAAGGCAGGAAGATTCCCGAAAGTGGCTGTCACTCACTGGCAGCCGGCATTGTACCAAGTGGGATATTTATAGCTCATGTGTTTCCTATGCACGATTCTTTTCTCTCTTAATGAAAAGGAATGCCAAAAGGGGGGAGGGAATAGAATGGGCGTTGGGCGCAAAAGCATCTCTCTCCCCACGCACGTATAACGTTCCCCACTGGTGTTTCTGCTGTGCTGCCTTTTACTCCAGCAGTGAAGAACAAACCGCCTTTACGATTCCCACAGAGGAACTAATTGGAATATCCCCGGCTTCTCCAGCATGGTGCCCTCTACATGTTGCTAGAGTCCCAATTTTCTTCATCCCCCACCAATGGCCATGCTGGTTGGGGCTGATGAGATTTGTAGTCCAACAACATCTAATAGGTACCCAGTTGGGGAACCCTGAATTAGACTATGTGCCCAAGACAGTGTGGTGTAATGGTTAGAGTGGTGGACTATGACCAATAATCAGTGACTGTTTTTTTTTAAAAAAAAGGCAAAACCAGGGTCCTTTATGGCAGTCTGGTGGGAATGTTTAGGCTTTGTTTAAAACCATCAAATGCATTCACCTCTTCCTCCAGCAGCTATGGACCTCTGGGGTAAGGTAAAAGGTAAAGGACCCCTGAGTGGTTAAGTCCAGTCAAAGGCGACTATGGGGTTGTGGCGCTCATCTTGCTTTCAGGCCAAGGGAGCTGGTTTTTGTCCACAGACAGCTTTCTGGGTCATGTGGCCAGCATGACTAAACCACTTCTGGTGCAATGGGACACCGTGACGGAAACCAGAGCACATCTTCCCACCACAGTGGTACCTATTTATCTACTTGCACTGGCGTGCTTTCAAACTGCTAGGTTGGCGGGAGCTGGGACAGAGCAACAGGAGCTCACCCCGTCATGGGGATTCGAACCGCCAACCTTCTGATTGGCAAACCCAATAGGCTCAGTGGTTTAGACCACAGCGCCAACTGTGTCCCAAGTAACATGCTCTACACTCATCTTCCTCCTTATTTAACCCTCAACTTCTTAGTTGTTATCTTAACCATACTGATCTATTATATCCTTTATATATAGTATAGCAATATTATGAACAACTGTTATTGCCTTGTGGTTGTTAATATCTTTGCAAAATATTTCATTTGAAACTCTTAATAAAAAATAGTTTAAAACCATTTGTTGAAAACATGCCTTATTAAATCCACAAAGGATTTTTTTAAAGAGGATTTTCACTTTTTGTTGTTGTTGTTGTTGCTTTTGGCCAGCCGACTCATTTCAGCTGTGCTGGGAGCCCCCATGGGCAAGCAGGGGCTTCTCCCAGCTGTTTACACTGGGGGGGGCTGGTCCCCTCAAATATTTTAGAATGTAAGAGCCTGCTGGGTCAGGCAAATGAATGACCCATCTTTTTTTCTATAATTTTTATTAAATCTTCTGTTTTACATTTTAAAATATTCATTTAAACAACCTTAAAATATCAGTGACTCCCCTTCTTCTCTCCCTGGTTCATTTTGCATAACATAAATCCTTGCATGTTTTACATAATGGAATTCAGAATTCCATTATTACATCCATCAAAACTTATTTACACTGTTGAATTTATCTTAATGCTGCCCACATTTTCAAATATACACAATTTCCCCCCATATATTCAATAAACATTTTCCCATCTTCTTTAAACGTATGCTCTTCTTGTTCTCTTATTCTATATGTTAGGTCCGCAAGTGCACATATTCCACCAGTTTAAGTTGCCATTCTTCTTTAGTTGGGACTTCACTCATTTTCCATTTGGGAGCTAACAAAACACAGGCCGCCGCAGTGGCATACATAAATAACATTTTTTGACACCTGGGAATTTCCATCTGAATTATCCCCAATGAAAAGGACCCTGGGGTTTTTTTTGCAGGAGAGGGAAACTACTTTTAAACATTTTTTCAATTCATTATGAATTATTTCCCAATACTCCTTTACCCTTTTACAGGTCCACCACATATGATAGAACCTACCCTCAGCCTCATTGCATCTCCTGCACTTATCTGATTCAGTCTTATACATCTTAGCAAGTCCACTCAAAGTTAGATACCATCTGTAAATCATTTTCAGGTAGTTCTCCTTCAAGGAATAACATGCTGTAAATTTCAGATCGCTCTTCCAAAGTTTCCCCCAGAGATTAAAAATCTATATTTTGTCCTATATCTATTGCCCAGTGTGTCATATCATAGAGGCTTTGACATGCTGTCTTTTGTTTCCCCGTCTAATCCAGGATCCTGTTCTCTCACAATGGCTATTCAGATGCCTGCAGGAAACCAAATTTATCCAATTAAACTTTTTATTGCACTAGCCATAGGCCATGGCATCATTCAGAAGGAGAACAAAAAGAAAACAACAACAATCACCATAAAAATCATCGGGCACAGACATACAATAAAACCACGGTCACGGCTCCTAAAATTATTTGTTGCATTAAATAGAATAGAATAGCAGAAGATTCTCAGGTAAGATGTGCCAAATTAAATATTGCAGGAAACCCACAAGCAGGACCCGGGTGCAAGAGCACTCTCTGTTCCCGCAGTTCAAATAACCACGCAAGCTTTTCCTTTGCATGTCAACATTTTGTGCCGTGAGATCTCCTTTTCCTTTGGAATCTGCCGCCCACCTTCTGCCTGAAGCATTGTGAAAACAAAAGGCACAAACACTGTGCATAATTTGCAATCAATCGCAGCAGATCATGTTCTAGGTAAAGGTAAAGGGACCCCAGTTGTGACCGACTCTGGGGTTGCGGCGCTCATCTCACTTTATTGGCCGGCGTACAGCTTCCAGGTCATGTGGCCAGCATGACTAAGCCGCTTCTGGTGAACCAGAGCAGCACACGGAAACGCTGTTTACCTTCCCGCTGGAGCGGTACCTATTTATCTACTTGCACTTTGAGGTGCTTTTGAACTGCTAGGTTGGCAGGAGCAGGGACCGAGCAACGGGAGCTCACCCCGTCACGGGGATTTGAACCGCTGACCTTCTGATCGGCAATTCTTAGGCTCTGTGGTTTAACCCACAGCGCCACCCGCGTCCCGCAGATCATGTTCTATTCCCCACCAAAAGAAACCATGTGCCGTGTCCTCCATTGCACAAATGGCAGTAAATAAGATATTGAGAGAGCGAAGGATGGTCTAGGTAAGCAGAAAGGTTTAGGGCATTCGCTCCCAAAGTAATAGTGACATATCTTTTGGCATTTCTGCTAAATCCCTCTCTTGAGTTTTCATTTTCCTCTCCTGAGATGAAGCCGTGCTCTGGCAATGCAGGAAGAAGAACCAATTTTCCCACTTAACTGTTGTTTCAACTGAAGCTCTAGTAAGAAAAATGCTCCTGCGAGCTCCTTTTATGCATTCTCACAAAGAGGATCCAGTCTTCATTTGGACGGATTACATTTACATCCTGTCACATCCCGTTAGGTTGTTTACAGCCTTATGCAACTTTCTCACCTTAGCTGCCTGTATCGCATCAGCATGAAATAATATAAGGCAACTATTAAGTGGGGGGGAGAATATTCTCTATAAATCAAACTCCCATCTAGGCAACAACAGAAGCAGCCTATTCACTTTTGTGAGGCTTAATATTCTGATAAATCACAGGCTCTACCACTTTTATCCTACTTGCCAAGCGTTCTCTTTTCTCCCTCAAGTCCCTCCTCAGATGTGTTTTTTGAAAAACCAAGGCTATTTGAAATCACAATGGGGACGTGCAACAAAAGTGTTCCAGTTTAGGCTTCCGGCCAATCAGCCATCCCCCTTTGCAGGATACTCTATTCCAGCTTTCCCGAATGCAGTGCTGTCCATATCAGTGATAGAACGACTCATGCAACACTTTGGTGATTAATATACACAGATCAATAATGATGCATACTTTATCAACCTTCTGAGAAAAATACAAAACATTAAACAAAGCCACAAAGACTTGCAAACTACCCAGCCTAAAATGAACTTATAATGTCTGGTTTCAATAGATTTTTCAAATGCTTGGCTCAGTCTATTAGATAAATTCATGAAGATACCAACAAAAGGTAAGTTTGGTGATATTCACAATACAGAGAGATGCTAGTGGAGTTGTAGATAGATGTTAATAAAGTTGTAGACAATGAAGTTGTAGACAATTGGTGCTGGCGTTTTGCACCTGTTTCGCCCTGGCGGTCCAAGTAATCAAAAGGCCGCTGTTCGCCCCCGATGGAGCCCTTTAACTGGGGCTTGCAGGTAGCAGACTGCCAAGATAGTTTTCCAGGCTTCTTCAGTGGTCTAATCTCAAAGTCTAGATATTTATATTGATATTCACTGATAATAATTCAAACCAAATCTTATTAGAAATAGCTTAATGCACTTCTAAATGATCAATTAAATCAAAAATACATATTCATTATACATAAAATCAAACTTACTACAGAAATTTATACATATCAGTGATGGCTGGTGCTACTTGGGACCGGAAGGGAGGCAAGGAGATCTAAAAGCAGATATAGCCAGAGCCAATGGCAGGTGGAGCCAACTAATTTTGGTTTTGTCCCCCTGCACCTCCCTGCTAAGTCTCTCAAGGGGAGACACTGAGACGGAGGAAGAGGACACTGTCCATGGTGCTGTCAGGAGTAGGAGTCAGGAGGAAGTTGGCAGTAAATCATCTGGCATCAATGAAGTTAACTTTTCATTCAAGGAAACAAGGAACACTCGGGTGGCTAGGCCTAGTGAGCACAATAACTCGTCCTGGTAGATTTTGCTGCTAGGAAGCAGTTGTGAAGACTGAAGTGTCACTGAAATTCTACTCAATATTGATCCAGAGTAGATTCCAGTGTACAGTTAGCAGAGTAAAAACTTAAACAGGTTGCAGGATTCCCCAAAAATAGACCAGAGGCAATTGTCTTTCCTCCAGCAGAGCTTTACTGCTACTGAAGGCAAATGAGCATAATGGTCACAAATCCAATACATTCAGGATTGACCCTGTCCTTTAGAAATCCAGTTGCAGCAGACTTAACTTGAACTGACATTATCTTATAATAAGTCTAAAACCTTACACTGAGCATACAGAACACCACACCAGAAAGAAAAGAGAGAGTATGAAACCCTGGCTCCTTCTGGCCTCACTATTATAGTTAGCATGACCTTGACAGAAAGAGATAAGAGAACCAGTTTAAACCTGTCAGGGAGAGGCAAACAGGACAAGATGAAAGGACAGAAACCAGCAGTTATAGAGAGCCTAAAGAGATTATCAGTAGCTTCTCGTCTGAGAGTGGGTCTGACGTAGAGGGGGAGGAGAATGAGCCTGGAACAAGTCATTCTGGGCACAGAGGAAGTAAGGGGAGGAGTTTTCGCAGACTTGCATGCTGGGTGCGGAAAAGGAGGAAGAAAGATTAGAGGGAGCAACTGCGCACAAGGGGAAGGACGCTAATGGAAACGCTGGAGATGTACGTTTGAACTTTGTCAAATAAATCAATTGTTTGGAACTGGCTGGGAGCCCGGAGTCTTATCTATGGCCAGCTGGACAGCACTAAGCCTCTGACAAAACCAGCTGTACTCCGCTTCTCTGAAGGGTTAACTCAAACAATATAACCCAAACATCATGAAGTTTTTTTCACACAGAGAAGCTACCAGGACCCTCTTGAATTAAGTAGAATAGGAAAAATCTCTGCACATCAGATCAATAATTTCTGTACTAAGAAATGCAAACTGACCTGAAGGCCCCCTCCTTCCCACAGGTGCCCAAATGTCGTCCTCACCTGGGTCCTTCCTAAGCAATCTGAGACTTGGTTGCCTTGCCTCTTTTTGCTCTGCCCTTTTCATACATCTTCTGGTTCCGGGAGACCAGGGGAAAGGAGCTGGTCGCAGCAGGAGGGGGAGATCCCTTGGCTTCTTCACCAGCCAGACTCATCTCTGCCTCTTGGCCTCCCTCCTCTTCTGCTTCAGCTTCTGCCTCTGATTCTAGACTGCTCTCTGTCACAGACTCTCCCTTCTCACTAAGTCCTGTTACCTCTTCAGCTTCTGACACCTCCTCCTCACAGTCTTCTCCCTCTTCTTCCTCTGACCACCCATCATCATCCCACCACCCATTGCCAAGTGAGTCCACTGTGAGATGCATGAGGAAGCTGTGTGGGTTCTGTGCCATCCCCTCTGATTGGAGTAGGAGCAGCAAGATTGCTTTAAAAAATACAGGCTGGGAATTACAGGTACCGAGATTCCAACGGACCAGAAAGGACTTTTTATGTATGCAAACAGCAGCCGCGTGGGTGTTGCTAGCTCAGAGATGGAAGGAAGAAACAATTCCAAGGAAGAATGGCAAACCAAATTGATGGACTATGCTGAAATGGCAAAATTAACTGGGAAGCTCAGAAACCAAGAACTTCAAAAATGAATGGGAAAAATTTATAATATATTTAGGAGACCATTATAAGCTGATGAAAACATTAGCAGGATTTTAATCACACTTGTAAGGTAACAGAAAATATGGACAATTTAGATGGATAAAAAAATTGGATAACAAGCTGATATGCAGTCGTAAACATTGTCATCAGGACCCATGGAGGGGATGGCGGTGGGTCCTGAGATTCAGAGTAGTCTCTTTATATGTTTTTTTAAAATTGTTTTTGTTATATGTTTATGTTTTCTTAAAGTCAAATAAAAATTATTTATAAAAATAAAGAATACATGCTGGTATATAAGCAGATTGGTTAGAGGAGAAAAAGTGTCCATAATTGTGGGTGGGGAATGTGATGCCTTGACAGGGCATTGGGGAATGAGGCTTTTGGCTGAGGGCAATGTAATGATAGGGTTTATAATTTAGAGATATTCCCTTAGGATCAAGGCATGGGTAATTTGAGGACTTGCCTTGAGGTACCATCACCCAGGCGGCTCCAAAGGCCTAAAGGTTGTTGCCAGAAGTTGGTCTTAGAGGCCCTGGTGAATAAAGTTGCTTCGAGCCATTTCTTGATCCTCTAGTCTGTCTGCAGGCCTGGAATCATTACTGGTAGAATCTCCTATTTTATCCCTGACGGGGGCTCCGCTTCTAGAGGTGAGATGTTTTCCTAGCATGATGCGCATTACGCATGCACAGGGAAAAAATTATGAGGAGAATCTTCCACGGTTGCAAATACCACCGTCTCTCCCTTTCTCACACCCACCCACACACGAAAGCATCTCTGTCAGTCCCCGAAGAGATCTCCGTTCAGCCAGCCAGTGTAATCTGCTTTGCTCACAAATCCCAACAGAGAAAAGGTTTGGGAACGCTTTACGTGGTTTCCGCCAAGAAAGCTAAACACAAGCAGAAGAGAGGACTTTGCAATTAAGGCCTTATTAAAAGGAACATGCTGCTGCCACAGATCAGCCACAGGCTTAACAGAAAATGTACGGGAGACGAAAAAGGGTTTTGTTTTAGATTAAGCACTCAGGTAAGTCTTAAAAGGGTTGTGGGGAGGGGGGGATAATGGAGCAGTGTCAAAGACACAACTCTGTGTTACGGGTGCCACAATTCCTGTCGACAAATTTACATTTTAAAAAAAAAATCACCCTACTTTTTAGATCTACTAATAATAAAAAGAAGCATGGAGGTGGGTATCTGTTGATGACACACAGCCAGAATTTGGGCTCTTGGTCAGTAGTCATGTGTAGGTTTCTTTATCTCCTCAGACTTATCCCACCCAACCTCTCAGTGGGAGCCCAGAAGAGCTAACCAGTGATTTTTTCTGGGGGGACGAAGGGGGACGCACACCGCTAAACATTTTGTGAATCTTTGTACTTTTGTTCATTTACTGTACAGCAGTACCTCGGGTTAAGTACTTAATTTGTTCCGGAGGTCTGTTCTTAACCTGAAACTGTTCTTAACCTGAAGCACCACTTTAGCTAATGGGGCCTCCTGCTGCTGCCGCCCCGCCGGAGCACAATTTCTGTTCCCATCCTGAAGCAAAGTTCTTAACCCGAGGTACTATTTCTGGGTTAGCAGAGTCTGTAACCTGAAGCGTATGTAACCTGAAGCGTATGTAACCCGAGGTACCACTATTTATTATTCCCGATTTGAACTAGAAAATGGTGGTTTTCTTGAGTCAAAATGAGAGTACCCCTAAACATATTTTTTTGTGTGGGGGAAGCACTGGAGCTAACGATGCGGAGCATTATAATCACAAAAAACCCAGTTAAAATAAAAATATCAAATAAAAACCAGAATAAAACAACATCAGCAGGATGGGCAGAATCATCAGTTGTGTCCCAAAGGCCTTTCTGGACAAATAATCAAGTGTTTAAGGTAAAGGTAAAGGTAAAGGTAAAGGGACCCCTGACCATTAGGTCTAGTTGTGGCCAACTCTGGGGTTGCGGCGCTCATCTCGCTTTATTGGCCAAGGGAGCCGGTGTACAGCTTCCAGGTCATGTGGCCAGCATGACTAAGCCGCTTCTGGTGAACCAGAGCAGCACACGGAAACGCCGTTTACCTTCCCGCCAGAGTGGTACCTATTTATCTACTTGCACTTTGAGGTGCTTTCAAACTGCTAGGTGGGCAGGAGCAGGGACTGAGCAATGGGAGCTCACTCCGTCGTGGGGATTTGAACCGCCGACCTTCTGATCAGCAAGTCCTAGGCTCTGTGGTTTAACCCACAGCGCCACCCGCGTCCCTTAATCAAATGTTTGTGCCTAAATGAGGCAGGGGAGGGGTCAATTCAGCATCACTTAGGAGTCCCATAATCCCATGGCTACCACTGAGATAACGGAGTCATATAATTGTAGAGTTGGAAGGGACCACAAGGATTATCCAACCCCCTGCAATGCAGGAATCTTCTGCCCAATATGGGCTTCGAACCCACAACCCTCAGATAGATGAAGAGTCTTGTGCTCTACTGACTGAGTTACCAAGGTGGATCACACAGGAGACAAGATGGAGCCTTCCACCACTTCACACGCGAACAGGGACTTTCAGAGACTAGGTCCCTGCATCCCTCTATGGCTTCATTTCCACACAGTGACCTAGATTAGCTGCAAGGATGTTGCTTGCCTAGAGTTGGAAAAACACTAAGATCCCTACCATGGTGGACTGACAGATTAAACTATTGGATTATGCAGAGATGGCAGGAATGACCAAGAAAATCAGAAACCAGGAGGATCAAAACTCCAATAAAGAATGGGAGAAAATTATATTATATTTGACAGACCACTGTAAACACTTGAACTCTTCGGCTGGTTTTAAATCACTCTTCTAATGTTACATAGATTTTGGAGACAATGGAGGATTGAAAATTAGAAGGACTTATAGTATGTATTTGGAAAAGTTAGTTAAAGAACCCACGAGGAGGGGGAGTCTTAAGATTCAGAAGAATCTCGTGTAATTTTTATTATTTGTGATTTTGAGTGTGAATGAATTTGTAAAATCAAATAAAAATCTATTTTTAAAAAAGATATAATGATTGCTGGTATCAAAATACAACTATTAATTCTCCTAACCCTTTTTGAAATGAGTTTAGCCCAGGTCATCTACTAAGGTGTCCACTAGAAGAGGAAGAATGTGCAATGGACCCCATAAACCTTTTTGCAAAAATTGAATATTTATTTATTTTATGTGCTTTGTTTGTTTATGTGTTTATCACTGCAATTCAACGCAAAATACAAAGGCTTAAAAACCAAACTAACAGCTAAAAGGGATAATAATAATAATAATAAATTTTATTTATATCCCGCCCTCCCCAGCCGAAGCCGGGCTCAGGGCGGCTAACAACAATAAAACAGTACAAAAGTACAGCATAAACAACATTCTAAAATCATTCATTCTAAAATTAATTAATTCATACACTAGTTCTAAGAACAAGTCCTTCTACTGGTGTAGCAATAAAAATACTAGGACCTTTGCAAAGCTAAGCAAGATCTGGTATGGTTTCAGATGGGATGGGGGAACTATGTGTTGAGATTCCTGCATTGCAAAGGGTTGGGCTAGATGACCCCCGGAGTCCCTTCCAGCTCTAAAGTTCTGTCAAGAAAATCCTCCTACCTTCAGCGCAGCAGCTCAGCCACCAAAAATATGGAGGGTCTTGAAACATGCTGCCTTTTCTCAAAGTTATTATTCTGCCTCTGCCAGAAATTATTCTGCTGCCTGCTATTTTACATTTTCCCCTGGGAACAAAGGAATTTGATCGTTTTGACTCCCACTCCACACTGAACAGTTCCTAAATAAATGGTGGGAGACCACAACGCAAGGCACTTAAGGCAGATTTACGCATGCAGAGAAAATCAATCGCACGCTGCATGGCGTCTCTTTCCTGGAGCTGCAACATTGCAGAGAAGAGGGGGGCGAATCTGGTGTCTGAATGTTTCCCTGTGTTGCTTTAAAAAACCTGCATCTTTACACAAGGGGAGAATGTCAAGGAGAAGACAAGGCTAAACTAGACCCCTACTCTCCAACACAGTAGCTTGCCCTGCGCAAGAAGATGTTTTAACGATAATGAAGCCTTCATAGCATAGTGTGTAACCACGTCGAGACCAAAAGGGAGTGTGATGCTCCAGGCATCCCGCAGGGATCTTTCCAGGATTAATTAAATGATCACAGTGCTTCACTTACATCCATCCATTATCTCAGTCATGTTTACAACGGCCCTGCTAGTTTAGTCCAGTATTACCATCAGCTCTATTTTTCAGAGGGGAGGGAGGTTGTGGGGGGAGCAACTGCTTTGCATGCAAAAGTTCCCACCATCTCTAGGCAGGGCTCTCCTCCCCCCCTGCCCCTCCACCCCCAAATCAGCTCTGGGGATTAGGAGTTCCTCTGAGGAACTCAAAGACAGTGGTAATTGAAGAATAGAAGGTAACGGCTAGCTGATCTGGTCTGGACTGCAGGCCAAGTTAAAACTGCAACTTTGCTTAAAGTTCCCCATTGCCATGGCATTGTTTAATGAAGGTAGGAGCATGTAACCGATGAAATGTACACATGTGCTGATCATGCCTCAAGTAGCTTATGCATATTCATAACTGTGGCGATCACACAGGGTCCCCGGACGTTTGACGGTCTATTGACCCTGTGCCACCACTGTAATTGCTTTCTTCGCTGCCACCAACCCGTTTCGCACGGGCACGCACGGAGTCCAGACAGTTGTTAACATTAACAAATAATCAAGTTTATTTTTATCAGAATGAACAAGCTTATGTTTTCAGTTAATTTTTCTTGTCTGTTTCTTAATCTTAGTTTCTTTACTGTCTTATATGTTCCTAACAACTTCAAACTGATTATCCCAACTATCTATCTGACTCCACCTAACAGTTCCTCTCACTCTCTCACAACACAACTCAACCAACCCACAGACTTATCCTCCCTCTTCCTTCTCCAACTCCCAACTCTCAACTGACTTCCACACAACTCCTACTCTCACTCTAACTCCTCCCCTCTGTTTCCACTGGCCAATCACTTCACACTCATTTAACCCTTTCCTTACGACCCACCTAGGAGGAAAACGCCACAATAACATGCAGTGTTCACGTGAAACTTTGCAGATAAAAATGAGCTCCATGACTTTGTATGGCACGCAGAATCCCGAAGTGTTAACTCTCTGTGCCTCTTTCTCGCTTAATCTTGAAATAAACTTTTTTAAAAAAATCTCTCCACCCCTGGAAGTGATTTTATCGGCTTTTAAGTCACCCAGGAACAGGGTCCTTTGACCCCCACTGCAATATCCTTTCCCTGTCTGTTTCTTTTTAAGAAACAACTTATTACATCCAATAGGCCCATCCCCACCAAAAGTTATTTCACACATATTTTTGACACTGCAGAAAATGTGCCGCGCTGCGCATTAACACACATTCCTAATGAAAAGTTTATATGCAGAAGTGCCTTTATGCAAATTTAACTATGACCCTCAATGCATCCTGAAGATTATTCTGGTGAGAGAAGAGCGTCAAAATGTTAGCCGCATAGGCGACTAAATGGAAGAGGGTTGCATTTATATTTCGTTTCCAGCTGTGTCACAATTCTTTAGTGCCCATGTGCAGATTGCGCATGAAGAAAGATAACTGGATGGCGCCACATATGGCCAGTGAATCATTGATGAGACTGAAGCACCCAGCCTTCTTTACATCCAAAACCCAGAAGCTGGATTTGTCTTTTCACAAGCTGGATGTTGTGATTCAAGGACCTGCCACCAGCTTGGGGATAAGAAAGACACATAGGTTAATGGGCTAAAAACGGCCACAACTTTATTGATTTCATCATGTGAGAGGTATTGGCTTAGACATTGCATAAAACAACAGAGCATGACTCCACCCCCCTAGGGAAGGGGTGAGTCTATCAAGGGTTAACCACCAGTGGGAGGAGCCTGTTGATACAAATACAACTGAAAGCTCCCCCTGATATCACCGGGGGTCATGCCATGGCCCTAGCCAACAGCAAAGGCATCGGACAGGATCCACGACTGCCGGATTCCTTTACCGGAATACCCATAAAGTGGAGGGGTAGGCGATGGCCACACCCTGCCCTCCAATACACAAACATATTCCAATGCCTAACCGCCAATACCTAAAAGTTGTGACAATTTGCTACGAGGTAGGTGAAAAACCAAGTGGCCAGTGCCAATTTGCCAGTTGGATAAAAATTCCTACCAGGCCCCTTGGCCAACCAAGGCGACCAACCAAAGGTCCATAGCAAGGTCAAGAACGAAGCAAAGAACTAAAGGGAGGGTGGGTGGGTGATCCGACAAAAACCAGCAGCAGAATGAAAGGAAAGTGCTGCCGCGGCCACATTTGAGCTGATTGGTTGGCTACCTGGGGGCGTGGCATGGCAGCCAGGCCAGCTGGGGAGGGGCTGGAACTCCCCCTGCCAATGCGGGAAACGGCTCCTGCTCACAACTCCTCCCCTCTGTGAGGAGGAGAGGCTTTGTGATCAAAAAGAGAACTGAAAATATCAGGAGGACGATGCACAGGCTAAAATGCCTTTGACACCCATTTTGAGCACAAAGGCCTTTGGTGATGCTGGCAACCCTGCCCTGCTTTGACCTTAAAACGCTCCATTATTTCTCCAGAGCAGGACCTGCCTCTGTCTGAAAGCCCTGAGGAAGGCTATCGATTCTCATCTTGGCACAAAGCAGCGTGTTAAGTACAGAGAAATTGGGTCCAGCCTTCCATTTGACCTTGCCTTGCCGGTAATTACAAAATGGTTCCATAACACAGTCTCTTTCCTATCGATTCATGCCATGTAGACATAACCTTTAATCCCAGAACAGGGACCTTCTCCTTCTCCCTGCAAACTCTTAGTAAGATACATGCCACTATAGCTGTTAGATAAGTAGTCAAAACATGGGATGGTCGCTGCTTAAAACAGCTTCCACACTGGTACGTAGTTAGCAGTCGCCATTTTATTGCATGTCCTGGCTGGTGAAGATAACTTATTAATGTAATGAAAAGGACCTGTAGCTGACAGGATGCCTTTGTGATCCTTCCATGTAGTAGAGGACCTTCCAGATTTACCATCCAATTTGACAGAAAACCCATAGCAATATGAATTAGACCTCAACGCAAAACTTCTGAATTTCCTTAAAGTAGGACAAGAGAACATATCATCAGGCACATGTGAAATTATGCACAAAACCATACACCAGTTGGAACTTAGGTCTCCCTAGTCCTAGTCTAATACTCTAACCACTACACCACAATGGCTCTCCAGTGGCGGAGAAAGGGGGTGCGGTGGGGGTGGTCCACCCCGGGTGTCATCCTTGAGGGGGGTGACAAAAACCCCCCATGGTGGATCACTGCCGTGCCAATATGGACACCCATAGCCCTACAGCTGGGGGGGAGGCAGCGGGTGGACAGTGGGCGGGACATCCCTTTGGGCGCTGCATGCACTGGCCCTATGGGCGGTTCGCCTCGCCCCTGGGCGCGCCACCCCCAGGTGCCCGAAATGTTTCCTCTGCCGCTGTGGCTCTCACCAGATATTACCAGAATATTCTGGACCAGTGATAGGTCCCCTAGAATGAACATGTTTATCGACTTAGGCATGAAAATAATTACAGTGGTACCTCTGGATAGGAACGGGATCCATTCTGGAGCCCCGTTCACATCCAGAAGCGAACGCAACCCGCGTCCACATGTGCGCAGGACGCGATTTGCTGCTTCTGCGCATGCGCGTGATGTCATTTTTACCGTCTGCGCATGCGCGAGCGGCAAAACCCAGAAGTAACGCAGCGTGCAACCCAAAAATACTTATCCCGAAGCTACTTCAACCTGAGGTATGACTGTACAGTCATTCTGGCTCCATTTACCCTTTCCTGTCCAAAGAATATCCCACCGCCACCAGAAAAAAGATTGATATGCGGTCCCAAGGAAAGGGAAGCATACTTGATTGACAAAATGACCAGATGACAAGAGGAAATGTACAACTGATGTGAAGCGATATGAAAAGGATCACAAGTTGGCATGTCATTTCTTCAGCATTTAATTTAAAGCCATCAAAATGGAAAGTTATAGCCAAGATGGTGACAGCTGAGCTAATGAAATACAGATCAAGCAGGCTTGCTTTATAGTTATATAAACCTAACACAACCTCTTTCTTTCTTTCTTTCTTTCTTTCTTTCTTTCTTTTTCCTTCCTTCTTTTTGGACCACCAGAGGCCTTGGGTGTCCCAAAGCAATAGCCTAACGTGCTAAATATAGAAAATAGACTCATTGACCCAGCAGTATAACGTTTCCAGCACTTTCCACTCATTGTGTGGAGACCACCAAAGTCCCATCATAGGAGAGTACACTATAAACATCCACTCCTTTAATTACTCCCATGGAGTGTTTCCTCAGAAACGCCACGTCTCGTAAACAGAAACTATATTTTATACCAGTCATTCTCCTACCTAAAACCAGATCAGATTCCCCCCAATACACCAGTCCCAGCAGCTGCCCGGAGGCACAATGCGCTATCATTCTGCAAGAGAAAGGATAGTTGCAAACATTGATTCAGAAGAGGAAATTTCTGGTTTACCTGTAACAGAATTATTATTTTTGCTCTGCACCCTTGACACAAATCATACAATCTGTCCGGCTGTCGGCGGCACTTAACAGCAGCAAACCACTAAAGGCTCGTTAGTAACACAAACTTAAACCTTTGAGGTTTGGGGCCCCAGGAGAGCAAACAAAGGTTTGCCACCAAATACCCTCAACGGGGAGTCAATCAATCCTGAATCTCTGACAGTGATTGCACCTGTGGCGCACCTGCTTGTCAATCATACTCTTCTTTTTTAGGTGTGCACTTAAAAAACAAAAAACAAAAAAACTTAGGTGTACACCAAAAAAACACAATTCATAGAATCATAGAATCATAGAGCTGGAAGAGACCACAAGGGCCATCGAGTCCAACCCCCTGCCAAGCAGGAAACACCATCAGAGCACTCCTGACATATGGCTGTCAAGCCTCTGCTTAAAGACCTCCAAAGAAGGAGACTCCACCACACTCCTTGGCAGCAAATTCCACTGTCGAACAGCTCTTACTGTCAGGAAGTTCTTCCTAATGTTTAGGTGGAATCTTCTTTCTTGTAGTTTGGATCCATTGCTCCGTGTCCACTTCTCTGGAGCAGCAGAAAACAACCTTTCTCCCTCCTCTATGTGACATCCTTTTATATATTTGAACATGGCTATCATATCACCCCTTAACCTCCTCTTCTCCAGGCTAAACATGCCCAGCTCCCTTAGCCGTTCCTCATAAGGCATCGTTTCCAGGCCCTTGACCATTTTGGTTGCCCTCCTCTGGACACGTTCCAGTTTGTCAGTGTCCTTCTTGAACAATTTACGAAGAGAGCTCTTAATTTTCTTTCTTTTTCTTTTTTTTAAAAAAATGTTTTTATTAACTCTTTTATCACTGTTACAAAAGTACATACAGCATCTCTGCTTTCAGTTCATAGAGTTCTTTCTACAGATCAGTCATATTTGATGCGAGGCACTAATGTTATGGACAGTATAAACACTAATGTTATAGACAGTAAACTTTCATTCTGCTACATAGTGTATGTGTGAGGTTTTTGTGTCAGTGTCACATGGGTAGGTTCTGTTTCTATCCATTTAGTAGTTTTTTGTTAGTGGTGAGAGAAGATTGGGGGACCCAGGGCAAGGCTGGTTGCCTTTAGTTGACGGCAGTGAGTTTTGTTTGCGTGTGTGAGGGGAAAGGGGTTGTTAGGTCAAGTTAGCCATATCGATTCATATGCTGTCTGTGGGTTCCTGTTGTCTTGTTGTTGGGCTGTGTATGTAATAAAGGGGAGTCACATCAGGGTGAAGGCATCTTTCTTTGTTTGTCCCCATGCCGGTTTCAGTTTGTAGGTTAGTTTTTCTAACATTTTCTGAGTCAACCTATGATGAGGCTGACCAGAGAAGGTTGTTCTCCTGTGATTTCACTCAGTGATTTTTTCCTGGGGGTAAGCAGGGGTACGCATACCCCTAAACATTTTGTGAATCTTTGTACTTTTGTCCATTTACTGTATTTATTTTCCCCAATTTGAACTATAGAATGGTGGTGGAGAATGGTGGAGCGCCTCCACCTCCATCATTCTTACCAGACACTGAGGTCCAGCTCCAAGGGCCTTCTGTTGGTTCCCTTACTGCAAGAAGTGAGGTTCTAGGGAACCAGGCAAGAGGGCCTTCTTGGTAGTGGTGCCCACTCTGTGGAACACCCTCCCATCAGATGTCAAGGGAAATTAACAACTATCTGACTTTTAGAAGACATCTGAAGTGGTTTTCTTGAGTCAAAATGAGAGTACTCCTAAACATTCTTTTAGAAAAAAAAGCACTGCCTATACTTATATCGGAGGATGCTCCCCCCCCCCACTGCCCTGCAGAAAGTTCCCCAGGAGGAAAGGCAGCCTCAAGAATGAAAATGAAACCTTAATACCTGCTGCAAGGTCTCTGTCTCGCCAGAGTGGTGCATGCTCTAGTTATCTCCCGCTTGGACTACCGCAATGCACTCTACGTGGGGCTACCTTTGAAGGTGACCCAGAAACTACAATTAATCCAGAATGCAGCAGCTAGTCTGGTCACTGGGAGTGGCCACCGAGACCATGTAACACTGGCCCTGAAAGACCTACATTGGCTCCCAGTACGTTTCTGAGCACAATTCAAAGTGTTGGTGCTGACCTTTAAAACTCTAAACGGCCTCGGTCCAGTATACCTGAAGGAGCGTCTCCACCCCCAACATTCTGCCCAGACAGGTCCAGCACCGAGGGCCTTCTGGTGGTTCCCTCACTGCAGGAAGTGAGGTTACAGGGAACCAGGCAAGAGGGCCTTCTTGGTAGTGGAACCCCCTCCCATCGGATGTCAAGGAAATAAACAACTATCTGACTTTTAGAAGACATCTGAAGGCAGCCCTGTTTAGGGAAGTTTTTTATGTTTGATGTTTTATCGTGTTTTTAATATTCTGTTGGGAGCTACCCAGAGTGGCTTGGGAAACCCAACCAGATGGGCGAGGTATAAATAATAACATTGATGATGATGATGATGATGATGATGATGATGATGATTAGGTAAGTCAGTATGCTTACTCCCCACCCAGTGTTGCAAACTGAGGATGAGGGAGAGTGGAAGCCCACTTGGGGAGTTGATGGCAGTGGTAAGATTCAACCCAAACACTTTCACATTAAACGCTGCAATGGTGGATGCAGCCCATTGGCACTGGTAGGGCAGGAAGAGGAAGAAACCAGTGACAGGGAGAGCCAACTACCGTATTTTTCGTTCTATAAGACGCACCAGACCACAAGACGCACCTAGTTTTTGGTGAAGGAAAACAAGGAAAAAAATATTCTTAATCTCAGAAGCCAGAACAGCAAGAGGGATCACTGCACAGTAAAAGCAGCAATCCCTCTTGCTGTTCTGGCTTCTGGGATAGCTGCGCAGCCTGCATTTGCTCCATAAGACGCACACACATTTCCCCTTACTTTTTAGCAGGGAAAAAGTGAGTCTTATAGAGCAAAAAATACGGTAATTCTTGCTTCGTCCTCTACTGCGTTCCACAAGGGGCTACACTGAGGCTAAGGAAGTGGAAATCCACAGGGAGGGACACCCATTGGAAAGATTGTAAGTAAGAAGGCAGGCAGTTTGGGGGGGGGCTGGCAGAGAACAGGCTGAGGTGATGGGGCAGTGCCTTGTTTGCCCTCATGGACCAGCCTCCACTGCATAGCTCAGCCTCTCAACCACTGCACTCTCTTTGCTCTCAAGTGGAATACAAAGCGAGCAATTGCAGCCCAAATAATACAAATGCAACGCTTAACCACGATTTGCAAGCATTGCCTATGAGCGTTTGGGGATAAATGTCTAGAACATACGGCATTATCTCGCACAAAGGCAGAAATCACCCACATCCGTATTAATTACGCAGTGACAAGGGACATTGTCAGCCAGGCGAGAGAGCTTTGCATCCTGCAGTTTCTTCTACGGAAGCAGGAATCATAATGTTTTGCTCTCGGTCCCTCCTTCTCCTTTGTGGAGGAGGCTTTCCTACATGAAGTTTCCTTTGCAGGCCAAAAGCAAACAAAACATCTATTCTTTTGGTAATTAGCAGTTCCGAAATAGTCACTTTCTCCCAGTGTGAGAATGCTTTGCTTAGGAACTGGCCATTTGGGGATTAATCAATAACATTACATCCCAAGTAACACAGTGGCTTTAAACCAGGCTGAAGAACGAGACGTTGGGGTTGTGAGTCACACTACCGACTGCAAGGAGATGACATTGTCTGTGGTGAAAATTTCCCACTGTTTTAATGCAGGGTTCCAACAGAGATTTTCAGATCAGCCCAGAAGGCAACAAATGCCAGAAGAATCCTCACTTTTTCTTAAGGGTATAAATTGCACAGTACAGAACTGAATGCACCTCGCACTGTAATTGCTGTGTTCACACTTCTGTGGATTCACTGCAATCATTGCATTTCCAGTGCTGGAAAATGTTCACACAACCATCTTATTTAAAATGCATTTGTGTGGTATGAAGTTTACGGCATGTAATATCTTAAAAGAGAATTTAATGAAAATGATTTACAGGTGGTACATAATACCAGTCAAGCTTGCAAAAATTTATCATTTGCCCGATAATAAATGTTGGAAATGTAATGAAACTGAAGGTACATTCTTTCACCTTTGGTGGACGTGCCCAAAGATTAAGGCATTCTGGGAGATTATCTATAATGAAATGAAAAAGGTATTTAAATATACCTTTCTAAAGAAACCAGAGGCCTTTCTCCTGGGCATGGTAGGCCAATTGTTGCCAAAGAAGGATAGAGTTTTTTTCATGTATGCCACAACAGCAGCAAGAATACTTATCGCAAAGCATTGGAAGACACAAGATCTACCTACCAGGGAAGAATGGCAGATGAAGCTGATGGACTACATGGAACTGGTGGAAATGACTGGCAGAATCCGAGACCAGGGAGAAGAGTCGGTGGAAGAAGATTGGAAAAAAATTAAAGTATATTTACAGAAATATTGTAAAATTAATGAATGTTAGAAGGATGCTGGAAAGAAGTTATATGACTTTAGCAGAAATGTTATAAAGAATTAAGTATGGATAGACTGACTATGGGTAAAGGTGCAAAACTTAAGGTTAAATTGTGTTAAGATAAATTATGGAAATAAATTTGAGAAAGAGGGAAAAGGACTTGCTGGAATAATTAATTGAACTAGAATACAAAAAAGGAGGTGTGAGGAAGTCGAGGAAATAAGCAAATGAAAGATAAGGACATGAAAATACGGGGTCTTTTTTGTTTTCTTTTTCTTTTTTTTTCTTCTATTTTTTCAAAGGTTTGTGTTTTTTAAATGTTTCTTTTTTCTTTCTTTCTTTTTTAATGTTTTGATGTACTGTTGTTGTTTTGTTTTATTGTATTTTCTTTTGCTTTCGAGGTTTTGTAATTGTTTATAGCTTGTATTTCTTTTTCTTTGTAACTCTTAAACTTTAATAAATATCTTTTTTTAAAAAAAAATGCATTTGTGTCTTATACCTTGTTAGGAGATACCATATTTTTCGCCCTATAGGACGCACTTTTTCCCTTCCAAAAATGAAGGGGAAATGTGTGTGCGTCCTATGGGGCGAATGCAGGCTTTCGCTGAAGCCTGGAGAGCGAGAGGTGTCGGTGCGCACCGACGCCTCTCGCTCTCCAGGCTTCACGAAGCTACCCGCAAGCCTTGCGCACCCGGGAGTTCCCCCCGGGAGCGCAAGGCTTGCGGGCGGCAGCCTGCAGCACGGAGCACGGGGCGCCCTCCGGAGAACGCCCCGTGCTTCGCGCAGGTGTCCGCAGCCTGCCGCCGGGCGCGTGGGGCGCCCTGAAGCAGAGCGCCCCTTGCGCCGGGCAGACATCGGCCAGCCCCACAAACTCGGGGGACAGCGGGGAGGCGCAGCGCCGCCATCCCACTGTTCCCAGACCTAGTTTTTTGGGAGGGAAATAAAGGGGAAAATTTTTTCCTTTATTTCCCCCCCCAAAAAGTAGGTGCGTCCTATGGGACGAAAAATACGGTACTACCGTCTGATGTGCTGTTCCTCAAACCAGCTTCGTACAGACCCTCCAAGTGTCCCTATTTTCCAGGGACGTCCCTGATTTAGAAAAGCCGTCCCAGTTTCTGATTTGATCCCAGAATGTCCCGCTTTTCCTTAAGATGTCCCTATTGGAGCTATCCAACCCCCGAGCTGTCTGAAGGCAATCCTGTATAGGGAAGGTTTTTTTAATGTTTAATGTTTTATTATGTTTTTATGTATGTTGGATGCTGCCCACGGTGGCTGGGGCAACCCAGCAAGATGTGTGGGGTATAAATAGTAGAATTATCATTGTGAAATGGGACGTCCCTATTTTCATCGGAGAAATGTTGGAGGGAATGGCTTCATACCCAATGGGGTCCTTACGCCATTCCTAATTCCTCTCTAGCCGAGGTGCGAACACTTTTGCATGTTCAGTGCCCCCAGTGTGAACACAAACAGGAAACAACTGAAGCTGGGACCCTCAGGTAGCTCATGTAAGCCCATGAAATGTCCTTGCTGGATGAGTTTTAAACTGCTTTTATTACTGTATTTCTTGGGAGAAAAGCAATGACAAACCTAGACAGCATCTTAAAAAGTAGAGACATCACCTTGCCAACAAAGGTCCGTATAGTTAAAGCTCTGGTTTTCCCAGTAGTGGTGTATGGAAGTGAGAGCTGGACCATAAAGAAGGCTGATCGCCGAAGAATTGATGCTTTTGAATTCTGGTGCTGGAGGAGACTCTTGAGAGTCCCATGGACTGCAAGAAGATCAAACCTCTCCATTCTTAAGGAAATTAGCCCTGAGTGCTCACTGGAAGGACAGATCCTGAAGCTGAGGCTCCAGTACTTTGGCCACCTCATGAGAAGAGAAGACTCCTTGGGAAAGACCCTGGTGTTGGGAAAGATGGAGGGCACAAGGAGAAGGGGACAACAGAGGACAAGATGGTTGGATAGTGTTCTCGAAGCTACCAGATTGAGTTTGACCAAACTGCGGGAGGCAGTGAAAGAGAGGAGGGCCTGGCGTGCTCTGGTCCAGGGGGTCACGAAGAGGCGGACACGACTAAACGACTAAACAACAACATTACTGTAGAAGAAGAAGAAGAAATAGAAGAAGAAGAAGAAGAAGAATTTGGAGGCAGAAAAGCCCACAAGCACCACTCCCTGGGAGTAAAAAAAAAACCCTGTAGCAATAAATTAAGTTATTTCATGACACATAATATCAGCTGCTGCCAAATGACAGGGCCATCTCTAACAACTCACCTCTGCCTCTCTCCCTCCACCCCACTAAGTAGAACTCAGTGGCATTCAAACCTCTATTTCATATTTTTTGCAGGTCTAATGTGCATGACAAACTTCCTTGGAACACTGCCTTTGACTTATTAGAAGGGAAGCCGCATGCTGAAGAGTACAATTCCTTGGCAAGGTGGTTGCAGACGTGCCTGCCTTTGGCTCTTTGGAAGGGCTGCTGTTTCTTCCCCAGGCAAATGACAGAAGCTTAGGGTGAACCAAACCCATCAGATTTCACTGAGCAGAGGCATTCAAGAGAATCCACACCATAGCCAAGCTAAATTGTTTTGCACAGCGATTCATGAATAAAACAAGCACAATCCACTTTGCCCCCCTTTCTTTTTGATCCTGCTTTCACTCCCTGAAATATATTTACCGGATTTACTTTCATTTCCTTTCCTTTGTTTCCCAGGAACCAGCGTGGAGAAGATTACTGGGGCCAAAAGAGTGTCACGGCAGGGGGTGGGGTGGGGTGGGAGGAAGTCAGCCCCAGCAGGGTAAAAAGTCTGGTGTTTCATCAGCCTGTTAGGGTGGCAGGTGCAGAACTAACAAACAAGAAAACTAAGGTGCTTGAGCAAAAGCCCACAAAAGAGAAAATCCAACAAAATGTTTAAAAATATGATTTGCCCCCAAAAAAGTCATTCATAATTTTGCATGAAGGGAGAGAGACACCCACCTGAAGAACTGCTTCCAGTCAGTGTAGACTGTACTGAGGTAGCTGGACCAATGGACTGACTTAGTATTGCATCTTGCTATGTTCCTAGTCCCCCTTCATGGATCACTGCCTTGCCGTGGCGAAGGGGCTTGAATAACTCAGAGAAGCTATGATCTATACTGTGCAGGGCACCCAAGATGAACAGGTCATAGTGGAGAGTTTTGACCAAACGTGATCCACCTGGAGCAGGAACCAGCAAGCCACTCCAGTATCCCTGCCAAGAAAACTCCATGGACAAAGACAACAGGCGTATAAAAGTTATGACACTGGAAGATGAGCCCCTCAGGTTGGAAGGCATCCAACATGCTACTGAGGAAGAGCGGAGGACAAGTACAAGTAGATTCAACAGCCATGTGCCTATGGTGATCCCAACCAACTTGGATACCAGTTTCTTCACATGTACAGTGGTACCTCTGGTTATGAACTTCATTCATTCCAGAGGTCCGTTCTTAACCTGAAACCATTCTTAACCTGAGGTACCACTTTAGCTAATGGGGCCTCCTGCTGCCGCTGCACCGCCACCGCACGATTTCTGTTCTCATCCTGGGGCAAAGTTCTTAACCCGAGGTACTACTTCCAGGTTAGAGGAATCTGTAACCTAAAGTGTTAGTAACTCAAGGTGTTTGTAACCCAAGGTACCACTGTAGAGGTGTTTGTGTACAGTTGTTGATTTGTACAACTGAACTGTAAACTGTACCCAGACTGTGAACTCCTTCAACATCCCATGCAAATATAGTTGTACGTGTGATGCTCAACTGCAGATACACACAATGTTCTGTCATGGAACGCAACGTGTTAACCCCCCTTTTGTTGACAGTGGCCTAAGGAGGCAAAAAGGGGGCGGGGGGCAAGCCTGAGCAGCAATGAATGAGAAGCATAGTTTCTGACCCACTTGAAAGCTTTCTCCTTTCTTAACATCATAACAGTTGGTCCTAATAAAAGGTATGTGACACAAAGAGAGCCAGAGTTTCAGTTTGGGAATGTGTTTGTGTCAGTGCTTCCTCCTGAAGGCTACAGAATTGGTATGCTTGCCGTGAAGCATTTTCTATCTTCCTCTCCGGCAAAAACTGGGACCTTTCAAGTGTTCATGATAAATACAGAGAATTATTTATAAATCATTTGAAAATAAACGCTGGGGAAATAATTGCACTCGCCGCTTCGCAGTCTTTTCAAATATTATGAACATGCCCAAGAGACTTTCGCTTTTGTGCCATTGTGATTCAAAATAACTTCAGTTCAGAGAGTGCTGACAGATACAATGCAGAGAGGGCTTCCCGTATGAAAATTAATAGCCCAACGTTGCGTTGTTTTCGGCGCCTGATTACATTGCATAATTGCTTCAAGCAGTGAAGGCTGACGTGACCAAACTGTTGAAATACCCTGGACAACAGAGTCCTTCGGATCTTTACAATGTTTCTTTTAAAACAAATCCTTAAAATCAGCTTGTACATTGAAATCAGATTTGGCACATTTTTTAAAGGGTTCAGTGGGTGCAGGAATCTGAACAAAATATTGCACCGTTTCAGATGCTTCAGAAGACTTGCAAGCAAGACTAGTGTCATCAAGAGGCACCCTTCATCAACACCTTCTAGGCCCCACCACAGACAGCTGCCCTTTTAAGAAAGTTTCCCCCACAATGCCTCCAATATAGTGTAGAGGTTGTAAAAACAACCCCTCTGCAGTGCCACAAATCCGTTCATGGTGAGTTCTGGCACTTCTTTTTCTAGAAAAATACAGTGGTACCTCGGGTTAAGTACTTAATTCGTTCCGGAGGTCCGTACTTAACCTGAAACTGTTCTTAACCTGAAGCACCACCTTACCTAATGGGGCCTCCCGCTGCCACTGCGCCGCCAGAGCACAATTTCTGTTCTCATCCTGAAGCAAAGTTCTTAACCTGAAGCACTATTTCTGGGTTAGCGGTGTCTGTAACCTGAAGCGTATGTAACCTGAAGCGTATGTAACCCGAGGTACCACTGTAGCACTGAGTACAGTACAGTATATATACTAACATATTTATTTTGCAGGAAATGGATAGATATCTTTTCCAAATGAGAGCAAGGGCATCACATGGTAGCATCTGGCAGGGCTGAGCCTAACGACGCCTAATTTTGGGGTAGCATTTTCAGCTATGCCCCCCAAAAGATCTTCAACTCCTTACTTCCTTCCCTGAACAATTTACAAAAATGTTTGCCCGTTGGTTGATATTTTCTGACACTGCCGACTCTAGCTTTTTCTCAGCCAGGTGCTTCAATTGCTCTGTTAGTGCCATGCAGTCAGACTGATTGGTTATATAGGTTTACCACAACATTACAGGATTCTTTGTTGGCTGGGATCACCCGTGTAGCTAACTGAGAAAGGAGAAGGAACAACTACTGGGGGGGGGGATGGGATGAAACACCAGCAGTTGGAAGGACCAATGCTACCAAACTGGATTATTATTTTTTAAAGAGTATTCTCACAAAACGTTGCAGTAAATATTTTTACACCACTAGCTCAAATGGCTTTCTTCGAGCTCAAAACTTAAGTTGGTGGATGCGCTCCACAGCCGTAACACTAATACAAATTGTGATTTTCATCCAGTGGTGGTGTTGCGTGGTAACCTGAGGACCTTGTTCTGGGTGGACTCAAAGATCACGAACGCAGCAGTTGGAGAAATAGAAAGTAAGTTTTATTGCTGACAGCAATAGACCCAGCGGAGTTGTCTCCCAAAAACTGGGCCCCTAGCAACAGTCTGCTGGGCTTATATACCTTTTTCCAACCAGCTATAGGTATTGCATATTCATATATTGTAGCAAAATTAAACCAATAAGCTTGGACATCGCCCTTCCTAAATCCTCCTATGTCAGGGGTCTGCAACCCGCGGCTCCGGAGCCGCATGTGGCTCTTTTACACCTTTGCCGTGGCTCCAGGGCGAATACTAGCGAGGGGAGGAGGCGCATTGTGCGCCCCGACACTCCCCACTGTGGCGGGCGCTGTACTGGCTGTGACGTCGCATGGGGGCGGTGCGTGCATTAGTCACGCACCGTCCTGACGTCACCTTCCTGCCCGCCCGCCCGCTACATTGTAAGGGGCATGTACGCTGGTCACTGCATTGAAAGGGGGCATGTACGCTGGTCACTGTTTTGAAGGGGAGTGAAGAACACACACACACACAAAGGTATTTTTCGCTCTATAAGACACACCAGACCATAAGATGCACCTAGTTTTTGGAGGAGGAAAACAAGAAAAAAAATATTCTGAATCTCAGAAGCCAGAACAACAAGAGGGATCGCTGCGCAGCGAAAGCAGTGATCCCTCTTGCTGTTCTGGCTTCTGGGATAGCTGTGCAGCCTGCATTCGCTCCATAAGATGCACACACATTTCCCCTTACTTTTAATTTAACTTGTTAATTTAACGTTTATTTCTATGAGGAGGAGTAATTCTGAGGGGTCAAACAAAGAAATAATAAAAAAGGTGACAAAAAGGTTATTTTTATAATGACGAGTTTTGCGGCTCCCAGTTTTTTTTTCTTCGGAAACGGGTCCAAGTGGCTCTTTTTGTCTTAAAGGTTGCAGACCCCTGTCCTATGTCCATATAAAGATTACTTCTGCTTTCCATATAAATGCTCATTATATTAGTAATTACTCATATACTGTTATCAGCAAGCAAAGCCAAAAATCCGCTTTTGGCAGGCGAAGCCCCAAACCCCTCTTGTTATCAGACATCCTGTGTCCCATGTGGAAAGCACCCAACTTGGACATCCTCTTTCACTGAACATCGGGTTATGATGACCGTCCCATGACTATGATGGATGCCTTCCTTACAAACTGCAAACACAGCCAAATTCATATATGTTTTCCGCTAACACAGCAATAAGCAATAAGGCACAGTGAAAGACACAGAATTTGGATCTTAGAATCAGGCACAATGGCACAATGTAAAATAAGGCATAACAAGGCAATATACTTTCAGGTGGTATTTCAGTTGGCCTTGACACAGTGGAAATGAATTTCTGTCATTGGCAAATTACTAATAGTATGGAATTATTGCCAGTTATTACCAAGATATCCAGACCCTGACACCAGTCACTTAAAGCAGATACTGTGTTGCTTTTTACTGCTTCTATTTCAAACACCTGGCATAAGGGTGATTGCATCTCACATTAGAAATCTGGATACCTTGGTAATAATAAGCTAGTGCTTAAATAATTATTAGCTGGCAGAAAGATCAAAGCGTATTAATTAGAAACTCACACATGGGAGGAATCTCTTATGTGGAATTAAAGGAATCAATCTAAGCAGCACGCAACGCTTAAACATCCACATCTATTCGGATATGGATAGGGTGGGGAAACAAGCCCCTTCTCTTCAATTTATTGACATTTGGAGTCGCCGATCTCAGCCAAGGGCAAAAGGAAATGCAATTGATGTTCCAAAACCAATAGAAAAATAACAAGACTTCCAAAACCAAAAGGCGGACAGTTCTAAGCCTTTTAAAGCAATGAGTGGCAACAGCGCTTACAAACCAGAATTCAGCCAAAGGGAAGACAATGAAACTTCCTCCTCCCCAAGTGTGAAAATCAACAGTGGCTTTGGAGTAATAAGCCTTTGCTTCATACCCCCTCAGTAATCAACCCTGATGATATTTTAACGCTCTTCCTTATGAGCAATGAAGGCAACAAAACAGAACAGAGTAGCTGATTCACATGTCTGGAACGACCCATCTTGATTACTGCAACTTGCTTTACATGGGGCATCCCTGGAAGACGATTCAGAAGCTGCTGTACACCTTAAGAGAGGCACTGGAAGGTGCAACTATTCTGTAGGTGCAACTGCAAAGTTTGTGTGGGATGTGAAACACAAGAGCAGTCAAGTACAACATTCCTAGAGTGAACATGTTTACACCTGGGGAGGAATGTTTGTCCAGCCAGCAGGTAAACTTCCTGTTTCCTTCTGGGCTGGGACAGACTTCCTCTGCATGTGACTGGAGGTGGGTGTGGCCTCACCTGTGCAGGTAACGACAAAAGCACAGGGCAGGGCAGCCATCTCTCTCTCTCTTTCACCACATGCATCGAAGAAACAACATCTACTGATCCAAAGATGCCCTCTTGGCTTCCAGCCAAGAGAGGACAAAGGGACTGTCTTCTTATGAGATAGATTCCAAGTGTATGTTACTTCATTAAGCTAAGTCTGCCTTCTGGGATCTGATTGTGAACAGAATGTGAGTAAACTCTTTTTATACTTTTGTAAAAGACTGTGTCGTCTCTTATATTTTATGAGGGAATAAGGGGGAAATACCAGAACATTTACTATAGAGGCTTTAGCGAGCCTGAGCAAACGCATCCGTTGCAAAGTTTAAAATAAAGGGGAATGTTACTCTGCTGAAATTGTGCAACTTGTTAACACAAGTTGGATAAGGATATAATCAGACAATATATCCTCTCCTGCATCCCTGAACATTCCCACAGTTTGGAAATCCTCAAAGAATCTCCCCACTCCCTTCTTAAGCTCCAGAGAGTAGGTTTCGTTGGTTGTGCCACCTTGGCACCAATTACAAATAATGACAGCTCAGAGCAGGGCTTTTCTGGCGGCTGCTCTGAAGCTCAGGAACCAGGAGAGGTTGGGACAGCTGCATCTTGCTGTCTTTCCTTAAGAGCTGGCATGTGGTTGAAGTCTTTGGTGGTTGCATCGTTTTGTCATTGGACTGTCTTGTGGTTTGTTGGTTTGTTTTATCTGTATTATTAAGAGTTGCCTTGTCTTAAACCACTTTGAACAACTGGGAAAGCAATATATGTTAAGTTATTAAACAAATGTTGATCTTGGGCCTAGTCCTTCAGCCTTCGGAAGCATTTTACTTGCCATAGATATTGCTATTCTGATATTGTGTCAAGTGCATTCTGATTCTTTTCCCCCCTCAATCTGTTTTCTTCTAAAAGTTCTATGCTGTTCTGTCCCCAGGATAGAATTGCACCCACTTGATATTGTAGCACAATCTTGGAATGTTCATCTTTTAAAACATAATTTGTAAAATAGTGTTGACTTAAAAATAAAATAAAATACACCACTCGCAAAGAAATGTACAGGCTTTGTACAAAGGGTGTGTGTGTGTGTGTGTGTGTGTGTGTGTGTGTAAAAGAGAGGTAGGGAGGGTGTTTGTAGATTTAAAAAGTAACATTAAAATAGAAATAAAGAATATGAAGCCCCAAAGAGAGATCAAAGGGGAAACATATTAAAGTTAATCTTCCCAAAGTCAGCTCAGTTATATAAAATTTAAGTGAAATGCAATTTAATGACTCAGAGTTTCTCCATTTTTCAGCAACATTAAAATCCCCACTCCAGAAATGAAATAATCACTTTAAGAGAGTCGGCCTGAGAAGATTCATTTGCTGATCGAGATCAAAGGCATCCAAGCGCACGATGACAAACTTAATTTCAAAATGAGCTGTTAGATCGCAAGCTGTTATGGTGCATTTTATCCAAATGAAGATATCTATGGGTTAACCAGCAACATGTCCATTATTATGATGGGCCAAGGAAGAGAGGGCCTGTAGATTGCAAGGAGAGGCAGTTTGTGTCTGAGCAACTACACACAAAGACACATCGCATTGAGACATTGGTCTCAGGGCCAAACTAGGCATGACTTTAAAGACATGGTGGGCAACCGCATCAGGAAATCTTAACATTTTAATACCAGGCATGGGGAGCAGTTTTCATTGGGATCACATGGGGAGGAGAGATTTAACCCTTCCCTCCCCAGCTATCATCCTGAGACCCACCTCTCCCCTGCCCAACCTGTGCTGCAGTTAACCTTAGGAGCATTTCGCAAGCATTTCCAACCACAACAGACTAAAAATGACAGCATTGTGACAGCCAGGGCCAGCCCACCTATAAGGCAAGGTGAGGCAACTACCTCAGATGGCAAGATCCACAGGGGCAGCAAATTCCAATGTGAATCTTTATTCACCACCCCCTTGTTGCTGCTCAGGACTACTCAGAACTACAATACCTCAAGGACCTCCATATTAACCTAACCAGATCCAGAGATCATCCTCTGAGGTCCTTATATAATATAATAATAATAATAATAATAATAATAAAGGTAAAGGGACCCCTGACCATTAGGTCCAGTCGTGACCGACTCTGGGGTTGCGGCGCTCATCTCGCTTTATTGGCCAAGGGAGCCGGTGTACAGCCTTCGGGTCATGTGTCCAGTATGACTAAGCTGCTTCTGGCGAACCAGAGCAGCGCACGGAAACACCGTTTACCTTCCCACCGGAGTGGTACCTATTTATCTACTTGCACTTTGACGTGCTTTCGAACTGCTAGGTTGGCAGGAGCAGGGACCGAGCAACGGGAGCTCACCCCATTGCGGGGATTCGGGGTGTTGCTGCTCAGGACTGCTCAGAACTACAATACCTCAAGGACCTCCATATTAACCTACCCAGATCCAGAGATTATCCTCTGAGGTCCAATAATGATGATAATAATAATAATAATAATAATAATAATAATAATAATAATAATAATTTATTTATACCCTGCCCATCTGGCTGAGTCTCCCCAGCCACTCTGGACTGCTCCCAATCAAATGTTAAAAACAGTACAGCATTAAATATTAAAAACTTCCCTGAAGTCTTTTAAAGATAGGATAGCTGCTTATTTCCTACACATCTGAAGGGAGGGTGGTACACAGGGCGGGGGCCACTACCGAGAAGGCCCTCTGTCTGGTTCCCTGTAACCTCACTTCTCACAATGGGGGAATCACCAGAAGGCCCTCGGCGCTGGATCTCAGTGTCCGGGCTGAACGATGGGGGTGGAGACGCTCCTTCAGGTATACTGGGCCAAGGCCTTTTAGGGCTTTAAAGGTCAGCACCAACACTTTGAATTGTGCTTGGAAACATACTGGGAGCCAATGCAGATCCCTCAGGACTGGTGTTATGTGGTCTCGGCGGCCAGTCCCAGTCACAATTCTAGCTGCCACATTCTGGATTAATTGCAGTTTCCGGGTCACCTTCAAAGGTAGCCCCACGTAGAGCGCATTGCAGTAGTCCAAGCGGGAGATAACTAGAGCATGCACCACTCTGGCAAGACAGTCCGCGGGCAGGTAGGGTCTTAGCCTGCGTACCAGGTGGAGCTGGTAGACAGCCGCCCTGGACACAAAATTAACCTGCGCCTCCATGGACAGCTGTGAGTCCAAAATGACTCCCAGGCTGAGCACCTGGTCCTTCAGGGGCACAGTTACCCCATTCAGGACCAGGGAATCCCCCACATCCGCCTGCCGGTTTGAATCCCCGCGACGGGGTGAGCTCCCATTGCTCGGTCCCTGCTCCTGCCAACCTAGCAGTTCGAAAGCACGTCCAAGTGCAAGTAGATAAATAGGTACCGCTCCGGTGGGGAGATAAACGGCGTTTCCGTGCTCTGCTCTGGTTTGCCAGAAGCGGCTTAGTAATGTTGGCCACATGACTCAGAAGCTGTACGCTGGCTCCCTCAGCCAATAAAGCGAGATGAGCTCCGCAACACCATAGTCGGCCACTCTGGTCAGGGGTCCCTTTACCTTTACCTTTATTCCACAGAGCTATGGTTCTCAAATGTGGTTAACAGTCAATCCCTTTTCCCAGAGAACTCTGGGAAGTGTAGTTCTGGGTGGGGAATAGCCCCCCACCAGCACCTCTCAACACAACAACCACAACAAACTCCAGCTCCCATAATTCTTGGGGGGGAGGGAGTCATAACTGTTTCGAGAAGTATTGTACTGTTTTAAAGGTAGGGTGTGAATGTAGCCTGAGTAGAAAAGAATAATTGAAGACAGAGAACTTTTCATACACACACAAACCAAATAGGTAGAAGGAATAATTACGATTTTTTTTGAAAAAAAATGAAGTTGCCATTCATTGAAGACACACGTATTTCACAGCTTCACAGCTAATAAGAATGTGAGTTATTCCATGTTTTGAGGGTTAAACTAAATTACCAGAAACACCTGCATTATATGGCTATGGAGCGTGACTTCATTTAATTTCATAATACAAAGTTAGAAAGAGAAAGATACAATTACTGGAAAACTGAATACACATATAAAAATGGGGAAAGGACAAAACCAGCAATTAGTGCTTTCCTACGCTAATTATGTTGAAAGATACCATAATTTACATAAAAAAGGAAACAAACCGAGAATAATGCACAACTGCTCTCTGTTAAAATTATATATAAATATATATTTATGTGCTCCGATGCGCCAGCAACGTCTTGGCACTGCGGCACACCTTCAGCTAGGAGGGTGGCGCCTGGGCTTTTGCTAGCAGAGAAGAGGGAGGAAATATTCTTGTTGCTTCTGTTCCTAAGCGGAGGAGCGTTTGCTGAATTACGCAGTGCCTCAGAGACGATTTGCACATTACCTTGCTAGTGAAGGAACACACATGTATGTCTGAGGGCCCTTCCTATTCTTCAACATACAATTGGAAGGCCCTCGGCGCTGGACCTCAGTGTCCGGGCTGAACGATGGGGATGGAGACGCTCCTTCAGGTATACAGAGCCAAGGCTATTTCGGGCTTTAAACATCAGCACCAACACTTTGAATTGTGCTCAGAAATATCCTGAGAGTCAGAATTTAAAAAAAAAATGTTTGGAGGTTTTCAGGGTCATCTCACACCCTCAGGAGCGATATCTATCTATCTGTCTATCTATCTATCTGTCTATCTATCTATCTATATCTATCTATCTATCTATCACCAGAAGTGTTCCACCTAATGCAAGTATTCAGCACAGTCCTGGATATAACAGTTATGGCACCAGTGAAATAGCAAACGAAAAGTAACAAATGTGCATTTAAACAGATTAGGAGTTTTCTTTTGGAAGCTCATCTATCAACATTTATTCCACATAAGAATCTGTGCGACTTAAAACTCGGGACCGCACAAACACACACGCCGTATTTCAGGCAAGTGCCATTGTAATGATTAATTGCAGTGCATCACCATGCAGAGCTCGGCAGCTCGCAAAGACCTGTTGTGGCCCATTTCACAACTGCACTTCTCAACTGCTTCACACACACACACACACACACACACACACACACAGAAAATAACAGCCAAAGAACTACTGAGCCTATTGCAATTTTTCGCCTTTTGGGTTCACTTTGGACTATGAAGCTTTAGAAGTCCAAATGACCTCCAGCACTGGTTTTAGAGCTTTGCAGGTGTGTGTTGTTTATGCCCAGATGCTGCAAAGGAGACTGCCCTTAGCAAGGGCAATTTCTCTGCCCAAGCTATTCTAGCTAGAAATGTCAAAGCAATTGCCTTTTCACCCAAAGGCAAACATTACGTAGGCGGCTTTGTGATCAAAATCCACCACCAACCCCGATTGTTCCCCCCCACTCCCTGCCTGCTTTGGGTTAAAACAGGAGTCCCCAAACTACGGCCTGTGAGCCGGATAAGGCCCAAGGGACTCGTTTATCCGGCCCACAGCAAACCCTGCCGCCCACTCTTACCGGTGCTGCGCTGCACGGCTGCCCACTTCTGGGTCGGAGGAGCACCAGAAATAGCTTGTGCGCATGTGCAAGCATTATTTGCGCAAGCGCAAGCATTGTTTGCGGTGCACATCCAGGTCAGAGGAGGCCCGTGCACATGCGCACAAGCTATTTCTGGTGCTCCTCCAACCCGGAAGTGCGCCAGAAATAGCGTGTGTGCACGCTATGGCCACACGCTCCCCGCCCTCCGGCCCACCACGCAATCGGAGCTGGAGACAGTTTGCTGACCCCTAGGTTAAAAGCAGAGACATCACCTCTGAGAGCTGGACCATCAAGAAGGCTGATCGCCAAAGAATTGATGCTTTCAAATTATGGTGTTGGAGGAGACTCTTGAGAGTCCCACGGACTGCAAGAAGATCAAACCTATCCATTCTTAAGGAAATCAGCCCTGAGTGCTCACTGGAAGGACAGATCCTGAAGCTGAGGCTCCAATACTTTGCCCAACTCATGAGAAGAGAAGACTCCCTGGAAAAGACCCTGGTGTTGGGAAAGATGGAGGGCACAAGGAGAAGGGGACGACAGAGGACGAGATAGTTGGACAGTGTTCTCGAAGCTACCAGGATGCGTTTGACCAAACTGCGGGAGGCAGTGGAAGACAGGAGGGCCTGGTGTGCTCTGGTCCAGGGGGTCATGAAGAGGCAGACACGACTAAACAACAACAACAAAAATGATGGCATTAGTGAAATGCAACACACACAAATGACATATAAAAGGAAATTGATTTGCAAGAATAAGTATGCAAGGCAAAATTGCATATAAAAATGTGTACATTAGGCTAAATCCACACTAACAGGCTGATGAATTTTTATGAGGGTTTATTTTCAAAGAATCGCCAACTGATATGGAAATGTGGTGAACTGAACTTAAAGACTGGGGAAAGCTGAAACTGAAGAGAAACCAAAACCGACAGATTGCCTATCTAAATTACAGAGGCCGTTAATCAGAGAAAAATGGTGTTGGGATCTCTCATGTATAATAATAATAATAATAATAATAATAATAATAATAATAATTTATTACTTACCTTCCTTGGCCCAAAAGGCTGATGAGGCTGTAGAAGGTTCAGTTTCTTTCTGAAGAATAAGGCGGAATATTACCTGCATGCATTCTTGGCAAAGTTCTTACATTAGCTCCAGCTGGTACCTGTTGAAGCAAATTAAAGTCCATTTCAATAAAGGCTCGGGTGAGTGACAGCAGATTATCAATGGAAGACCAGCTGTGATGACCTCATTTGTAATCAGAATACTTTGGTGCAACCTGTGATCGTTCCACAGAGCATCACCTAACCTGCAAAGGGCTTCTGGGATTACCATCTTAACCAACTGCAGCTGGATTTCATATCATGCTCTCTAAAAATGGCAACTTTTTACTTAGTTTTTGTTTCACATCAAGACAAAGCAGGGGAGGAGGAAGCCCATGGCTTTGCAATGTTCACTTGGCCCCTAGTAAAGGTTTTACAAGACTGCCTCTGAACAGGCTTTAAATCCAATATTTCCATGGTAAGGTTCTATTCTAAAATGGTTGGAACAGCCATGGGAAGGAGCTGCAGAAAGGGATATACAAACCAATGCATGGAAGGAATGGCTCATAGTTTGTTCTCTAGAAAAGCTTTTGGGTGGAGCCAGGGAGGGGTCATTTGGGAACCTGTGGGTACATTTGCAAACTGGGGCAATGTGCAGTGAGCAACACACAACACTCCCACATTCTGGGTGGCTTCCAACATAATAGTAAAGGTAAAGGGACCCCTGACCATTAGGTCCAGTCGTGGCCAACTCTGGGGTTGTGGCGCTCATCTCGCTTTATTGGCCAAGGAAGCTGGCGTACAGCTTCCAGGTCATGTGGCCAGCATGACTAAGCCGCTTCTGGCGAACCAGAGCAGTGCATGGAAACGCCATTTACATTCCTGCAAGAGCGGTACCTATTTATCTACTTGCACATGATGTGCTTTCGAATTGCTAGGTTGGCAGGATCCAATATAATAGACATTATTTTAAAAACTTCCCTATACAGGGCTGCCTTCATATGTCTTCTAAAGATTGTACAGTGGTACCTCGGGTTAAGAACTTAATTCGTTCTGACTATATGGAACTGGCGGAAATGACTGGTAGAATCCGAGACCAGGGAGAAGAGTCGGTGGAAGAAGATTGGAAGAAATTTAAAGACTATCTACAGAAATATTGTAAAATTAATGAACGTTAGAATGATGTTGGATAGAAATTAAGTGGTTTTCAGCTGTAATACTATAAGGGAATATGAGAAATGGATAATTAATAGGTAAAAATTTAATGTTACAATATTTTAAGATTAAAGACTAGGATAAACAAAGAGGGTAAGGATTTGCTGAACCAACAAACCGAACTGGAATACAAAAAAGGGAGGTGTGAGGAGGTCCGGGAAACAAGCTAATGAAAAATAAGTAATGGAAAGATTGAGTTGTTTTTAACCATTTTTTTTTTAAATTTGTATTTTCTTCTTTTTTATTTTTATTCTTATTTTGTAATATTTTGAAAATCTCAATAAATATCTTATAAAAAAAAAAAGAACTTAATTCGTTCTGAAGGTCTGCTCTTAACCTGAAACTGTTCTTAACCTGAAGCACCACCTTAGCTAATGGGGCTCCCGCTGCCACCGCACCTCTGGAGCACAATTTCTGTTCTCATCCTGAAGCAAAGTTCTTAACGCGAGGTACTATTTATAGGTTAGTGGAGTCTGTAACCTGAAGTGTCTGTAACCTGAGGTACCACTGTATAGTTACTTATCTCCTTGGCTCGGGGGTCACATGACTCCATACTCTCCAACATATCTCCAGTGAAAATAGGGACATCCTGATGAAAAGCAGGACGTTTTGGGAACAAATTGGAAACCAGGATACCTTCTGTAAATCCAGGACTATCCTTGGAAAATAGGGACAATTGTAGGGTCTGTGTTTCCTTTTAGAAGGACACACACAGGCATACCCACTAAGATTTGCAGCAAGAGAGAGAGAAGGATAATCTAGGTCAAAGCATAATTCAGAATGCTGTGTGCTATCTCTGAGCAAATCAGCCATCAGCCTATAGCTGGATGAAAATACAATAAAGCACTCCAGACATGAAATGACCCTTTGATCTGGTTGCATTACAGATGCAGGAAGAACAATATTTTCCACAGATAGGTTCCTTATGCAGAACATAATTGATTCTCCTCTTCCCAAGTGCATTTCCATTGGACAGCAGCTCAGATGCTTCCATTCTGTATTTTGCCTTAATTACCAAAATACTTTATTACAAAAACACTCATTTCCTTTCAGGACATTCATTGGATACTTTCCCCAAGACAGGAAGTTTAATGGAATTTGCAACGAACTAGATTATTTCTCTGAAGAGCAGTATGACTGAGTTTGTATAAAGAGCGGTGGGGTGTGTGTGTTGTGGAGTAGGGGTATTAGGACAAGGAAGAGAAAATACCAAATTACTTTTAGTGACTGAAGTTATTTAGAACATTTTCACAACCGTGAAACTACCGTCAAGACTAGGCAAAATTCAGATCCTGCGGGAACTGACATCGAAAGGCTCAGGGTGAAGCAAAACCTCCCATCCTACCCCATCAGAATATTTTTGGGGTCGATTTTATAGAAATGCTCCAACAACCAGTGGAAAACATGTGAGGCTGTGTACATGCAGCCATTTTTAGAATGTTAAAATTTCACTAAGCAGCTGCCTGAAAAGCTAGCCAAGGCCCATAGCCTCCCACTAAGCCATCATTTGTCAAATTTCTGCTTTTTACAATGGGACACCCTTGAGCAAAACACGGTGGATAAAGACTCTCAAGAGCAGAGTTAGAGAACCTATGACTCTTCAGATTCTGCTGGACTACATATCCCATCATCCCTGTGAGAGTCAGTGTGGTGTAGTGGTTAAGAGTGGTAGACTCATAATCTGGGGAACCGGGTTCGCGTCTCCGCTCCTCCACATGCAGCTGCTGGGTGACCTTGGGCCAGTCACACTTCTCTGAAGTCTCTCAGCCCCACTCACCTCACACAGTGTTTGTTGTGGGGGAGGAAGGGAAAGGAGAATGTTAGCCGCTTTGAGACTCCTTAAAGGGAGTGAAAGGCGGGGTATCAAATCCAAACTCTTCTTCTTCTTCTTCCCTGACCATTGATTGACTGGACTACATATCCCATCATCCCCGACCATCGATTGACCATGGCAGCTCAGGCTCTGGGGGCAGCAGCCTTGGGCGCAGGATTCTGAGGGCACGAGAGGCCACAACCAGGCACTCCCATGGCAAGCAAGCACCCTGAAGGGAGGCAACCTGCGTCACTGCCTGCCCATCTGTCTTCCCGGCACGCACGGAGGAGGAAGCCCAGCTGGCTGATGTGGAGCCACACTCCCCTTTCTCTGTAGGAGAAGGAGGCACTGTCCCAGCCCCAAAGGCCTGGCCCTGGCATGGTTTGCCTCTCCTTGAATACAAGAAGCTACTAGAAGCTTCACTGTGTGAGAGAAGCAGACAGAAGGGTTAATGATTGTTGGGGTTATACCTTCTGGGACGCTGGTTTGAACTGGTTCTCTTATCTCTATTCTATTCTATTCTATTCTATTCTATTCTATAAATATAGGCCAGAAGGCGCCTGGGTCTTTACTTTTTCTCTTCCTATCTCTCTTCCTTCTAGCATGGTGTTTCTGTTTGTGTATGCTATAGCATTAAGGTTTAGTCTTGTTGTACGTTTATAAGTTTTGTAAGTGCTGCAACTCTGTATGGACTGAGCCAATCCTGGTTGTATTGGATTTGATAACCATTACGCTCATTTGCCTTCGGCACAAGTAAAACTCTGCTGGATGAAATATTGCCTCTGGTCTATTTTGGGGGACTCTGCTGAACACTGTGACATGTTAAAAGTTTTTTCCTCCACACATATGACACACATATGACAGCATGGTTGTGCCATCTCGCACCCTCTCAGAATCTGGTGGCATTGGTGTTGGAGTGCTTAATAATAATAATAATAATAATAATAATAATAATAATTTTTTATAAGATATTTATTAAGATTTTTTAAAATATTACAATAAAAATGAAAAAAATGACAAAAATACAAAATAAAAATAGTTAAAAACACACAGATTTTCCATTACTTATTTTCCTTTGACTTATTTCCCGGACCTCCTCATACCTCCCTTTTTGTATTCCACTTCAATCTGTTGGTTCAGCAAATCCTTTAAAAGTAGTAATATTAAATTTTTACCTATTTATAACCCTTTTTCATATTCCTTAAAGCATTACAGCTGGAAACCACTTAATTACTATCCAACATCACTTTAACATTCATTAATTTTACAATATTTCTGTAGATAATCTTTGAATTTCTTCCAATCTTCTTCCACCGACTCTTCTCCCTGGTCTCAGATTCTGCCAGTCATTTCTGCCAGTTCCATATAGTCCATCACCTTCATCTGCCATTCTTCCAGAGTGGGTAGATCTTGTGTCTTCCAATACTTTGCAATGAGTATTCTTGCTGCTGTTGTGGCATACATAAAAAAAGTTCTGTCCTTCTTTGGCACCAATTGGCTGACTATGCCCAGGAGAAAGGCCTCTGGTTTCTTCAAGAAGGTATGCTTAAATACCTTTTTCAGTTCATTATATATCATTTCCCAGAAGGCCTTAATCCTTGGGCACGTCCACCAAAGGTGAAAGAATGTACCTTCAGTTTCTTTACATTTCCAGCATTTATTGTCGGGCAAATGATAGATTTTTGCAAGCTTGACTGGGGTCATGTACCACCTGTATATCATTTTCATAATATTCTCTCTTAGGACATTACATGCCGTAAACTTCATACCTGTGGTCCATAACTGTTCCCAGTCAGCAAACATAATATTATGTCCAACATCTTGTGCCCATTTAATCATAGCAGATTTCACCGTTTCATCCTGAGTATTCCATTTCAACAGCAAGTTATACATTCTTGACAAATTCTTAGTTTTGGGTTCTAACAGTTCTGTTTCTAATTTTGATTTTTCCACCTGGAAGCCAATTTTCTTGTCCAAATTATATGCCTCCATTATCTGATAATAATGAAGCCAGTCTCGCACTTTATTTTTCAGTTTCTCAAAACTCTGCAGTTTCAGTCTATCTCCATCTTGTTCCAAAATTTCCCAATATTTCGACCAATTGGCCTCCATATTGAGCCTTTTCAGAGCTTTCGCTTCCATCGGTGACAGCCACCTTGGGGTTTTGTTTTCCAGCAAATCCTTGTATCTTATCCAAACATTAAACAGTGCTTTCCTGACAATATGGTTTTTAAATGCTTTATGCGCTTTGACCTTGTCATACCACAGATATGCATGCCATCCAAATACATTATTAAAACCTTCTAAGTCCAAAATGTCTGTGTTTTCAAGAAGCAGCCATTCTTTCAACCAGCAAAAAGCTGCTGATTCATAGTAAAGTTTAAAGTCTGGCAGGGCAAATCCACCCCTTTCCTTTGCATCCGTTAATATCTTAAATTTTATTCTGGGCTTCTTGCCCTTCCAGACAAATCTAGAAATATCTCTCTGCCACTTCTTGAAACAGTCCATCTTGTCCACAATTTGCAATGTTTGAAACAAAAACAGCATTCTAGGCAATACATTCATTTTCATCACAGCAATACGACCCAACAGTGAAAGCTTCAAATTTGACCAGATTTCTAAATCTTTTTTCACAACTTAAGAACTACCGCCCTATATCGTTACTAAATGTGGATTACAAAATTTTTGCAGATATTTTGGTGAAGAGATTTTAAAAAGTATTGATGGAAGAGATTCACAAAGACCAAGCGGGCTTTCTTCCAGGAAGACATTTGTCTGACAATTTGAGGAATATAATTGATATCTTGGAAAAATTAGAAGTGAATATAAACACTAAAGCAGTGTTGATATTTGTAGACGCGGAGAAAGCCTTTGACAACATTTCTTGGAATTTTATGAAGAAGAATCTACAGGGTATGTGGGTAGGCCAAGGTTTTGAGAATGGTATAAGTGCAATTTATTCAGAACAAAAGGCTAAACTAATTGTAAATAATGTTGTGACGGAAGAACTTAAAATTGAAAAGGGACACGACAAGGTTGCCCAATTTCCCCACTTCTTTTTATTTCGGTCCTGGAGGTTCTGCTGAATATGATTAGAAGGGACCAGTCGGTTAAAGGTATACAGGTCGGAACTAAACAGTACAAATTGAGAGCATTTGCAGATGACTTAGTATTGACGTTACAGGAGCCAGAATCTAGTACTAAAAGGGTTTTAGAACTGATTCAAGAATTTGGTCAAGTGGCAGGATTTAAATTGAACAAGTTAAAAACTAAGGTTTTAGAGAAAAATTTAACACCGTTTGAAAGAGAGAGGTTTCAGAATGAGACAGGTTTAACAGTGGTTAAGAAAGTTAAATATTTGGGGATTAACATGACAGCAAAAAATGGGAACTTATTTAAAGATAACTATGAAAAATGCTGGTCTGAAGTGAAAAAGATTTAGAAATGTGGTCAAATTTGAAGCTTTCACTGCTGGGCCGTATTGCTGCGATAAAAATGAATGTATTGCCTAGAATGTTGTTTTTGTTCCAAACTTTGCAGATTGTGGACAAAATGGATTGTTTCAAGAGGTGGCAGAAAGATATTTCTAAATTTGTCTGGCAGGGCAAGAAGCCTAGAATAAAATTTAAAATACTAACAGATGCAAAGGAAAGAGGTGGATTTGCCCTGCCAGACCTTAAACTTTACTATGAATCAGCAGCCTTTTGCTGGTTGAAAGAATGGCTACTTCTTGAAAACACTGACATTTTGGACTTGGAAGGTTTCAATAATGTATTTGGATGGCATGCATATCTATGGTATGATAAGGTCAAAGCACATAAAGCATTTAGAAACCACATTGTCAGGAAAGCGCTATTTAATGTTTGGTTAAGATATAAGGATTTGTTAGAAAACAAAACCCCAAGGTGGCTGTCACCAATGGAAGCGAAAGCCTTGAAAAAGGTCAATATGGAGGTCAAATGGCCGAAATATTGGGAAATTTTGGAACAAGACGGAGATAGACTGAAATTGCAGAGTTTTGAAAAACTAAAAGACAAAGTGCGAGACTGGCTTCATTATTATCAGATAATGGAGGCATTTAAATTGGACAGGAAAATTGGCTTCCAGGTGGAAAGATCCAAATTGGAAACAGAATTGTTAGAACCCAAAACTAAGAATTTGTCAAGAATGTATAACTTGCTGCTGAAATGGAATACTCAGGATGAAACGGTAAAATCGGCTATGATTAAATGGGCACAGGACGTTGGACATAATATTATGTTTGCTGACTGGGAACAGTTATGGACCACAGGTATGAAATTTACGGCATGTAATGCCTTAAGAGAGAATATTATGAAAATGATATACAGGTGGTACATAACCCCAGTCAAGCTTACGAAAATCTATCATTTGCCCGATAACAAATGTTGGAAATGTAAAGAAACTGAAGGTACATTTTTCCACCTTTGGTGGACGTGCCCAAAGATTAAGGCTTTCTGGGAAATGATATATAATGAATTAAAAAGGTATTTAAGTATACCTTCCCTAAGAAACCAGAGGCCTTTCTCCTGGGCATGGTCGGCCAAATGGTGATAAAAAAGGATAGAACTTTCTTTATGTATGCAACAACAGCAGCAAGAATACTCATCGCAAAGTATTGGAAGACACAAGAACTTCCCACGCTGGAGGAATGGCAGATGAAACTTATGGACTATATGGAATTGGCGGAAATGACTGGTAGAATCCGTGACCAGGGAGAAGAGTCGATGGAGGAAGATTGGAAGAAATTCAAAGACTATCTTCAGAAACACTGCAAAATTAAAGAATGTTAGAGTGATGTTGGATTGAAAATAAGTGGTTTCCAGCTGTACAGGTTAAAGTTAATGATAGACTAAGATTAAAGATTAAGATTAAAGATGTTTAAAGAAATGGAAATTTGATATTAAGAGGGAAAATTTTAATGTTATATGATACTAAGACCAAGGATTAGGTTTAAAGAAGTTGAAGTTATATATTTTAATATTTTATCAAATTAAAGATTGGGATTAAAAAAAGTGGAAAAGAAACTGCTGGACAAATAATTTGGATTGGAATACAAAAGAGGGAGGTATGAGGAAGTCCAGAAAGTAAGTAATTTAAAAATGGAAATGGAAAAGAGATATTGTTTTTAATTGTTATGTTTTTCTGTTTTTTTTTATTGTTGAATTTTGTGTTGCTTTTTGTGTGTGTTGTTGTTATATGTATTGTGTATGTTTTTTTTCCTCTTTTTTATTGTCTAAAACTTTAATAAAAATTATTTTTAAAAAAACAACAACATTTTTCATAATTATCTTTAAATAAGTTCCCATTTTTGGCTGTCATGTTAATCCCCAGGTATTTCACTTTCTTTACCACAGTCAATCCTGTCTCATTCTGAAACCTCTCTCTTTCAATCAGTGTTAAATTTTTCTCTAAAACCTTAGTTTTTAACTTGTTCAGTTTAAATCCTGCCAGTTGACCAAATTCTTGAATTAGTTCTAAAACCCTTTTAGTACTAGATTCTGGCTCCTGTAACGTCAATACTAAGTCATCTGCAAATGCTCTCAGTTTGTACTGTTTGGCTCCGACCTGTATACCTTTAACCAACCGGTCCCTTCTAATCATATTCAGCAGAACCTCCAGGACCGATATAAAAAGCAGTGGGGAGATTGGGCACCCCTGTCGTGTCCCTTTTCTATCTTAAATTCTTCCGTCACCACATTATTTACAATTAATTTAGCCTTTTGTTCAGAGTATATTGCACCTATACCATTTTCAAAACCTTGGCCTGCCCCCATCCCCTGTAGGTTCTTCTTCATGAAGCTCCAAGAGATGTTGTCAAAGGCTTTCTCCGCGTCCACAAATATCAGAACTGCTTTAGTGTTTATATTCACTTCTAGTTTTTCCAAAATATCAATTATATTTCTCAAATTATCAGACAAGTGTCTTCCTGGGAGAAAGCCCGCTTGGTCTTTATGGATCTCTTCCATCAATACTTTTTTCAATCTCTTGGCCAAAATGTCTGCAAAAATTTTGTAATCCACATTAAGTAACGATATAGGGCGGTAGTTCTTAAGCTGAGTCTTTTCAGTCTCTGTTTTCGGTATAAGTGTAATGTACGCCTCTTTCCACGACTCTGGTGCCCTTTTCCTTCCAATATTTCATTACAGACTTCCTTCAAAGGTTGTAATAGCCACTCTTTCAAAGATCTATAATATCTAGAAGTCAGCCCATCCGGTCCTGGAGATTTGCCCAATTGCATATTTTGAATGGCACCTTCTACTTCCTGTTCAGATATTTTATAGTTCAACATTAATTTGCTTTCTTGGGAGATTTTTGTAGTCCATTTGTCTTCAAAAATTTGTCTATGTCCATTTCTTTCTGTGGCCCTTGTGTGTATAATTGTTTAAAATACCTCTGGAAACAGTCTCTAATCTCAATTGGGTTATGTATATTCTTTCCTTCCACTTCTAAGTTTGTGATAGTATTTAATTTTTGTCTTTTTTTCATTTGCCAGGCCAGCAATTTCCCACATTTATTAGCTGATTCAAATGTTTTTGTCTCATTTGTTTAATTTTCCATTCTATTTCCTGATTCATCATTTCCATATATTGTACTTGATATAATTTTATTTCTCTCAAAATCTCCTGCGACTTTGGTTTTGCTCTCAGTTTCTTCTCACTTTCTTTTATTTTCTCCAAAATTTTATCTTTTTTCTCATTTTGACTTCTCTTCTTTATTGCATTCTGTTGTATCAGAAACCCTCTCATAACAGCTTTACTTGCGTCCCAGATTACTCTTTTTTCTACATTGGTGTTCATATTTATTTCAAAATAATCTCTCAAAGTTTTGGGGCCTTTTTATAGACTTCTTCATCTCTAAATAAGGTGTCATTCATCCTCCATCTGAAGGAGCCAGTTGATATTTGTTTCATCTCCATCCTTACAGCGTTATGGTCGGAGCAGGTTTTTGGGCAGATTTCCACTTTCTTTATCTTTGGTGCCATTCCTCTAGTTACCCATATTTGATCAATTCTAGTCCATGTCATCTTGGCTTCAGAAAAGAAAGTTCCCTCTCTTCCCAGGGGGTTCTTTACTCTCCAAATGTCCACTAAGTCCATATTGTCTGTCATCCCAAAAAATGTTTTCGGTAGTCTACCATCCTTGGTAACTACCTGTCTTTGTGCCTTGTCCATGTTTGTAGATACTACTCCATTCATATCCCCCATAATGCCATCTCGCACCCTCTCAGAATCTGGTGGCATTGGTGTTGGAAAGCTTAATAATAATAATAATAATAATAATAATAATAATAATAATATTTTTATAAGATATTTATTAAGATTTTTTAAAATATTACAATAAAAATGAAAAAAATGACAAAAATACAAAATAAAAATAGTTAAAAACACACAGATTTTCCATTAATAATAATAATGATAATAATAATTTATTATTTATACCCCGCCCATCTGACTGGGTTTCCCCAGCCACTCTGGGCGGCATCCAATTAAATATTAAAAACAATACAGCATCAGACATTAAAAACTTCCCTAAACAGGGCCGCCTTCAGTTGTCTTTTAAAAGTAAAATAGTTGTTTATTGCCTTGACATCTGCTGGGAGGGCGTTCCGCAGGGCAGGCACCACTACCGAGAAGGCCCTCTGCCTGGTTCCCTGTACTCTCACTTCTCGCAGTGAGGGAACTGCCAGAAGGCCCTTGGAGCTGGACCTCAGTGTCCGGGCTGGATGATGGGGGTGGAGACACTCCTTCAGGTATATTGGACCGAGGCCATTTAGGGCTTTAAAGGTCAGCACCAACACTTTGAATTGTGCACGGAAACGTACTGGGAGCCAATGAAGATCTTTCAGGACAGGTGTTATATGGTATCGGTGGCCACTCCCAGTCACCAGTCTTGCTGCCGTGTTCTGGATTAGTTGTAGTTTCTGGGTCACCTTCAAAGGTAGCCCCACGTAGAGCGCGTTGCAGTAGTCCAAGCGGGAGATAACTAGAGCATGCACCACTCTGGCGAGACAGTCCGCGGGCAGGTAGGGTCTCATCCTGCGTACCAGATGGAGCTGGTAGACAGCTGCCCTGGACACAGATTTGACCTGTGCCTCCATGGGACAGCTGTGAGTCCAAAATGACTCCCAGGCTGCGCACCTGGTCCTTCAAGGGCACAGTTACCCCATTCAGGATCAGGGAGTCCTCCACACCAGCCTGCCCCCTGTCTCTCAAAAACAGTACTTCTGTCTTGTCAGGATCCATTCCCCTGGATTCTGCAATTGCAGAAGTGCAGCCGAAATGGAAGGGAATAAGGCAGCCTGTTCCTAACTCCCTTGCTCTTCTGCCCCTTGGAACGAAAAGCGTTTACAGTGCTTGGGTAAAAACTGAGGGAGACAAAGGTGGAACTGATCAAAATGAGAAGAAGCTGAAGACCGACACAGATCTGACAAAACCTCTGAGCAGTCATCTCCACTGTGTATACAGACATATGCACAGATTGGAGTGCATTCAATTGCAATTGGTTTTCCCTTGTTCCAGAAGCAGCAGTTACAGCTCTTGAAGAAAAGGCAATAAGCAGGAATAGACTTCTTTGCCATCGCTGATTCATCTCACTATTGATTCCGCTCTACTTGGGATACAAACATTGGTTAGAGACTTAATCTACTTTGCTCCATTGTTTTTATATTGCCTCTAGATCGGGGTTCTTTTATGATGAATCACAACAACAGCTCAGACTAATGCTTTAAAAGCTTTTGCAAGTGTTACGCAGCATCTTTCTTGGCCTACTTCTTTCCGAGACAAAGAGGGACAAATATTTTGAGTGTCTTGTCCTCCCCGATGTGTTGTGAAACATTGTTAGCATTTGCAGAGGATCCCAGCGTTGGTCTTCCTCAGAAGAGGATGCTGGGAAATAAGCAGGGCCAGCCCAAGACGTTTTTGCCACTTGAGGCGAAGGACAAAATCAATGCCATCCGTATATAGAAGCTGGCTGGACTGGCAGTAGAAACTCCAGTACTGACAACAGGATTGTATACTCCACAGCAAAGTCCAGATGGGACACATTCAGCTCTGCCCGCCTACAGAAGGGTACAGCTGGGAGTTCAGGAGGATGGACACACACACACACACACACACACACACACACACACACACACCTGTATTTGCTGCTGAGGCACTTGCCTCATCCTGGCTAATGGTAGGGCCATGAACTGTGTTTCAATTCATGTATTGCGAACCAGAGCAGCGCACGGAAACGCTGTTTACCTTCCCGCCGGAGCGGTACCTCTTTATCTACTTGCACTTTGATGTGCTTTTGAACTGCTAGGTTGGCAGGAGCAGGGACCGAGCAATGGGAGCTCACCCTGTCGTGGGGATTCAAACCGCTGACCTTCTGATCGACAAGTCCTAGGCTCTGTGGTTTAACCCACAGCGCCACCCGCGTCCTCAGCCCTAATCTCCCTCAAATTCGTTGGATGATCTCTTTTATTATAATGGTTTTTAATTTTTTTAAAAAAAAACCTTCTCCCCTCCTCTCTCCATTCCATTCAGTATTTTATTAATCTCTATAATATCTACCCCGCTCCACAATTGCCATCATTCTTCTATCCTCAATTCCTATCTCTATCTCTTCCAGCCTTTAAGCTGTAGCTGTTTGTTGTTGTTTTTTTTGTAACGAATTTAATTGGGTTGCTGAAATCAGCAGTGCTGTTTTGCTATAATGTTTAAGTTCTCCAGGGGACAGTTGCTGCTTTAATGTACTTGCTGGCTATTTACTATATTTATTCAATTTATTACTATAGTTTTAAAGTATGTTAACCATACATATTTAGCCGAAGATTAATGTCTTTTATATGTTATTGCATTACAACCGTTTCACCTGGGTACCATGTGAGAAAGTTCATTTTTAAATAATATTTTAAAGTAACTTCTGAGACTTGCCTACAGGTCCAACCAATTCTCTGTACTGGACTATAGGTGTGGTGTGAATAACACGCCTGGAGGCAAATTTAAACCAACAACCAATTTTGCTTTTCCTAAAGGTGTTTTCTTTTTTGTAAGGCAGTCATTTATACATTTATTATAAAGATATTAAAGAGGGGGGCTAAAGTAGTTTGAACAATTAACCATAAGAGCAAATGAAAATAGCCTAAGAAAACATGTCCAGCTACACTGTTTGCGAGCCCAAGCGCTAACTCCCCTGGGAGCCAGCCCATAAATAAGGAGACACGACAATGATGTATGGGATAAAAATAGGCCACAACTTTATTGATTTCAGATGTCTGAAACCTTGGCCTAGGCATTGTTGGGTCTGAGGATGCACAGGGCAGACAGGTTGTGCTGGTCCCGGGGGGGGGTACCGTGCGGCGTGGTCTGAGTCCGGTCCTAGGTTGAGGGTATGGAAGCTGTCTGTCAAGGGCAAAGCGGGGTCCAAGGCAAGGAGCCGGGCATGGTCAGGAACTCTGGAAGAGCAGGACAGGGTGCTGGCAGGAACAGGTTTCCAATGACGTTGCTCCCGCAACCTGGGACTGGGCTGACTGGCCTTTATCTCCTCTGATTCATAGGGTGGTCCCGGCCCACAGGTGACCCGCCTCTCCTGGCCTTAAGGTGAGCACTCCTCCTAAGAGAACTTAGTTCCCTCCGCCTCTCTGCCCTGAGCCTCTGCAGCTCAGGAGAGGCTGGAGGGTTACCGGACCCAGAGGCAACCTCACCTTCCCCTGACAGGGCTGGGAGAGGAGCACCTGCAGGCAATGGGTCCTCCATGACCTCCGGAGCCAGAGTGGATTCATCTGGTGTCTGCTCCTGAGGATCCAGCATAGGTGAGGGCCCTTCAGGTTCAAGCCCCTGCCCCAGCTCAGCCGGCCCTGGAGGCGGGGACTCATGTGCAGGCTGAGACTCGTAATCTGGTGAACTGGGTTCGATTCCCTGCTCCTCCACATGCAGCTGCTGTGTGACCTTGGGCTAGTCACACTTTTTTTTAAGTCTCTCAGCCCCACTCACCTCACAGAGTGTTTGTTGTGGGGGAAGAAGGGAAAGGAAATTATTAGCCGCTTTGAGACTCCTTAGGGTAGTGATAAAGCGGGATATCAAATCCCAACTCTTCTTCTCAACCAAAAGCAGCCATTCTTCAACAAAGAACAAATCTCAAAATGGTGGAACAAGTTCCTCCAACACCGAGTGACAGCAACTTGCCAAGCTCTCGGACAGAGGGTCCTTCCCAGGTATGGAATCTGGAATCCTTTAACTGGCGATACGAACGACTGGAACTGGGATCTTTGGTATGCAATTCATGCCCTCTGCTATTAAGCAATGGCCTCACCCTGATGCTTCTGAGCCTTCCACAATCCATTCATAGCAGGAGCACTATTGGTCAATGAAGTGCCGAGTGCTCTCAAAAAAACTAATGTATTAATGTTACTTCTACGTTTATTAAAGTGTACACCGCTACCAAGTTTACCAGCGAGCTTATTTGAGCCCTCTTCGCCTATCAAACAATTGCTTTGGCATATGAGTCTTTCCAAACTAATGCTTACCTGCCCCTCCTCTTAATTTGAAATACTTTGTAAGTACCAACTTCATTACACCCTCTATAATAGGCTACAGAAATTGTTTTTGTCAATTGCCATCTTGCAGACTACTTAGAAAATATACAGGAGATTTATTCAGGCTGAAGCAGCATTAAAATGTCATAGAATATAAATTATACCCTGCATTGTTCAAGTAATTTAATTGGGTGTGATTCAGTTGGACTAAAATAGCTTGATTTGTGGGTGAATGTACACGACAAATAATCTATAACAAAGGAGAGTGACATGCAAGATAAATAAATAAATTATAAATCCAGGTCTCCTGTGCAATTCTAAAGACTAATTATGGAATGAGGCAAACGGAAACATGTTTGAAATGGACCGGATTACACACCTGCATTTACGGATGTAAGACATCGAATTTTGCATATCCATATTAGAAAGTTGCCGCAGAAGGACAATCATGCACTATAATCCCAGGAAAGTGAGCATTACTGGTAGCCCACTAGCGCCACCATTTGGGGAAATCAAACATCACCAAATATTGCTACATAAATGCAGAGATTCCCAAAACACATGCCAGGCACATGAGTGTGCAACCAGAGGGGCTGAGGTGTTCATCTGCATAATTTTTAGGTTTCATAGAATTAGGGACCCCCTTGCCACCCTCAGATAGTAAGCAGATGTTTGATTTATTACCTGCCCTCCAGCATTAGTTGCAGCAACTTAAAAATACAATATTAAACAGCTTAAAACAAATTACAGTCGTAAGAATAGGGTGAGCCCTAAGAATATATATCTCCAGCAACAAAGACCAGGGTAAAGAGGGGCAGCCTGGTGTACAACATAAACTATATAATGAAGGGCAAAAGCCGCGTTTCAGATTTTTGGTGCCTACATCTTTAAGGGCTTTAAACATTAAGGTCAGCATCTTGAATTGGGTGCAGAAATGAGCTGGCAACTAATGCAACTGTTTTAAAACGGAGTTATACAAGATGGAAAGGAAACCTCAGGAAATCCACTCACTGCATTTTGTACCACTTAAAAGTTTCCAAGTCACCTTCACATAGAGTGCACTGCAGTAATCCAGTCTGAAAGTTACTAGCACATGGAGTACTGCGGCCAAGTTGTCTCTTGTCTTAAAGGTGCTCAAAGCTGGTGAACCAGTCAGAGATGAAAATAGCCCCTTCTGTCCGCCGATGATAATAATAATAATAATAATAATGTATTATTTATACCCCACCCATCTGGCTGAGCTTCCCCAGCCACTCTGGGCGGCTCCCAATCAAGTGTTTAAAAAAGTACAGCGTTAAATATTAAAAACTTCCCTGAACAGGGCTGCCTTCAGATGTCTTTTAAAGATAGGCTAGCTGCTTATTTCCTTCACATCTGAAGGGTGTTCCACAGGGTGGGCGCCACTACCGACAAGGCCCTCTGTCTGGTTCCCTGTAACCTCACTTCTCGCAATAAGGGAACTGCCAGAAGGCCCTCGGCACTGGACCTCAGTGTCCGGGCTGAAGGATGGGGGTGGAGACGCTCCTTCAGGTATACAGGACCGAAGCAGTTTAGGGCTTTAAAGGTCAGCACCAACACTTTGAATTGTGCTCGGACACGTACTGGGAGCCAATGCAGATCTCTCAGAACTGGTGTTATGTGGTCCCAGCGGCCACTGAGACCATCTGAGCCTCCAGGGACAACATTGAATGCAGGAGGAGCCCCCAAGCTAGGACCTGCTCCTTCTAGAGAAGTACAGCTTCATCCATAACACCTCCATCTTTTCAGGATTCGGTTTCATTTTATTGGCTCACCTCCAGCCCATCCCTGCCTCTGGCCCAGCATCTCAACCACCTCTCCTGATTCAGATGAAACAGAAAGATTGAGCAGAGTGTCTCCTGCATTTTGGTGACACCTCCCTCCAAATCTCCTGAGGACCCTTCCCAGCAGCTTCAGGTAGATGTTGAATAGCACGGGGGACAAGGTGGAACCTTGTGGACACTTCAGGACAGTATCCATGGTGCTGAACAGGCACCTCCTCCATACAGTGGTACCTTGGTTTAAGAACAGCTTAGTTTATGAACAACTCGGATTAAGAACGCTGCAAAGCTGGAAGTAGGTGTTTTGGTTTGTGAACTTTGCCTTGGAAGCAGAACATGTTTCACTTTCTGTTGAGTGCGTTCCATTTGTAAATTGAGTCCCCCGTTGCTATAGGAAAGCATGCCTTGGTTTAAGAACGCTTTGGTTTAAGAACAGACTTCCGTAACAGATTAAGTTCGTAAACCAAGATACCACTGTAACTACTTTCTGGAAACAGTCCTGGGGGTAGAAATGGAACCAATGAAGTATGGTGCCCCCAGCCTCTACCTCCCTGAGCTGCTCTATAAGAATACCATAGTCAATTACAGTGGTACCTCAGGTTAAGTACTCAATTCGTTCTGGAGGTCCGTTCTTAACCTGAAACTGTTCTTAACCTGAAGCACCACTTTAGCTAATGGGGCCTCCTGCTGCTACCACACCACCAGAGCACGATTTCTGTTCTTATCCTGAAGCAAAGTTCTTAACCCGAGGTACTATTTCTAGGTTAGCGGAGTCTGTAACCTGAAGCGTATGTAACCTGAAGCGTATGTAACCCGAGGTACCACTGTATATTGAAATTCACCCAGAGGTAGATCACACTCTCTGCAATCTCCCCATCTCTCTCTTAACAGATGTCTTCAGCCAGGATGACCAAGGTGGTTTTAGTGTCATGACTAGGTCTGAAGCCAGAGTGAAATGGATCTAGATATTATCCTCCCAAGAATGCCTCAAAGTAGCCTGCCAGTACTCTCTTGAGCACCTTGTCCAAAAAGGGCATATTTGCCACTGGGCAACAACGATGATGACGATGATGATGTTATTTATACCCACTCTGGGCGGCTCCCAACAGAATATTAAAAAAAAGATAAAACATCAAACATTAAAAACTTCCCTAAACAGGGCTGCCTTCAGATGTCTTCTAAAAGTCAGATAGTTGTTTATTCCTTTGACATCTGACGGGAGGGCGTTCCACAGGGCAGGTGCCACTACCAAGAAGGCCCTCTGCCTGGTTCCCTGTAACCTCACTTCTTGCAGTGAGGGAAATGCCAGAAGGCCATCAGAGCTGGACCTCAGTGTCCGGGCTGAACTATGGGTGTGGAGATGCTCCTTCAGGTATCCTGGGCTGAGGCCGTTTAAGACTTTAAAGGTCAGCACCAACACTTTGAACTGTGCTCGTAAACGCAACAATTGCTTAACATTTCAGAGTCTAGGGGGGTCCTTTTGAAGAAGAAGAAGAAGAGTTTGGATTTGATATCCCGCCTTTCACTCCCTTTAAGGAGTCTCAAAGCGGCTAACAATCTCCTTTCCCTTCCTCCCCCACAACAAACACTCTGTGAGGTGAGTGGGGCTGAGAGACTTCAAAGAAGTATGACTGGCCCAAGGTCACCCAGCAGCTGCAGGTAGAGGAGCGGAGACGCGAACCCGGTTTCCCAGATTACGAGACTACCGCTCTTAACCACTACACCACACTGGCTCTTGAGGGGATGCACCACCAGCTCTTTCACAGCGAATGGTAACTCCCCTTCCTCCAATGAAGCATTAACTACTCTCTGGACACTGGGAGACCTTCAATCTTCCCTGGTCCACAGTTTGGGAATCTCTGGTCTCGTTGAAGGTCTGTATGGCCACTCAGAAAATCTTGTCTCACCAGATATTGCTCCTAAAATCTAAAAGATGTAATATTGCTAATGGTGTTGATAGGTTTATTTGTGGACTGTGCTGCTGACAGTAACACACTTTTCCAGCTTTGATTGTGAAAAGATGAAAGGAGTCTGAAGAGCAGCATGCAGAGAGAAAAACCAAGCGAAGTCAAGCACATTCTTTGCTCCAGGATAAGGTATTTTGTGCTACATCTATGCACTGATGTAAGGCACAGCAATCAGATCCCTCAAAAAATGAGTGTTTGCCATAGAAGATAAATAGAGGTCAGCAAAAATCTGTTCTATTAGGAGATGAACTTCTCAGTAAGGCTATACAACTTGCAACACACCAGGCCAAACACGGTTCATCAGTCGTGGATGGCGGCCGCACAAGCCCTTGGCAATTCCCCCAGGATAGGTAACCTTGAATCCTCCAGATGTCATCCTCCCAACTCCCATCAGCTCTGGTCACCATGGCCAATGGCCAGGGATGATGAGAGTTGTAGTCCAACATCATCTGGAGAACCACAGGTTCCCTGCACCTGCCCTTCCCTCTCATTCAGGAATTTGTTGTTGCTCATCTGCAGTAGCAGAGAGAGGAGATCAATGCAGAATGGGGACCCCTCTACACAAATCTCATTTCTTGCGTTCCAGGAAAGCAGCAAAATTAGGTAGAACAGCAAGCTTCTGGTGGGCCTCCACCCATTGCTAGTGTCCTGCATTCAGCTTGGTAGCTATGCTCATAGACTCATAGAATAGAAGAATTTGAAGGGACCCTGAGGGTCATCTAGTGCAACCCCCGGCAATGCAGGAATCTCAACTAAAGCATCCATGACAGGTGACCATCCAACCTCTGCTTAAAAGCCTCCAAGGAAGGAGAGTCCCAAAGGAGTCCATTCCACTGTTGAACAGCTCTTACTGTCAGAAAGTTCTTCCTGATGTTTAGTCGAAATCTCCTTTCTTGGAACTTGAATCAATTGGTTTGAGTCCTACCCTCCGGAACAGGATAAAACAACATACCCAACTGCCTGAACCATTCCTCTTGGTTTCCAGACCCTTCCTTGATCATCTTGGTTGCTCCTCTCTACAAGCATTCTAACTTGTCAATATAATAATAATAATAATAATAATAATAATAATAATAATAATAATAATAATTTATTATTTATACCCCGCCCATCTGGCTGGGTTTCCCCAGCCACTCTGGGCGGCTTCCAAAAGAATATTAAAATACTGAGATACATCAAACATTAAAAGCTTCCCTAAACAGGGCTGCCTTCAGATGTCTTCTAAAAGTCTGGTAGTTGTTGTTCTCTTTGACATCTGGTGGGAGGGCGTTCCACAGGGAGGGCGCCACTACCGAGAAGGCCCTCTGCCTGGTTCCCTGTAACTTGGCTTCTCGCAGTGAGGGAACCGCCAGAAGGCCCTCGGTGCTGGACCTCAGTGTCCTTATATCCTTATTAAACTATGGTGCTGAGAACTGGACACATGCAGTGATGTTGGGACCAGAGGCAAAATACCTCAGTTTTTGAATGTCTCCGTTGCTGAACATTTTGGTTTTCGAACGCTGTAAACCTGGAAGTAAATGCTTCAGTTTTCGAACATGCCTCGGAAGTTGAACATGCTACGCAGCTTCCATGAGTGCAACAACCTGAATCCTAGCTGTCGGCTATTGAGTTTTCAGTTTTCGAAATAGCTGTTGGCTATTGAATTTTTGATCTAGTTTCTACATACATTCGCCTCTGTCCTCCAGCCTGACAGGCAAGGGACATTATCAGAGCTTACCGAACACAAAACTGGCAATAGTCACACAAGACAAGCTTGCTGTCATTCTCAGGGGTGTGGATTTATCCTCCTGCGAGCTAAACATTCACGTTCTTGAAAAACAGGCCAAAAAAAATAGCCTTTTTTTTTTTTTGCTTTTATTACAAGCATATAATATTAATTGGCAGAACACTGAATACAAGCTTCACTATCATAAAATCAAAACATTAAGCAATAATCCCCCAAAAGGCTTATCCAGACAAAAACTAGCCACCAATAGTACAAAAGTTACACAGCAACACAAAGCGTAAAAAAAAAATTGTAAACTTTCAAATGAAACCAAGCCAAAAAATATGATTTATTTGTTTTTAATACGGCAAGAATTTTCAGTAACTTAATTATGCCACAAAGTGAGGATAAAGGCTTAAACGGTTGCACTGGCTTATTGTCCCATAACCCTAAATTTATCTCGTTGCAAGCGAATGGTATTTTTGACACTTGCCCTGTCACTTGGCTGTTATCGCTGCCTTTTTAAATGGGGCATTTTGCAATACCCGAAGCCCAGCGGGTGTGCACAGTGCACCTTAGGTAACCTTCCTCACCCAAGTAAATGTGCCCATTCACACAAAACATTAGGAGGAGGAGGACCCACTCGTAGCTTCGACAGGTTCAACGCTCATGGGCATTTGTAGAACTCCAGACAGGTGCAGTGGTCAGAACAACACATTCAGCAACAGAACAAGGCCTGGAACCCAGATCTGCCACAGAGCTGCAAAACAGTAGGGTTAAGGGAACCAATTGCAGCAGAGGAGTAGGGTGGGAGAAAGTGCTTAACATTTCCTGCACCGTTTCCCTCCTGCAACCTCCACTTCACCCCAGCCAGGGCTCCAGAAGCATGTTTGTAGGATTGTGGAGGCAAGTGGTCGGTAGGGAAAATGGTTAAGCAACACACACAAACACCCTGCTTCCTCCGCTGCAGATCTCCATCTTCTCTGCCAATTTGCAGCTGCTCAGCAGAAACCCTGGATCTTAAGGACCTGGCAACCCTAGCCTTTGTGAGTCACCTCCAGGGCACAATTTGTGCTCAACGAAGAGGGGAGGAATTCAAACGGCAGCAGCCAGTTTTTAGGGTTAGAAACCAATTCCTGGAGAATGTGCATTCAGCCACCACTTCCACTTAAAGCGGAAACTGCGTTTCTAAGCCAACAGTATGCATCTTGCTAAAAACGTTGCATTTCCTGTGCACATTTTGACTATAAGGTGAATACGTCCACTTGCAATTCTGGCATGCAATGGGGTCTGCCTGCGCACCTCATCTTTTTACATTTGAAATTGGAGGGCACGTGTATATATGTTAAGTTAAGGTATCACGTGAAGTGTTTAAAACTGGAGCAATTACCTGAGGAAATACAGAAACAGATTTTTTTCTGTAAAATACAGTTTTAACCGTCTGCAGTAAATGCATTTCTTATATACTGGTTAAAATATAAAGTTATCAAAGTTATTGTGTAGATGTACAAACTGGTTGGCTTTCTCCTGTTGCATTTAAATTTACAGCTCAGTTTCAAATCATTGCAAATAGGCTATGCTAATAGAGTTGTCATCCACTGGAAAAGAAACAGGACAGTGAATCTCCCAAGACTAATTAGATTGTTATGAAAACAATAAGAGCCAGATAAGCTTTCAAAAGGCTCAAATCCTACTGAGGAGGAAAAAAAATAGCACCATCATATTTTGAAGTCTGATATTTTAAAATGATTGCATTTCCCCTCCAAGGTTACAGTTTGCATCTGGAGCATTGCACAACCACTGAGAAATAAATATTTCCAGGTTAAATGGTATACAAAATACCAGACATATTAATGGCACACAAAAAAAGATTCGGATAGGTTGCAAGTCTTGTCGATTTCTTCCACATTTTACATTTAAGAGTTTTTTGCCAAATCTTTTTGTTAAAAAATATTGCTGACAGGTAGTTCTTTCACACAGACACAACTCCCAAATGTCACTCTTAAAAATCCCAGGAAGGAAGGAGAAACAAAAAACAGAAGAGCCCATTTGAATGTACACTTAAACCCACCTACATTCCTTTTCAGATCTGTGGTTAGTAGATGCTACATTTAAAATCTTAAAGGTATGCCTAACAGAAGCATGTTTCAAACCTATTGCACAAAAAGCATAAAGTAATGCTCTTTATCCATACAAAACAAAAACATACTAAAAAAAAAAATCAAAGAAGGGGCCAAACTAAATATTACGCTAAATATGCAGCTGCTGTCATACATTATCACAGCTGTATCCTCCCTCTTTACTGCTCCGAAATATCTAGTACAACTTACCTGTGCCTCATGTAAGAGCGTTCACCATTTCTCATATCATTGTCTGCCTCCGGAAGGGTGCAAAGAGATGCGAAATGGCAGGAGAGCACAAATAAGTAATCATAAACATTACGGAGTTGGGGAGAAGACTTGACACAAGGCTGCCATTTTTGGTTGCAGCCACCCATTCAGCGCAACATCCAGTCTGGCCCTCACAAAAAGAAGGAAGAAGCTTGTAAAAAACATCTCACAATTTCATTTTATATGCCCATAAATAAAGCTGGACCATCAAAACCAAAAAAATACTTAGATGGTAAAAAGTAAGATAGAATGCTTAAAATAGAATAAATAATTTTATAAAGTTAACTTTTAACCCCCCCTGCCCCAATCTTATTTAAAATTCAATATTATATATTCTGATTTCTCTATTTTAAAAGAAAATTATACCAAGCGAGAACATGAACCTGCGTTATGCTCGTCTCTTTTGTTGCTGAGGATAATGCAACAAGATAATTTTACTCCATTTATTTACCAGCGGTAAGCAGTCATTTGAAAAAACAAAACAAAAAAAACCCTCGAAAACCAACTTCACAGTAACTTTTATAGATCACTTATCCAACCAAATTGTGTGGCCTGAGCCACTCAAGCTGAAAATGATTCCAAGACCTAAAGCCAGAAGATCAACAGAATGTTTTGCCAACATAATCATTGTGCAACCTGCCCCTTAAAAACTTCACAGAAGAGAGACAATTTCTATCACAAGGATCTGCTCTGTTGGTATTCACTGTGGTTGTGTTTTTTTCTGATAAAACAAGTCAGCTAGGTCTTTGGAACAAACACACCCCAAGGAACTGAGTTTCCACAGAAAAAAAAATGTATTCTAAGAAGCAGTTGAGAAAGAAAGAAAAACCCAAACATTTTCTGCCAAGGTTGTTTTCATCAGGCTGTTATAAAAGCAGAGATAAATACTCGCTGAAGAGCAGCAAAACCAGCTTAGGTGTCAACTGCTGGCTTTGGTTCCATGCACCTGCCTAGATATATATTTAAATATATTTATATAGCACCGTATCAAATTCAAGTGATTCAAAAATTTGCTAGAAACTTAGCAATACAGATTCTGTAGACTGCTGCAGTCAAGAGTTGTGGGGTTGTAGTTTGCATCTTGATACTATTTAATCCCTCAGTTTTAAGTTACACAGGATAACATTTATATTCCGTATTTTAAGATGGCATTGGTCATACAATTCAGCTGTGTATCTAGTCTGAGGTAGACTGAATAGTTGTATATGGTCATTTAACCCTCTAAAAGATTAATTGAATCAAGTGGGTATTGGACAAGGCTCCAAGCTTAAGGCTCACTAAGCAATGTTAGCCAATATGTTTTCAGATAGCACCATATGGCCTGTGAAATTGGGGGAAACCTTAAAGTTAAGACTCTACTTTTTCCAGGGGCCTCATACAGTCCCATATAGTCCTCCACACTCCACAAATCCATAGTCTTCCATTAACCAGTGCTTTCATTTTTAATATTGGAAGATACTTTCTGAGCAATGGCAAGCAATAGCTTAATGTGAAATGGGAAATTGCTTTTCACAGAAGTATGGCCTTATTAAGAAGGAGAAGCTACAAATTTAAGGGAAATTATCCAGTGGAAAATGCTCCTGCGAACAGGATAAGTGCCCTTAATGTTTAGTGTAGTCTTTGCGGTGCCCATTCATTTCATCAGGGCTTGCCCTGGAAGACTTTCCACAGAAAGAGTGTCCAGTGCCGTCTACTGCTAAGCCAAATCTCATCTAGTCATCTCAACATTTCCTACTTGCTCCCATTTCCCCTTCGTTCCTCTAATTGACTCCTTTGACTTCCACCTATTCAGATTTGCCATGATAAAATCTGAGGTAACGAAGGCCACACTGCTCACCTTAGAAAGATGGGCTCCTATCACACTGACAGGAGGAGCCAAAGGCATAGAGGAGGACAATGGCTGAAAGAAGCTGGGTGGTGAATTTTAATTCTAGTTGATGACAATAGAAAAATCAGGACTAGGGAAGGAAAGGACTTAATTCCTAACTGAAGAGGTGGGGGAGGTCTAGTGCTGCGAGAATCATCCATTCAAGAAGATGAGAACAGTATTTTAACTTGAGTGTATGCTATTAACACAGATACTTGATCTCAATGTTATCCAGCAACTACCTGCTTTGGACTTCAGTTTGGTAAGGATTTGTTAAATGGTCCACATGTCATAATACACCACCCCCTTGTTGCACCCTATCTGGGCTTCTTCCACAAAGGAAAGTCATTAACCTGCACCCATTAATATAGAGCAAGAATGCTCAGAAAAGCAAGTAGCAAAGATGGGCAAATTGCTATGGGCTAAGCATATTGGCTACTCAAGCATGTCTCCCTAAGTGGGGGAAAGCCTTCTACCAAGTCTGGGGAAACATCATCTCCCTCTCGACCTTCTTGCTGGTCTCTCTGAAACTCACCGCCTGTACATGACACTTGTTCATTTGGCCGCTCTGTGCTTCTCGTCAAGCCCAAATCCCACCAGCAGCGGGTTTATAAGCAACAGAGATAGGAGAAACCTAACTCAAGGCAGTGTACTGCAAAACGGCAAAACATCATGGAAAGTGATGTACCCTCTTCCCTACCAGTCCCTGGGATAAATACAAGTCCCAGCCAAGCTGGTGCCTGATGGCGGAAAGGCAGGTTTGTGTACATGCAAAGAATACACATGCCTCTGTGCATGTATGTGCATGTGGGAGAGGGAAAACATGCCAGTACGTAGGGTTACGTGCAACAATGAGAGTATGCACACATGTTACTGGGTGCAGCCCAGACTGGACCATTTAAATGGCCCCCGATGAAAGGGCCTCACGTGCCCTTGACCAATGAAGGCTAGCATGCAGTTTATCACACACCCACTTTGTGCGTGGTGCAAACTTGCAGAAGTCACATCCGAACGCAAACTTTAAAAATAAAAAATCTCAAGTTGCTTAAAGTGGAGCAGCATTTATCCTTTTTTAAGCTGTTCAATCCTCTATTGAGAGAGACAGTACTTACATAGTTTAGAGGGGCTAATGCATTCCTAGGGGGCTGGATTAAAAAATAAATAAAGATTTATAATTAAGGCCAGGAAGTACCACATTGCCATCTAAATCTGACCCCCATAAAGTTAATTCAGCAGAGAGTCAGGTGGACAGAACTGACTTACTAGGGAAACCAGAAACCAGAAAGAAAGTCAATGTACTAACGCATGTCGCCAAAGTGTGCTGTAGCATTAGTATTAGAGTGTTGTTCAAAAGGAACAAGACTGGAGTTCAAGTAGTTAAGGCTGCCAATGGCTTATTTCATTTACTGAAAGGCAAATCCCTCAGTCCAATATCAGCCCCAGCTCCGCAAGATCTATGTTCTAAATGCTCAGCACTTTTGATTTGACTGATAAAACCACGAATGGAAACAACTGAAAGTCTTCTGATAACCTCATCCAATGCATCAGCAAAGGAACCAAGGAGAACAGTCTAGAACAGTGAAACGTAGGAAATTCACTGCCAGCCATTAGATCTTTGTCAATGTTAAATAATCTAGGAAGGGCTTACTAACAGACAAGATGGCCGTGAGGTATAAAGAGACAGAAAATCTTGCAGAAAAATGTGCCACATTTAAGTTACGTTGTGAAGCAACACAAAAGTGGCTTAGGGGCAACAAATTCAAAATTCATCTCCTTCACAACACTTTAAACCTATTTTGCGTCTTTGCAAGATGATGACCAAGAACTGAGCTACACACAGGGAACTGTGAAGTGTTTTCAATGTCTGTAAACTTCGTGCTGGTAGTGTCCTCTCGAGTTGCGATATCCTTTTTTTTTTTTTTTGTAGAAAAAAGTATAAATATTTTTCTGTCCAGAAAGTCAGGTTAATGCATCCCTCAGAGAAAGATTCAGGGTGGCTGAACAGGAGAGCACTACTGTTCTCGGGAATGAATTCTGCTGGTCTGTGTCACGGGTCAATTGCGTGATGCACTAAGAAGGTGCCCGATGATAGTCTCTGCAAAAAACCGTCCAGAAGGACAAAATAGTTCTTACAGCAAGTCCATTTTGGGTCTGTAATGTAGCAGTAGAGGTGCTTTCTGAAAGATAAAATAATACACCTGCTTTTAGTAAATAGCTAATGCAATCAAAGTTTAGTGTAGAATGTAAGCAATTTATGTATCAAAATGGAAATTAATTTAAACCAATCATGGCCAACTTCTTTTGCATGTTTGTGTAGGGAGGTGGGTTTCCTCCCCAGTAAGTTTGTTTGGAGGCTTTAATCTCAAAAGTTAAATGCATCACGCTAACCACAAATATAACATACCTTAAATCTCCATCTCGTAACAACTACAAATTTGAGAGTGTGGTCCTTGCCCAGAATTTCTTCATTGCATAATATATCCAGCTAATAAAAACAGAAATATTTCATTTATTTATCAAACACAAATTGGCACAAATCCTGACACAATTTTAAACAGTTAAAATAAAGAAAATGCCGGTTTAAATGTAAACTGTAATCCCTTTATAGGCAAAATAGATGTTGCTTCAAAGAATCCCTATAAGGATCTTCAGAAGACAATTTGGAAGTCTTTTCTAATACAGTAAATCCATTTAGAGCTCAAACTCTAGGCCACAGGACAAATTGCATAACAAGGATATGTCTCTATCTGTCTCTATCACTGAGCTTGCCAGGCTGCTCAGGGATAATATTTGGGCACCTACTGGGGTTGCAAGACTCAGGGCATAAACTGCATTCTATAGTCTCTGTTGGTGTGCAGAACAATAAAGGGATAGGTCACAATCTGTGCTGTGCTCTACAACAGACCAGAAGCTCTGCCCTTGTGGAAAATAAACTAAAGCCAGAGTGTGTGGAAGTTATCAAAATGAGCATGTGCAAAGTTCTGAGCGTGCCTGCTTGAAGCAACTGTGAGAGGAAGGGATGAGGGAGGTCTGAATGAAAAAGCAGATAAAAAGAGTGTCATTTTAGCTCCCAGACAGGATTCACTAGGAACAAAAAAGAAGTTTGCAGAAGTCACCAGTAAATACCCAATTGTCCAGGGGCAAACTAGACCATTACTAAGCATTTAACCCTATGTATGAAGCAGTTGATAAGAAACAGCAATAAAAAAGGGAGGGGGAGGAAACTGGCAAATTGTGCCTCATTAGATATTTGATGGCCAATTTTGATTGTCCGGCTGCCTTCATCAGAATCAGAGTGTCTCATACATCCATATCATGACTATTAAGATGTAAACTATTATATGGTCCCAAAACATCCAGCTTAAGATGTCTCAACGTAGGTCTGGTTATACCTTCTACTTTCTCCTTCTGTCTGTCACTTTTGTCTGGCTTTTATTAGACCTGCAAGACCAGACACACAGGGCACACACACAATTTATATAGGGACCACCTCAGAAGTAGTCACCCAGCCACAGGGAAAATCTTGTTCAATAGGTTTATCCAATGTGAAGCAGGAAATCCATTCCCACATCCTAGGAGCTGATTGGACAAGCTCAGCCACGCACTTTCCCCTTGTCAGGTTACCTGCACCTCTCGCATCCACCATGATCTGGACTCCGCCCTTAGAGCAGATGGATCTCAAGGGATGTACAGAGCACTGCCTAGTCCTGTTCTGTTGGATGAGTTTTGGTTGTTAAGGCTCAAGGATGTGGACAAGATGCTTGGACTGGTCTGGGTGACCGCTTGCGCTCTGGACCCTTGCCCCTTGTGGCTGATAAAACTAGCAGGGAAGGGGAAGCTGGCTGGACCAGGGAAGTGATTAATGCCTCCTTGTGAGAGAAGGTATCCCTGCCTGCTTGAAGGAGGCAGTGGCAAGACCACTCCTTAAAAAGCCCTCCCTGGATTCAAAAATCTATGCAATTACCGGCTAGTTGCCAATCTCCCCTTCCTGGGCAAGGTTCTTGAGCGGGTGGTTGCGGACCAGATCCAGGCACTTTTGGAGGAAACTGATTTTCTAGATCCATTTCAATTGGGGTTTAGGCCCGATTTTGTCACAGAAACTGCTTTGGTCGCCCTGGATGATGACTTCTGTCAGGAGAGAGACAGGGGAAATGTGTCCCTGTTAATTCTCCCCAATCTCTCAGCAGCTTTCGATACCATCGAGCATGGTATCCTTCTGGAGCGACTGTCCGAGCTGGTGATGAGTGGTGGCACTGCTCTGCAGTGGTTCTGGTTCTCTCGCTGCGAGAAGTGAGGTTACAGAGCTTCTCAGTAGTGGCGTCTGCCCTGTGGAACGCCCTCCCAGCAGATGTCAAGGCAATAAACAACTACAGTGGTGCCTCGCAAGACGAAATTAATCCGTTCCGCGAGTGTCTTCGTCTAGCGGTTTTTTCGTCTTGCGAAGCAACCCTATTAGCGGCTTAACGGATTAGCGCTATTAGCGGTTTAGCGGCTATTAAAGGCTTATCGGCTTAGCGGATTAGCTGCTAAAAGGCTATTAAAGGCTTAGCGGCTTAGATAAAGGGGGGGGGGAAAGCGGAAAAAAAATCTCAAGACTCGCAAGACATTTTCGTCTTGCGAAGTAAGCCCATAGGGAAATTCGTCCTGCGAAGCAACTCAAAAACGGAAAACCCTTTCGTCTAGCGGGTTTTCCGTCTTGCGAGGCATTCGTCTTGCGGGGCACCACTGTATTTTACTTTTAAAAGACAACTGAAGGCGGCCCTGTTTAGGGAAGTTTTTAATGTCTGATGCTGTATTGTTTTTAATATTCAGTTGGAAGCCGCCCAGAGTGGCTGGGGAAACCCAGCCAGATGGGTGGGGTATAAATAAATTATTATTATTATTATTATTATTATTATTATTATTATTATTATGGTCCTACTTGCATGGTCACTGCTAGAGGGGGATGCTTGGAGAGTGCTCTTTGGCCCTGTAGACCCTTCAATGTGGGGTTCATCAGAGTTCAATTTTATCCCCTATGCTGTTTAACATGAAACCACTGAGTGGAGTTATCCAGAGTTTTAGAGTCCACTGTCGACAATATGCTGATGACACATGGCTCTGTTCTTCCTTCGCATCTGCAGGTGGGGCAGTGAATGTGCTGGACTCTCATCTTGCCTTGGCAATGGACTGGATGAGAGGCTCAATCCAAATAAGACTGACACACTGTTAGTGGTCGTTTCCCTAGGCCAGATGGATGGGAGGTGGCCTGCTCCTGATGGGCTTACACTCCCTCTGAAAGAACAGGTATGTAGTTGTCATTTGAGGCTCAGGTGGCCTCGGTGGTGCGGAGTGCCTTCCATTAGCTTCAGTTGCTGACCCAACTGCTCCCCTACCTGGGCAGGGATAGTCTAACTTCTGTGGTCTATGCTCTGGTAACATCTAGGTTAGATTAGTGCAACACAGTAGGGCTGCCTCTGAAGACAGTTCAGAAACTTCAGCTGGTGCAGAATTTGGTGGCCTGGTTGCTCAGTGAAGCAAGACGGTTTGAGCATATTACACCGACTGCACTGGTTGGCAATTAGTTTCCAGCCCCAATGCAAAGTGCTGGTTTTGATCTATAAAGCCTTAAACTGCTCAGGACTACAATAGCTCAAGGACACCTCTCCCCGTATGAACCAACTCAGACCCTGCCATCACCATGAGGCCCTTCTTTGAATGCCCCCTCCATAAGAGATCTGGAGGGCAGCAACACAAGAATGGGCCTTTTCTGTGGTGGCTCCCCATTTGTGGAATGTTTTCCCCAGGAAGGCTCCATGGCCTTTTAAATGTGTTTGTGGGAGGAGGGTTATTGGTTTGTTTTTGTTCTTATTTTATTACGTATTTTGTCTTTTCGTGTATTTTTATGTTGCGAGCCACCTCGTGAACTTCGGATGAAGGTTGGTAAACATATTTAATAAATAATAATTATAACAAGCTACGAAACCACCTAAATTCTAGAGGGTGAGGTATCAAATTGTGGCATTCAGCTTGCACAACAGACTTCCACTCATGCAAACATTACTTCCCTTACTTCTCCCCACCCCCCACAGCACTCTGTGTGCCCCTAAAATCTGCTCCACAAGTTTAGGGGACCTACTGGAGCTGATTTTTTTGTTTTTAAAGCACATTTCTAAGCTGCACAGTATGAATGAAAGCCTGAGGTTATCTCAGCTGTTTTTGCTTAAAAAAAAACTTGAAAAAGTAGAGAAGGCCTGGGACTTCAACAGTCAGGACAGGATGTCACTTAGTACAAGCCTCTACCCCAAACCTCATAACAGCCAAGTCTCCCTATAGATGCTAAAATGAATGGTTCAAATGGAAATAGCAGGTGAAGGAAGAATAGAGAAATATGACTAATACTGAAAAGCTTCAGAACCAATTCTAAGAGAAAATCTCATTTGTTATACCTAAAGGGGCTATTTCAAGATACCAACACTTTCTATTCATCAAGCTATTTCTGTCTCAGAAAAAAAAAACCTATCATTTGTAAATTGATGTTCTATTTTTTCAAAAAAAGAGTTGCAAGATCATTTTAAGAACACAACACAATCGTATGTTTGTTCTTTGTAAGGATAATTTTTTATAAAGTTTACCTCATTAAAAGAAGAAAGATTAAGCTTTTTGGCAATGAACTTCTTTAGATGTAAGACTGTCGCTTGTGCAGAGCAGCGAATCCATTTTCTCTTCAATCCGCGCAATTTGCTGCTGTTGCATTCTAAGCAGATGCTTACCTTTTGGGGGGGAAACAAGCAGCCAATACGAGTTAATAGGGGTTCCCTTCTAAGTCCCCCTTGTTTCAGTGGCAAAAAGGTTGAGAAACTGAACTAAGCAAGGATTCATTTTACATAAAATGAAGGTACAACTAAATCAGCTGTGGAGCACATTCTTGGAACGCAGGAGAGGTCCCAGTTTCCACCTCTGACATCTCTTGCTCTAGAAGAGTCAGGGAGCAGGTGATGACAGAGAGCTCAGTCTGAGAGCATGGAGAACCACAGCAAGGCGGAGTAGTCAATGGTGGGATAGATGGAGAAACAGTCCAACCTCCCTATGTTCCTAGGGAGCTGCTACATCATGGGTACCAACTGACAGGTACCTATGGAAGCATGCAACTTCCACATATCCAAGAGTCATGCAAGAGATCTATACCTTCCAAGACCAGAACTGCTGTTCACCACCAAACTGGGACAGGTATGTGTTTTTGTTGTTGGAGGCTCCACATATTGGAGGCAGCTTCACATGGTGATGTTGTTCAGGTGGTTCAGTGAAGACCGTGCTGGCCTCCTGCCTAGGTAAAGCACTGAATCTTTAGTTTTCCTCTACAGAAACCAAGAAGTTTCTTACACTGGGATGTGCAAATTCCAAGACCAGCTTCTCTACATTTACCCACTCCCCTACGGTGTACTGCTAAATCCCTGTCCGTTTGGATCTATAACTCTTCCCAGGATTTATAGCTGTCTTGTACATCTAAACAAAAAACAAACAAGAAATGGCCCTTCCAGTTCTACCTCTATGATCCATGGAGACAAAAACTGGAGTTGAGGGATTTGGCTTTCAGCAAAACCCTGAGCATATGAGGCTGCCTTATGATACCAGACTACTGCTCTATCTAGTCAACTGTTGTCTGTTCTGAGCAGCAGAGGTTATCCAAGGTCTCAGGAGGCTATCCTTCCTGCGCCTGCTGCCCAAGGATCTATTTCGGCAGGAGACGCAGGGGATTAAACTCAAGACTTCCTGCATGCAAAATGTGCTCTACTGCTGAGGTATGGCCTCTCCCAATTTCAAACATCAGAGATACTCGAAACAGTCACATCATTGCCTTCTTCAAAATGAACTCAAATAGCAAAATTTTGAAATGCTTAAACAAAAAGATTCGTTGTTTTTCCTCGCAGTAGGAAATGCTGAATTTCATTAACAAGAAATGAAAGTTAGGGATGAAATAACAGTTTATCTAAGTGGCTACATTTTCACAGCTGCTGAAGCCAGGTGACAGATCAGCTGGCAGGAATAAACTACACATGTAGAAACAGTCCTAAAAGGCAGTGATTTGAAAAGCCAACTTCTAAAAAGCAGAAACAGAAACAGAATGTACAGAAGATTGCATCAATTATTCAACTGGTGTATGGAGTTTTCGGAGCCACAACCAACCACACTAGGATGACAGAAAACAAAACCTGGCTACAGGTGATTGCAACGAAGGGTTCAACACTTTCAAAGAATCATAATACCCAGCAAGCATAGCCTGCTTTCGTTTTAGAAACTGAGTACTCACTTGATGAGAAACTTTTGAAACTCTGGGCAGTATCCAAATAAGTGCTCCACTAGCAAAAGGATTAATGTGTCTGCAATGGAACTTCGCCTCCTCTCCCCACATGCCTTCCTGTGCCCTTCCCAAATTGGCTCTGGAAGATTGGGGGGAACCCGGAATACATGCAGGGGACACTGAGCAGATGGAAAGGTAGGGGAAATTCCACTGCGCAGCATCTTGTTGGACACCGCTCTCTCTTAAAAATTAACACACCCATCGTAGCATCTCTAGCTACTCACTTCTTTGAAAAGGTACAACGTTATCTCCTAGCTGGTTCTATCCTGAAACCAAAAGCTAAACATCTACTTAATTAAAAGGACATATTTAAACAGTACCTGCTCATCACTTCTATGATAATCATTATCTTCTTCCTGTTTCTCTTCCGACGTTTCTTTGTTTGTACTCTCATCTGCTTTTGTTTCCCCTTATGAAAAAAGCAGAGAGCATCTGTGACAAAGTTGAAGACTCTAAAGATATCAAATTCACATATGAAATAAATGCAAGACGTCCTCAGCCCTTTCAGATGTAGCTCTATCAGCTACAATAAATTCATTCATATTAAGAGCAATTCAAGCTACACATGGAAGACACTATGTGTCTAGTATGTCATGTAGTGCATCATGACAAACTCAGGCATTTGAAAGTTTTTTTTAAAAAAAAAACTCTCAAGATTCTGATAGGTTACAAGATCTTTCGATAATTCCACCAACAACCTGATTGTGCTCTTGATGCTTTTAATGAAAACAGTTTACCAGCAAAGCCACCAAAACTCAGGCTTTTCATCCCAACATAACATTTACACATTCTTCTCATTGCAACACCTCGGATATTTCAAAAGATCAGGCTGTAGGCTAAACTGCCCACAACTTCCATTTCCTGTTTCTGACTGAAACATCTGGAGATTTAAAATTTGAGTATACCAGAAAGAGAGAACAGGAAGCCAGAAAACAAATCTGGCCACAATTTGTCCCTGATCATAACCACTATCAGCTAATTTGTCCCCAGCAGAGATGTAGGCAAAGGGTTCTTTATTCTGCTCCTCTTCAGAGGCAGAGGCTGTGTAAGAGTTCTCTCCTTACAATCAAGCCCTTCATGAAGCTAAATCGCTTGGGGTGGCATATTTACCTGCAAAGCCATGAAAGTCCTTGCAACACTTGTGTTCTGTTTTGACAAGCTGTACTGGAGCAGGACAATCAATCCCAAACACAAGGTTATATGGCACAGCCAATTTTACATTGGATTTATTTTAGAGCTCCCCAGTTAGTGAGATGCGGACAGCCAATTCTGCCCAGCTGCCAGGAACCACACACACACCTGGCCCCTAATGCCTTGTACTTGTGTCGCATAAGAACATCGCACAAGGTGAACAGAGAGAAGAACTCCACTATACCCACATCAGATCTTTCTGCAGTCCTTTGCTCAGATGCACCAAGAGCATGTGGCATCCACTGGCACTAGGGCACTAATGGACACCCCCACACTACTGTCAAGACTAATATTAGGATACCACTTGTGTCTTTGAACCAGTAACACATTCCTTGCTCTGGATCCTAGGCGTTTTATTTCTTTAAATAAATTTCTGCATTCTTGGCTGATGCATCTGAAGTAGGTTCTTAACTACAGTGGCTCATGTCACAATTATGCCACTTAAGGACTGTAACGTTCATTCTGCAACAGCAGAAAAACGTGCACCACTCAAATTCGCTTTGATGAAAGCAGCTCACAGTGAAGTGTATCACAGTGAAGTTGTTTTATTGCCTCTAAAGACTTAAAAATTGGCTATTGATCCGGCATCCTTAGTCAAAGCTGTAGTCATCTTTATAAACCACTAGGCATTCTGAATGCCTACACCGCAGAACCCATACATGTGCAGATGATGGGTCCACTTCCTACATTACACAAAGAGGTGGACCATACAATAGCCAGTGGGGAAGATCATAGGTACCATCAATTGTGGAAAATGGCATGAATGTAAAATTTGTTGCGAATATATAGGTCACGAGGCTGTAGCCTTCCAACTGCTTACTTGTGGGAAAATATCTATTTGTCCCACATTTCACAAGCAACAGCGTACATATTCTTTAGGAAACAGAATATATTGGTAATAAACATACTATAAATCAATAAAGAATGTTCAAACAATTTCCTTTCGCAAGCACAGGTGTAGCAAATACATGCAATGTCTATTTACCATTACGGTGGGAATCTAAATGTTGCTTGGCTGAGCACGTCTCCCCTTTGATGTCACCTGGTACTTCCATGCCCAGTTTGTGGTAGAAATCCCTCTGCTTTCTCATTTCCGCTGTGTAACATTTTAAAACAGTGTCTTTAGCTAAGATCAGTGGACTTCATCAACTTAAGCAAACAATTTACTCCTCTCACACTTTCAGCAAAATGTATCAAGAGCACCCTCTAATGTCCGACAGCTTTTCTGTGACTCATTACGCATCATCTTAATAAGATGAGATATTTCTTAAACGATTGAATGCTACTTTTGGATTTCACTTTCTACTTTAAAATGGCCCAGCACTTGTTTCATGCACTTGTTAGTGACTCTTGGCAAAATTTAGGATTGAGGTGGGGACTCATGTTTTACAAACTGTGAAATAAAGTCTTTCCCACTCCCACTCCCACTCCCATGCCTGGTTCATTTATGAAATAATTTTCAGTCAGAAGTAATGATGGTATTACTGTACACACACCGTATGTATAAAGTATCCATATTAGTGAAACAGGCAACAGCAAAATCTAGGACTGCAAATTGCAGCATATCCACAAGGAATTTTATGTTAGTATGCATTGCAGGAAATGTAAGCAACTATGTGGATATTGACATTTACTGGTGATTTAGGAAGCTCGCTGGGAAATGTTAGAAATGCCTGAACCATGAGACTTGTTTCTGAAATTTACTCATGTGCTTCTTAGGTAAGTGTCCTTTATCAGTTATATGCTAGAAAAGGGGAATGACATTTAGACATTTAGGTGCCAGGTGAAAACATTCCTCTATAACCAGGCCTTTGGCTGATTAAAACAATCTATGGTCTTCCAGATGTGTTTGTGGGAGGGGGACTATTGGTTTGCTTTTGTTTTTTGGTTATATATTTTGTGTTATATATTTTCAGGTGAAGGGTGGTTATTTATATATTTAGCTAATAAATAAAATAAATTTCCCAAAGGCATTTAGTTATCCTGTCATTTCTCTCTGGGCCCATTCAAATATCAGTAAATACCAGTAAATATCCCCACTTGCTAAAATTTCTCACATTCACATGTGCAACTATAAGGCACCTACACTGCAATGAATTTTCCTGCCTACAGTATCTTGAGGGCCAAACTACATATTACATTGCTGCCTCATGTCTGGAGCTCCCAACATAACTTTCTTTCTGTAAAATCAACCAAGAGATTAGTTTTCTCTTCTACAAGTTAACAGCAGCTCTGCAGAAGTGATCTGGCTTGGGGCCACAGGGGGACCTCCCCTCTCTCCCAGTCCAAACTTGAAACCACCAAAACCATCCCAGTAACTTTTACAAGCATGGAGCTCCACTGTAACATGCCAATTGGCCCTTAGTTGCCAAAGCAACCCCATAAAAACAACCTAGAACTACATCATGCCATCCATTATTTCATGTTATTTTATTTTTAAAAAATCGAACCATTACCTCCAAACACCACATTGAAAAGTTTTAATCATATGTAAATGTTTACCGAAGAGTATATTGTTCACTTACCTTCCTGAAGACCTGGAACAAGTTTGTAAACAATATCTTGCATTGTTCTGTCATGACTGGCCAAAAAGAGAGAGAAAATAACAAGAAGTAAATTTCACTATGAAGCACTTCCATGCTGAATTTGTATCTCTTAACACTGGATGGTGGGATGAGCGTTGAAATTTCCCTTGGGATGAGCGCTGAAACATCAACTCATCCCTCACATAAAAGTAAAGTTAACGAAGGAAGGCTGGATGGCTCCCCATAATTTTCATTGTGCTATGCAGTCAAGCGATGTGCAGTCAAATTATGGACATGCATTTCTAAACCAGCCCACTGATGGAAAAGGTATACCTAGCAGATCTCTGTACATATTACCTTAAAACGTTACTTACCCAATATATTGTAGTGGATGGCTCTGGTGTATAACTATCCTGCATGTGGGACAGGTGTTATTTTCTTCCAAATACTTTACCAAGCAACTCCTGCAGACTGTTTATAGAAAGATTTGGTTACTACTGTCCTAAGAACAAACATGGATGTTGCATGTTTAACACTGTTCCCTTAAACCAGGGGTGGAGAACCTGCCCTCCACCCAGCCAGAGGGCCACATTCCCTTCGGGGTGACCTGCTGGGGGCCACATAGAGGATGTGGGTGGGCCAAGGCAAAAGTGAACAGAGCCATAAATGTGAACATCACCTTTGTATAGTAGGCTAGTTTCTCCACACTCACACATTCCTCTCTATCCTCCATCCATCCAAGCAAGTAAGCAGCATTATTGGGGTTCACTGGACACTTTCCAGCCAGTCAAAAAGCACTCAAGCTGGGCCAGGGGCATGGCTCTCCAGGGTATGTGACCTAGAGAGATTTATGAGGGCCAGAAAGCCCTGGAAGGCTCCAAGCACGTGGCCTCCAAGCCTGAGGTTTTCCATGTCTGACTAGAACATTCCATTCTTTACAAAACTGCTTTCTCAATACAAAAAAAGTTAAATGTAATCTAAATGCATTATATATTTTAGCATCTATTTGTATTCACTTTCCAGCTTTAACTAAATAATGCCCAATAAGGATGTATTGTCTAACATACAAATGTTAAGGCATAAATTCAGGCACTGCCATTCATCTTCAGAGGGTAAAATTCAGAGGGTAAAATATAGATAAGAAAGATCAGAAGAGCAGCAATATAAAACTGGGAGGGGTTTTGTTTGCTTGCTTGCTTTTCTGGCATGTGTTTAGAATTCTAAACTGATTTAAATTTTAAAGTACACATTTATTTTTAGGTTGTTTGAATGCAGAATATGAAGTTATGAAAAAGTTGTTTCCTGCTTAAGAACAACATGGTCTTTAGAGTCAAACTGAGGTCTGAATACATAGGATGTTCCTTATAAACATATATTTATTACATATCTGACAGTGTGCCATCATTGATTTAGCGTTGTCCAAAGTTGAAATTGAGGTTATTTCAGTGACGTTAACAGCAGAGTTGTAGGTACAGCAAAAGGATACCTAGAACACCCTTGCTTGCTTATATAGTCCGCTTGCATATAGCCAACTGCCCTACAATGGCTTTGAAACCTTGGCAATACTGGTGCCTGGCTTCTGCAGTTAAACAGTGCCATCTACATCTCACAAAAAATGATGCACATTTTAGCAGAAACAAGCTCAAGGTAGTGCTTAATAACAGCCAGGATGAGGCACTGTGAGCCTTTAGAGGGAAGCCTGGTTTGCAAGGAGGGAGGGCAGAGAGATATATGCAAAGCAATGAGGACCATTTGACATAACAAAGATTCACACCCACACGATTACCCAGCTATCCTATTGCATTAAAAGTCAACAGAAAGAATATGACTAAAATCATGGAAGAGAGACAGCAAGGTGAAAGTCCAGATAGACCAAGACGATGGTTCAGTTTTATTATTTATTAAAATATTTATTGCTCTCTTGCAAAGAGTAGAAGTTCCTTTGGAGGGAAAGGAAATGGGGAAAGAAGAGGAACTTCTGAGTAGGATGGGGGGAAAGTTCAGTGTTTTGGAAGAACTGTATAAATGGCAAATTGTATGAAGTTTAAATGCACTTATAAGCCATCACCTATCAAAGGGGGGGTATTTCAAATGTCATAAGGACCTTAGCACTGAAATGGAATATGCCACAAGCACCCAAACTGGGAATGATTGTGACCTAACAAGGGGCAGGTGGCTACATGTTATGGCTACATAAGCAAGAGCTACAAACCTATCTTGTCTCCCTCTTGTCCAGAGTTATGCCTTGTACAGTTTCACACAACAGTTCCTGAATGTCTTCAGTTTAGGTTTAAATTAGGAGTATTAATCTAAGGCTTACAAATCGGCACAGCAATCAACTCATAATTTAGTACGTATCACATGAACTAAATCTCCATGTTTCATTTTCTTTCAAATATCACTTGCAAAATATTTACAACCCCCCCCCCATCCTTCCTTTTAGATCTTCACTACTGGTTCGTATGAGGGAAAGAAGAACCTGATTTATTGCCAGCAATAAACCTTGGATTATGTGCCGCTTCAAACATCATCACCACCATCATTAATTCTCCAATACACCTTATGTTTCAAAAGAATCCTACTTTTCAGCATTCCTAAAAGCCTACCATAATATACCATTGCCCTCACCTTCAAAGTAAAGCAGAACATTACTTGGCATAATTCATTTACACTCTCCCCTACCACTAAAAGAAGGACCATAGCATATGCTTTGTATTCACATGAGAGTTAGCCTCAGGCTTACGGGGACCCCTGCTATGTCCTTCCCAGCAGAAAGTAACGTCTTATCCAGCCAGAATATGGATTTTATCTGTAATCAGAATCTGTCTTCACCCACGATCTGATCCTGGATGGAGGCGTGGGTGGAGAGAAGCTTGGTATTTGACATTTGACTCTGAAACATTACAGAGCTAGAAGAAGCAGGCAGAGAGGATGTATCGAACAATGAAAAATACCCAACCCACTAATCTTACATCTGATGAAACATCACTATGGGTAGATATATTAATACTCACAGGTATGCAAGCATTCCGTTACAGTGGTAGCATCAATAAGATAACCATTGCAAAGGCGGCAGGTTATATGGGCATTGATGTCCCAAAGCTTAATCTTCCTCGTCAGCATCTTTGGTGTCTGCAAGAAAAACAGGGCCATCAGTTTTTCCAAGTGTGGGTGTAAGTGGCCTTTGCAAATTTAAATATTTGACGTTCATGATAAGCCTGCAATACAGAGAGTGATTAGGTTTTTCAGTGTAGCTTTCTTCCTAACAATATTTTACTTGAAAAGAAGGGTCCTGGTTTAAGAAAATGAGAATGAATATCCACTGAACTATCCAATCCAATTACTAAAGGCAAGTTCAAAATTTGGTATTCTAGACCTAATGCTGCAATATTTATTTGCAACTAAGTTTGTGACATTCTACACAATCAGGTTTAACTGGGGCCTAGTTCTCAGAAGGAGCAGGTAAGGTTACTGGACTGCACCACTTCAGATTGCAGTTGGGGGCAGTGATAGAAGTATGGATTGTAGGATCCCAAATTAGAATGAATTACTAGCATAAATTTCAAAAACTTCCAAAAATCCCCACGTTACTGGGTAGAGTCTCACATGATTCTATCACACAAACACACACCTGTATTTAACCCTGGAGTCACAGTAGACAATTCTGAGCTAGGTGGGTCAACAGTCTGACTAAGTATAAGGAAGCTTCCTAGGTCATGATGTTGTAATGGAGCTTACCTCTGAGTAGGAATGTATACGATTGAACTGAGTAGGAATGTATACGATTGAACTGACCTTAGACTGATATAACCTGCAGCTGACTTCAGGTCAGTTAAAAAGCAGCATGATAGGAATCCAGTATCTAGGAATTTGGAGTCGCTCGGTCTGCAAGGAATCGTTGAAAGTCTGCCTCAGGGGACAGATGTTACATATTTTATTATCTATGAATCAAAAGTTTGTGTAACTTTGGGGGTGGGGACTAATGTGTATGTTGGTAGCGTAAGACAATAAGGAATGGTTAGTCATCGTCCTTCTTTCAACTGGGGACTTTGAACAGAAGTTAAAAACAAGTCTCCATGTAATCTGTGTGTAATGCATGCATGTGCGCTTTCATCAAGAAGAAATCCCTGAACCCTAAATTTGGAAGGGCAGGGGTAGAGGGGACCCTGACAAAACAAACTGTTAAAATCTCTCAAGAACGTTATGAAAATACCCAAATTTGATGAGCAAGTTTGGCTCATAAAAAATATACAAACTCAAAGTTCCCAGAAAGCAGCTGAAGTATGACATACTAAAACTTATAAGTAGGATAAAAACACCTGCTCACATTTCCTCACTGGGAAAATCTGCACTGGAAAAAGAGGAGTATAGCATTAAATAATTAAAAACGGGGGGAGGGAGCTAGTTTTACCATCTGTTGCAATGGTATCCTACGCGGCAGGTGTCACCAAATTAACATGCTTTTCAGTAAGAACTGCTGAGACACTTTGGCTCAGAAAACATTTTAATTAATTTTTATTTTGGAACACATTTCATAATTTCATTGCAGTAAGGGTAATTCAGTGTACTTGCGTCTTCAGATTACTTTAAGATAATGCTGCACTGACCATTCTCCTTTGGTTTCCTGATAAATGTACATGTCATTCAATAAAACTAGCTAACAAGAGCCAAACTCAAGATTCTTAGGGGAGGGGGGAAATTCTTTTTTTTTATGATTAACTATTCTCTCCCCTTAAGAGGCCTTCTACAAATTATTGTGTAGATTGTTAGAAATGAATCATTCATATGTTTTTATGTCCGATGAGGGTACTGCATATCCATCAAAGCCAAGCTTTCCAAGAAAAATCAGCATAGGCAATTCTCCATATGACAGGTCCTTAACGCTGGGGGAGAGGGGGGGTTGTATGCCCACAAAGTATGACTGATTCAACCGTCTCCTACGTCTTTCACCACCCCCACCCATCCACATAGCCAGAGTAGCAAGAAACAGTCTCTTCCATACAAGGCATCCGCACATATAGGTAGGCTAGAGAAGAGTTTGGATTTGATATCCTGCTTTATCACTACCCTAAGGAGTCTCAAAGTGGCTAACAATCTCCTTTCCCTTCCTCCCCCACAACAAACACTCTGTGAGGTGAGTGAGGCTGAGAGACTTCAGAGAAGTGTGACTAGCCCAAGGTCACCCAGCAGCTGCATGTGGAGGAGCGGGGAATTGAACCCGGTTCACCAGATTACGAGTCAACTGCTCTTAACCACTACACCACACTTGCTCTCCACTCCATACACTGATACTGCTAGCCAAACACTTCTGCCATGCTGGTCACAGCCTGGACACATGGATCAAGACAAGCTCTTTGAGCACACACGCAGTTCCACTGCAAACTCCCATGAAACAGGGAGAAGGATGGCTCTCCCCCATGGCTGGTGGGGGAGGGAAGCACTCAGTCTTCTCTTACAAACACCAGCTGTGCTTGAGGAGATGCAGGTACCAAGCTTTCATGGGGCGGGCTTTCCCCACGGCCTACAAGGAAGGCCCCACGTAGGCCCCAAGGAAGAGCACCCCATGACCAGCAATCAGGATGCCCCTGCCTGTTCCCGGCCTACTTCTTCCAGCCACTCTTTGTTCGCAGTATCAACATGAAGTTGTGAGCCATGAGGGGCACCACAGCAGTTACCTTGCAACTGAGCACCTGTCTAAGGCACAGCAGCCCTCCTGGTTATGCCACAGACCTTTCTTTTCAGGATCTCTTCCATCCCAGGTGCTATTCACTACGATTTGGCTGTAATCCTAACCCCATTTCCTCAGGAAAAGCCCCACTGAATTCAACCGGACGGACATCTGGTCAAGATTGTGCACTCATGCTCTTTTACTGCCAGGAAGCGGTAAATCCCTCTCCCTGGTATGATCTACTTTCAGACCCCCTCCATGAGAATGCCACTTATTCTGCCAGGCTTCATCTGCAACCTATGTGCTTCTGGCACATGTGACTGGGTCTCAACGCTGAGGGAAACCAATGTGTCACGACACATCTGTTTCCTGTCTGCTGCCAATAGGGAACTAATGAGTAGTGTCTCTGGTGTTGCTCATCTTCTCCCTATTCCCCCTGGTGAGGTTCAAACTCCACTTTCCCTACCTCGTGCCCTATACAGTGAGCGGTTGCAGTTTCCTTTGTCCTTTATCCTGGTACTTCCCTTTCCCTGCTTGGCAAAAGACACTTCTACTCCTTCAGTGAGTCTTGAGCTCTTGTCTCAAAGAGGGCTCTATGCTCTCTTCTCTGCAGGCCTCTTTCCAAGGAAGCTCTCAGGGCTCTGTGTTATATGGCCCCTCCTTCCTTCTCTTTACATGCTGCAATCAAAAACGTACTTGCAAGGAGTATGTGCTGCCAGGGCAAACTGTACTTCTGAGTGCAAGGATGCCAACAGCTTTGGGTTGCTGGTGTCTTCCTGCTCACATGGTGGAAGATGCTGCCTTTACCAAAGGTATCATGGACTTTGTAGACACTCGAACTCAGGACAAAAGGGAGAAACATGCTAAGAGGAAGGCACATTTGACAAACCCTCACCATCATCAGCTCCCATCCAGAAACCTATGTCCCCACTGTGGAAGGACGTGTGGATCCAGAATTGGCCTCCACAGTCACTTACGTACTCACTGTGTTCATGAAAGACAATCTTACTCGGCTACAAGTGATCACCAAAGAAAGAAGAAGGTTTCATTATGTCTGAGTTGAGAGTGAATTGAGAGAATGTGAGTTGAGAGAATGTGTAATAGGGCACATCTGTGTCAGCGTAAGTAGCCCCCCATCGCAGTATCCAGCTCAAACATCCATTTCAAACTTTGCCATATCATCTCCACAACATTGCCAAACTGGCCAGCCATGATGGCTTTGTGGTGGGGGGTTAGTTTTGCTTCATTCTGTGCTTTTCAGAGTGTGTGTATCTCCCTTCTACTCCAGGCTGGACGAGTGTAAAATATGGTAAATGTTGCAATAGTATAATAGCAGTTTATCTCTCCCCTTGGTGTATTTGAGTGTATTTGCCCATGGAGGATACTTTCTAAATCACGTAATGGCCACATCTGTACAAACCATGCTGAGAACATGACAATAGCCAAAGTTCAGTCCTTTCACAGCTCTGAAAGTTGTACACTATCTCCTCCTTAACAACAATTCTGGGTTCAGACAACACAATAAGCAAAACTTTGGCTTATCTCCTGTCTTGTGCTGACCTAAAAAAGCCTGGGAAGGAGCAAGGTAGGTGTGGGACTCAAAACATTCATGGTAAGCCATACTCTGGCACCATATAAAGCAGTGCCCCAGAGATCTGAGATATCAGATGGCGAGAAGTAATGCTAAACAAACCCATCTAATCCTCAAAATAAACAGCATAATCTTAGCTAATAAATGCAAACAGAAAATTCATGTGCTTCAGAGGAAGTGGGCACTAACTGTGGTTAGAAGAATGAACAGCAGCTGCAACAACCAGGACTGCAATCTTCTGCAGTTCCATACCTGGGGAATCCTACACAGAATATGACATTTGTCAAAGGATTTGCATGACAGAAGATCCACGAGAGGACATCCAGTGTACGTATTTTTACAATTTAACAATAGTTGCAGGAGTACATTGGGGAATTTGACTGGAACTGCAGTGGGGTGGGTATGTCAAACCCTTTACTCTGTGCTGTTGTTTAAGTGAAAATCATCTTCTGAAGCTATTAATAATATGGATACCTGTATGCTTTGTTTTCTCTTGCAGGGCAAATAGCAGCCTAATAGGAAAATGTTACAGAGAGAATAGGGTTAACACATTGTCTCAAATGGATGCCTACACTTCTAATTGTATTTAAATTGTTATTTAAAAAAAAAAAAAACAGTGGGAGAGCTAATACTTACTCTCCCCCGGTTATATCTAGTTTGGCCCCAAGATAACCTCAGGCTTTTCTGCTTCTGAAAACAGCAATTTCCTAGCTCCCATGGCATAGTGCTTTATGTTGGTATCCATCTGTCTCGAGAGACAATGGAATGCACCTCTGGGGGTGAAGTCAAGCTATTGCACTAGCAGCACTGAAGTGACTTCCCTGGGGTGTAAGCCTGGGCAGTGTGTATGGAGGTCCTGGGCTGCCCAGAAGACAAGACACCACCACCCCAGCCTCGCTGATGGGGTTTCAAAGGAAAGCAGAGCAATATGTCTGGCACCAACTCGGTGGCAGGAGTTGCCAGAAAGAGGTGTACAAATCACCATCCAACTGTCTTAGGGTCTCCACTCTGGATTTGTGTTGGGTTTACTCCGAGTCCTTAGCAGTGCTATTTTTCAAAAAAAAGACATGCCAAAACTCACCATGAAAACCTCTCTCATTCTCTTAGAATGGCAATAGCACCCACTTGAAAGGTGCTGAAACTGACTTCTGGCAAGTTCCGGCTGAGAAAAAGCCCTGCTCCTTAGCCATTTCTTCTCCTGAAGGTATTCCACAAAGCAGCAGAGATTTAGCATCAGATTTTTCCTTCTCCTAGGTGGGCTACCTTTCCAGGTGGATGAGCCCCATCTACCCCTCACTTCCCTCTACAGCATGTACAGAAACCATCTTCTTGACTGCTGAACCCAATACTTGTCTGCTCAATCTTCAGGAGTCTGTCTTCGCATGCAAGAGAAGTCCCTAACTCATCAATGGTTGAGTCCCATTGGCTACCCTGACCTGGTTTAGCCAGCTAGCCAAAGCCATTCCCAGGGTGTGGTCGCTGTTGCATGCTGACAGCTTCTAGGATTCAGAGGTGAGAGATGAGTGCAGGGTGGTGGACAAACTACCCCAGAAGAAGCAGGGTTAGCTTAGAGTTTGGGTGACTCTCAGTAGCCTTGCAAGGATAACTTAACCATTCAAAGACTCTTCTGTGACATTCCAAAACTTTGAACACATTAAACATTTCTTGTGGCAGGAATCAGAGCATGAATGAGTTCTTGCCACTGACAGGAATTCCCTAGTTCCAGTTAGGAGGGTAAGTTCAAATATTTTATAGTGATGCAATTCAAACAGATTTGGGGATCTCCATTGACATTCTTTATGTGAAAGAGTGTCGAGATATTTCAGTTGAATAAAAAGGTATTCCTACATTTAAAAAACCCTCAAGATTACAACAGTTACCTCATCCTCCCTGAGCTTCTACACAACTGTCAAGCCATAACACTAAAGGCTAACATTAAAAGCAACTTATACTGGACCCATAACAAATCTGATGTTGAGGCTAAAACAGGTTCTATCTGGTGGGACAGCAGCAATTTTATTGTTTACAGTAAAACTAAGCGTTTTGCAAATTTTAATTATGACTAGAACTTCAAAAGCACCGATTTCAATTTGGGTGTGCTTGTTGTTTTCAATCCCTGTTTCCCCTTTCATCTATTTAAAGTGAGAAGCGAGAAGTCCAATTCCATCAGTAAAGCGCTCTTTTCCCAAATAATTCTGGAAGCACACGTGGTCAACATACCTCTTAAAACTGCATTTCTTTTCAGAGTCTGCCATCCAGAGACCTAAAAAGAGAGAGGAAAACAATCTGTTAGGTAACACTACAATTGCCAGAACAAATACCAGAGATTTAAGGAATACACGTAAATATTTCAATGCATATATGGGATGGGGCTGACATTAAATGATGGGTGCCTGTCACAGTGCAGAGAAGAAAAATTAGACATATGAGGCTAATAAGAGATACGTGAACTGAAACAAAGTGTAGATGTCATTTTCCCCTGCCACCACAGGGTGACAGAAATGAGAAGTATTTCTGATCCTTTTCTGGTGAACTTATTTCTGCTAGCATAAAATAGTCAAGCTATCAAAAGGCCAACTGCTTTCCTGCTTAAAATAGGTCACTGGATAAACTTCCTAGATCCACAAGATCTAGTAGAGCAGGTACAAGAGTGTAACCTTTCGCGGAGTTAAACCCACTAGTCTGACACTGTTTTACTTTTGCTGTTTCTGCTGCCCTGGGCTCCTTTGTTAGGAGTGGCCGAATAATTATGATATTTATATCATAATTATAATAAATGGATGGCAGCACCAGCCAGCTCTGCTCACTTCTTGTTTCTTAATCCCCAGTTTTTCTGGGACAAAACTGGACACAGGCTTCAAAACTTGATTCCTAATGCGTGTATTACCTGTCTTGCGATCCACATGCAATCTGCTATTGAGTCTTTCTTCATCTACTATTCTGTGCCAAATTTCATGATAAGATCCAAATCTATTCTATTTCTACAGACGTACATGAATGCCTTTTTTCATTATTTTCCTGCCAGAGGATAAAAAGCATTTTCTTGCTATAAGAACAAAAAAGAGATGGCCACTTGGGAATTCATTTTTAAAAGGAACAAGTTCAAGAAATCCAAAAGGCACTAATTCCAGCTCACCACCATCCAGTTCACAGTTCAATTCAAGTTCAGCTGAATCACTGCTTCCCAACCTATGGGTCATGACCCATAAGTGGGTCGGGATCTGAATAAACACATGTCTCTGGAACATCCGGATGGCTCAGGTCTTACACTGTAACACTTGGGAACTGCTGTCTGGTGGCAGATCCAGTGACAGTTCACCACAAGGCGCTCCTTTGGCAGCTGTGCATCACAGATGAGCTGTAATAATCACTCAGAGAAACTCCCTGTACAAGTGAACCATCACTGAACCTGCTGCCAAGGTTAGTTAAGTCAATGGTAATTTGAAGTCTGCTTAGAAACTGAGAAGGTTGAGTAGGTGCAAAACCCATTTGCAACTGATGTCATGAAGTCCTCATTGTGCAAGAAGAACAGCTCCTTCAATTGTCATGTGATAGGACCCTCTAAGATAACTTTCGTAAATGAGGTGCTCTGAATTTTCCTTTCATGTTGTCACAGAGTATCTAGAGCTTGCTGATGAAGAAATATCTGTGCTGCTTGCCATTTGGTACTAAATATCTTTTTGATACAGATTTTTCAGGAATGGCTGCTATGAAGCCAAAATACAAAAACAGATTATGTATCCATGATGATATGAGAACCATGTCTGACAACGATTAAAGCCCACATTGAAGTACTCTTTGGCAAAATGCTAGTTTAGCAATCCCACTGTTATTTGCTGAAATGGACTTCATTTAGAATAAAAATATTTAAAATGTTAATATGTTGTTAGATATAACATGGCTTGTGTAATTGTATGTTTTAAAAACAAATTTCTACAGCTTATGGAGGCATATCCTGCAATCAGATGGTTGGTGTTCTTACATTCCCATAAACAAAACTATGGGTAACTTTTAAAGTACTATAAACAATTCAGCAAATTCCACATTAACGGGGATATTAAGTAAATTGTTGCTTGGATGCCTCAAGGTAATAAAATACACAAACATGCAATTAAAATGCACAAAACCAATGCCTGCCAATGACCGGAAGTCCAAAAAAACCTGATAAATTTATGGGTCACTATACCGAGTAAAAAGGTTGGGAACCACTGATGCAAATGATTGCAAACAAAAATTCAGCATTCACAAGCTGTTGTGCTGAAGAATAAAACATACTTAAGAAGACTAAGAAAACATCAAAGCACACACAATGGGATGTGAATTGTTTGATTTCCACACACGCCACTCAACAATTATGATCTTTAAGCATAAAGGCTCAAAGGGTCTAAAGAGTACAAAACACATGTAAGAGAATGAACCTGAACTAGAAATTGTTCCATGTTATACCCCAAATGAACTTAGTTCATATGCAGTGCACCTGACAATTATGGGCACTACTTTCAGGTGTAGTTCAGAGATTTTTGAATTTAATTAGCATTTCTTGCAAACTGCTTTGAAATGTTGTTGCAATTACTCTCCCTCCCACCCCATGGGGACTAACATGCAAAGGAGGAAGCAGAAATGAACTCATTTGGGACAGCTCCTCCTGCATGTACAGGGTGAGTCTTTTAAAAGAGTCTTTTAAAAGAGGCCCAGGGGAACATGTGTACTCTGTATCCACGGAGCCTCTTTTAAAGGACTCACCCTGTACATGCTGAAATTCCTGAAGGCCTCCACATGCTGGGGGCTGAATGTCTGCAGTGGGACACCTGCTCTACTTGACTAGATGTTCTATGCAAGCTAGAGTCCTCAGCTGTAAATTGCCTCCAACACATGGACAGTAGAAATGACCACGGAAACATAAAGTGGGGGGGGAGGGCTAATGGGCTCACCCCGACTCTCCCTCTTGCACAGTGGTAACTACATTGAGGGGATAATGACTGAATAAGACTTAAGAATATGGTTTGATGAATAACCGACACCTATGGTACAGTGAACCACTGCTGTTACACATATAGCTGAAAATTAACTACTGTACAACCAAATACTAATTGGCAACCCTTCCAAAAATCCTTCAACTTCCAGAGATGAATTACCACCCCTAAATTAGTAAAATCAGTTTAATCTTCCAAGATTAGCAAGCTTAAATATCTTAGTCAACAATTCATGCCTTTGAGCTCAAGTAGCTCTAGAAGCATGTTCTCAAGTCAGAAGAGGAATGCAGTATTACTGGTGTCTTAAGCCCTCTGTTCACACAACACAAAGGCAGGGGCTGCTCCGCTCCCATATGCACTTACTTGCACACCTCTCACACACTACATTTTGTAGTTGTATACACATAACTGTACATCTAAACATGTAGTGTAAAAATATTTCAGGACTCATGTATCATACAGATACACTCATGTATCATACAGATACACTCAGCAAGGAACCAGGACTGGCTGCAGCTCCCTGTTGCAACCCCAGGTTTGCTGCTGAGTATATGTTTCCGTGCGCTGCTCTGGTTCGCCAGATGCGGTTTAGTCATGCTGGCCACATGACCCAGAAGCTGTCTGCAGACAAACGCCGGCTCCCTCGGCCTATAGAGCAAGATGAGCACACAACCCCAGAGTCGTCCATGACTGGACCTAACAGTCAGGGGTACCTTTACCTATATGAGATAAAGGACCACCACTTACAGAATATTGCAACCAAAAGGATCAAGAGGTTGAAGCATCTTTCCCTTGAGAAAAAGTTAAAACTAATGGCAGCTTCCTGTGCATACACTGCACATAAGTATGAAGTCTGACTATTTTCTGGGCATACTTATTTTTAAGAGAGTATTTTAGACTTCTTTGCACAAGATTATTTGCTAAAACAACTACTGATTAAGCGGTGGTTGCTGTAAAAGAAAATCAGTTCTCTGATCAGTGTTTTGGCAGGTTTAGTTTACAGTGAGCTTTATACTACAGACCAATTAAATGTAAATTTTTGAAGGTATTAAGACTGAATATTAGACAATCACCAGTGACAAATTAAGCATCATTCATTCAAACACTCATAAGTGTGAGCAATTTCTTTCACCTTCCTCCTCAACGTCATTTAATGAACAGATGGCACAAAAGGAATGAATCAGAACTATCTAGTTAATGAAGTTGGGTGCAGAAGTCCAGTCGTAACTTGCTGGTAATCATGCAATGAGAAGGGGGAAGCATACACTATTCTAGTCCATTCCTGCCTCCTTCACAGACTTCAAATTGTCATATGATTCAAGGCACTGCATTTGGCTGCTAACCTCTCCCTGTTTTAGATTAAGAGAAGAAACAAGCTCACATGCAAGACTGGGAGGATTATCACAATGATTTTGTACACTAAGATGCTCAACTCATTGTACAATGACTCAAAGCTAGTGGGCAATTTGATAAAATAATGTAGACCAAGGGTGGGAAACCCTCTGTATATTGTTGAATTTTAGTTCCCATCAGTTCCAGATAGCACAGGCAAAGGTCAGGGATGATAGGAGATGGGAAATCTACAGAGTCAAGGCTCCCCACCCAATGCAAACTTTTGATTATCCAAAAAATTGGACTTGGATTGGTAACAAGCTAAATTCAAAGAATGGCCTTTGACTATGCCACACTCAAGAGGAGACCCAGTAAAATCAATGGATTTAAGTTAATCATAATTAATTTAAGTCCATTCATTTCAATGGATCTACTGTCAATATGACTTTGTCAAAGGGCACTTAAGACACATAGATAGCATTATAGAGTTAACTGAAAGGTTATGATCTGGGGATTTCCTATCCATAGTGTCTCTGTCTGGTCACAGTTTATATGCTCTCATTCAGCCTATGAAGGCCTCTAGGGCTTCTAGGCACCAGTTTAGGACATACACAGCCTCTCCTGGTTCAGATGTCCCAAAGAAATATAGAAGGGTATCATCAGCATACTAGTGACACTTTGCCACAAATCTCCCAGTGACTGCCCCCACTGGCTTCATATAAATATTAAATCATTTCGGGAGGAAATTGTTGCCTGTGGCTCCCACAAATCAATTGCCAGGGGGCTGAGACACAGCTATCCAATACTATTTTCTGGAACCAACCCCACAAGTAGGAGTAAAACCACTGTGAAATGGTGTCCCCAACCTACAAAGATGGTCCAGGAGTATAATGTGGTGAATGGTATCAATGGTCACAGAGAGATCCAAGCAATCTCAGCATGGTCACACTTCCTCATCCCAAAGGTTATCTATCAGGGTGACTGAGACCAACTCTGCCCCAAAACCAGACCAGACTAGAAAAGCATCCACAGCTGAACCAGCCCCACCCTATCTCAAAAAAGGTGTGTTGAAAGTAGTTTGCATGCAATAATTGGCATAAACCTCTGCTCCCAAAGTGGTTTTTTCCCCCTTGCATGGCCACACTACCACCTCCTCCAAAGCAGCAGGGACCATCCTATCATGCCACAAAGCATTCATCACACCTTGGAGCTACCCAGTAAAGCTTCAAGGGCTGGCACTAATCAGCCAGGATAAATATGATCAAGAAAGCATGTAATAGGCTGTGAAGTTGCAAGCATCTTGACCACATCCTCAGGCTTCATTAACTTTGCATTTCTGCTAAAAGGCCACCATCTCCATGATGCCTAGATCTCCATACAGTGACAGCTTATATTACTTCAGTACTCAAAGCAATGGCAGGCCTTGCATTGAATTCATGAAAGCTATAGAAAGATCCAAACCAATTTGATTTTGAAAAATTACCAATACTATTTTTGAAATGTAAGGAAATTTCCGCATTCTGTTTTAGAGCCCCATTGCACTAAAAAAAAAAAACTTTCCCAAAAGAGTAATGAATACAAAATATGAAGTACACAGAGCCATCAAACAACAACAGAAGCAAATGCAATAGTGAGAACGCTAGAGGGATTTTAACAACAACAAGAAAAAGAAAAGCTTCAGTATGAAAGTAGTCTTAAAGTATTTCTGAACTCCAGGGGACCTAGCTGTAAGGGGACAAGTATGCCTATGAGCCAAAGCAAAATTCCACCAAACCATCTTAACAATTGACCTATATTATGCACACATAAGAGGTTTCTAGGATATAAAAAGACTAAAGCTTGCAGAGCTTTTAGAAACCATCCTAACAGTCTTGAACTAAACCTGAACTTTATTAGCAACTGCTATAAACTGCAGGCAACAGGCATACTACACCCGGGAGCCCACATCTCAGATGTCTCATCAAGTTTTGAATCAACTATTTGTTCAGGGGAACTGGAAGCACAAAATTTGGCACCTCTCACCATTAGAAGTTAAAATTCAAGGTTAGGGGGATCTGATTCCTACCCTAAGCAACAGCTCACAAATGTATTTCACAGTAATCAGAATAAAACAGTAGTTTAAAAGAAAAAGGTAGCGCAAGCAGAACAAAGTGGTATCGACACTTATGGGCCTTCCCATAAACTCATAAGATCAGACATAAACTTCAATCCATGGTCTATTGTGATGTCCAGGCCACCATCATCTACCATTGTTTGCAAACCCAGATCCAAAATTATGCTATGAGACCATAATTTGGGCAAGCTGTGACTTGGCATTACTGTACATCAAAATCAGCAAAGGACGGCTGGGAATGTTGCTCCAACTTCAGTGGCTGCTTTTTTGATAACCTATTCTCAGACAACATGGATGAAGAGGGTAACAGCACAAACCAGAAATGTAGTTTTCTAAAATGCAGGTACATGAGCAGTGGCCGCACATCATGACTTCCATCACTAGACACAGGAGCAAATGAAAAGCTTTATTATTCACTTAAACTGCAATCCTATGCACACTTACCTGGCGATTAAGTCCCATTTAACACAGTAGGACTTACTTCCAAGCAAACATGATTAGCAACTGTACTGTTAGTATATTTATATCCCGCTCAACCAAGATTGGTTCCCAAAGCAACTTAGAGCAGTTAAATGCTTCACAAAATCCAAGGGTTAGTACACAGCAAGAGTATAAATTAAGAATCACAAGCCAATTATACTAAACTCACAGAAAAAAATAATTTGAGTGCAATAAACAATAAAACTCAATATCTCCAGAATGTCTCCCCAACTCTGTTCTACTCAGCGTAGAGGCAAAAGGGAGGCAGGAGTGGGTGGAAGTGTTCAATTTTTAAAATAAATAAAAAAGTTATTGAATTTATATACCGCCTTATACTCGGAGGTCTCAGGGCAGTTCCATGTCTTCATCTCATTCCTCCTGGCATTCCAGCTGCTGCTACAACTTTTGCTTCTACTTCTGTCCATTGACTTGCCTGGACCGATCAAGTTGCCCACATTTTTTAAAATCAGAAGTTGTTAGTCCTGTCAGCACATGAACCCATGTAGCCAGGGTTAACTGCATTTCCCCCCTTTTAGCCCTGATTAAATTCCTTAAAACCCTGAAAATAAAGAAAAGCTTATGGGCTAAGCACCTGCTTTGGGGAGAAAGCTCCTGCCTGACAGGTCACTCGTTTTCTATACTGAAAACCCACTGAAGTCAAGAAGGAAGAATCTGTAGGCACCAGAGGCAAAATCAGCTTGAGGGGAACACAATTTAAGCATGCATTAAGTGTAGAATAGACTGCCCTCTCGGCCATTAATGAAACCCACCTTTGCACAGTTTGACCTTTCAAGGCCCAGCTGGTAACAGGTAGAGTTTCCTTTGCTGCTTACCTGATAACCCACACATACGAACATCCTTTGCAAAGTTCAGTGCTAATTAAACCTCTGGCAAACTGATTCTGAGCATAAAGAATGCCTAAACTAGATGATGAGTCACTAATACAGTAATCATGAAATATGATTTCAGCGACTCTGCTCTCTGCTTCCTTCAAAATTAGCATTTTAGAAAATAATGTGGCAAGTTTGGGCTTCTAATTACTCTTAATAGTAACAACAACCTATGATACGGAAAAAAGTGCTGTGCATGAACACAGCACATCATTAGAGGGTAGTTGGCACCTTAGACGAGGTGCGGGGGGGCATTTCCTCCCCCCAATGTTGCTCAACTACGACTCCCATCATCCCTGGCCATGAGCCATATTTGCTGGGGCTGATGGGAGTTGTAGATCCTGAACATCTGAAGATTCAAAGGTTCCCCACACCTGACCAAACCAATCATCCCTGCCTTGAGAAGAGAAGTTTTATGTGTTTTGAACTTTGCATTTATAGTGCAGGCTGTGACTTCCCAACAGTGGAAAGTTGCCCTCCAGTGGGGAAAGAAAACACGCAAAGCCCTAATTTGGAGTAAGCTCAAGCTTGGATAATAATGCCCAGTTGCAGGCTTCTCAAGAACAGCCCTTTTAATTTCTTCAGCATTTTGAAACTGTCTCTAAATGCCCACTTCACACTTCCTACAGAGACAACTTGAAATATAACTGGAGAAGCTTTATTTTTAATGGCAAATATACCACAAATGCCTTTTATACAGCCTCTAAAAACATTATTTCTTTCATTTGCATGAAAATATGCAAGGCATGCTTTAAGCTACGGAAAAAATAAAGTACTGACTCATGCAAGACTCAGTATTAAGCTGGTTATTAATACCCTACAACTGGAATCTTTTAGTGTTGGATGGGGATTCCCAGTCAGTGTTTTCTTTTGTTTTTGAACAGGCAAACCATTAAGTTAGAACTTTGGAAGAGAAGTAGGAGCAGGATTTGTATTTTTAATTCACTGGAATGGTGCTTTGTTTTGTTTTTCTAAGTTATTCCCCCAACCATTAGCTGTTTCATATGCTGACTTCTCAGCATTTACGTACAGTGGTACCTCGCAAGACGGAAAACTCGCAAAACGAAAGGGTTTTTGGTTTTTTGAGTTGCTTCGCAAGACGATTTTCCCTATGGGCTTGCTTCGCAAGACGGAAACGTCTTGCAAGTTTGTTTCCTTTTTTCTTAAAACTGTTAATACAGTTGCGACTTGACTTCGAGGAGCAACTCATAGCACGCGGTGTGGTAGCCTTTTTTGAGGTTTTTGAAGACTTTGGTGATTTTTGAAGCTTTTCCAAAACTTTTCCGACACCGTGCTTCGCAAGACGAAAAAAACCGCAAAACGAAAAAACTCGCGGAACGAATTAATTTCGTCTTGCGAGGCACCACTGTATCTAAGTTCTGACTGTTCCCCTTTTGCTGCCCCTAATGCCTAGAATGTAGTTGCACAAGTAAGTAAGTAAGTAAATTTTTATTTATACCCCGCCCTCCCCGGCCAAGATCGGGCTCAGGGTGACTAACATCAAATATCAAATACATTAAAACACAAGTTACATCTGCACGCTGCTCCCCCTCAGGGCCTCTTCAAACTCCCCTCTTCTGTTGCTCCTAAATCCTAATCCCCAGTGAAATAAAACCTACGCACCGCTAACTGCATTTCATTTGCACTCAGCCCTGGTTTCCCCTGCCACCTCCTGCGTTTCTTTCCTGCATGTCCCCACATTTAGACTGCAATCTCTTCTGAATCAGTGCAGGAACCAGCATTTCATCCATATTATTCTGGAAATTCTGAGCAACACATCAGAGGCACAAAAATAATGTTGAGGACAGCTCAGCTGGTTAGAGCATGGTGCTGATAACATCAAGGTTGCAAACGCAGTCCCTGCATGGGACAGCTGCATATTCCTGCATTGCAGGGGGTTGGACTAAATGATCCTCTACAATTCTATGATTCTACAATTCTATGAGATCCCAAAACGTATCCAAAATATTCTGTACAAATATCTTACTGGATACAGCAGGGGGGAAGGATTCCATGAAACCAAGACGCCATCTTTGGCTCTAATTAAGGACTGTCCCTTTAAGGGCTGCTCTCATATCAATTTTGCCTACCTGAATGTAAGCTTACTGAAGACTAGTGCCAAGCTGTCTCCCTGCCATGCAGTGGTTCAAAGACATCATTTCACTTATTAGTCTTCCAAATCAACACACAAGTCGTAGTTGAGATCCCTACACGGAACTGGCTCACCAAACGCAGCCCCAGAGACCCTGAAAGTAGGTGGGCATTAATGCAGCCTTGTCACAGGGACCAATAAATAAATGGGAAACTCCGAATATGTGTTCAAATGAAATTAAAAGTTAAACAGTTTGCCCTACAAGTGAATAAAAGTACAGTATAAAGAAAGAGGAAACTGCCAGTGTCTTCAGTTTCTTGAAGCTGACAAAATATAGGAAGCATTGCCACATAAGCCTTTTGCTCAAGCTGCCTAAATTAAGAAATCTGACACTAGCTCTCATGTAACCTTGCAGAAGCGCAACCACAAAAATGTACTAGCCCTTCCTCCAAGTGGCACACCTACTCACACTTGGGAGCTCTCACACAGACTCAGTGGTAAAGCACCTGCTACGGAGAACATTCGTATCATGAACCTATTTAGAGTTATTTGAGAGCGTCAACAAAAGCATACAGATAGAGGTGATCTGGTTGACATAGTGTACATGGAGCTTCAAAAAGCTTTCAACAAAGTACCTCACCAAAGACTCTTGAATAAACTTAGCAGCCAAGGTATAAGAGGTTTAGGCCCTCTTGCAAATCAGGAATTGATTAAGCTGCAGGAGGCAAAGAGTAGGGATAAATGAACAGTTTTCCAAATGAAGGTATAGAAAGTGGAGTCCCTCAAGGATCAGCATTGGGACCTTTGCTTTTTAACATGTTCATAAACAATTTATAGAGTTAGCAATGAGCAGTGAGGTGGCCACGTTTGCTGATGGTCACTACAACAAAGAGAGATTGTGAAGAGCTCCAAAGGGAACTCTCCAAACTGAGTGAACGGGTGGTAAAACGGCAAAAAACATGAATTAGAAGCGGGGGGGGGTTGGATTCTCATGATTTTTACAAAGTTTCTCCCCATACCTCAGGCAAATCATAGGTAACCTCAGATATATTATGTGACATGATGGTTTTATTGACATATCTAAAAATCATGATAATTCATCAGGATCGATGTCGTGGGTTCATCTTTTTGGGTGTGTCATGTAACTGCTGGCAAGTGCTGGATCCATGATTTTTAGCATGCAGTCTATAGACACCAATGTAAAATCTCATTTGATTGTGGTTCTGAGTGGATCTCATTTTAAAAACCATGTAATAAGATCTGTCTTCTGATTTTAGTGGAGCTGACTTTTACCCAGATCCTGTGGAAAGGCAAAATGTGAATGAATGGGAGTCCTTTCTTGGGGGGGGGGGGAGAGTATTTAAATCATGCATATTCAAGAAGATCTGTTTTAATTCTGTTGTATCTGACTTTTACTAAATGTAAAAGCAGTGTGGTGTGGGAGCAGCGGGGTGGGAATCTAGCGGAAAAGTCAGTATTCCTTGGCACTGTTTCAAAATTCCACAATGTCCCCATAAGTTTGAGAATCCCCACCTGCGAGTTTAGCTGGAACATCGACTAATGAACGTTTGAAACTCATTGCAGGCATGTTAGGATGCCGTAAATCAAATCCGGGCAAAATGTAGCTAAATTTAATTAAGGTAGTAAACGTTTTATAAATGTCCAAAAGCCCTCTTTTTTTAAGTTTTACAATTTCAGCTTTAAGTAAAGTCCCAATACTGAATATGTGGTACTAACAATTCTACAAGAATAATGGCATTAGGACCGAATTATGGCTTCACAGGGGAAATACCTTAGATTAAACAAGCCTCAGTGAAAACTTCAAAAGCAGCCAAACTCAGAAGTCGCTAAATCTTACAACAAAACCAGCAAGGTCAACTTGCATACTGAAAAAACTGAGTAAGATTCTACCCAAGGATTTCTAGCCCTAATGCAGTTATCTTGGCACTTTCCATATTCAACTGAACATGATCATTTGGGTCATGCTTTAATGCCAGGCAAATAGGGTTTACTCCACACAGATTTGGCAGTACAAAGTCTCCCCATCTGTATCATGGTCCTACCATTGAAATGGCAGTGTTCAAACTGTGTCACTCCAAACTTGTTTTTTAGCTCTGATTCTACCTGAATTTCATTTTGAGACAGAAACTAGGTCCCTAGAAATTATGAGACACCTTCAATGAAAACTGAAAAGAAAAAGAAAAAAGAAACATACACCAGCTGGGGTTTTTTGCACCAGGTGAAGCTTCCAAACTGTCAAAGGTAGGCCTACTTAAAGTACATTGTTGTTGTTGTTTAGTTGTTTAGTCGTGTCCGACTCTTCATGACCCCATGGACCAGAGCACGCCAGGCACTCCTGTCTTCCACTAAAGTACATTACAGTAGTGTAACCTTGAAATTATAAAAGCATAAACAATAGTTGCTTCCTGTGTGAAGTTGTTTTAGGTTGCAGAATAAAATGTAACTGCTCTGGATATTTCAACTACTCTTAGCAAACATGTATTTTATACATGCAACATTTGTTAACCCCACTTTCCATACTGGCAACTTCTTTTACTAGGAATCCTGGGCTTAGTGGTTGTTGTTGTTTAACTGAAATGGGATGGATGAAGGGGGATAAACGTCACAGCCTTTGTAGGACTGATTAAGTTGCCAACAGAATTACAAGGAGAACCTGTAGGGTAGAAGGTTTTCCAGTGTTTATTTTTTCCACCGAAACAATGAATGGTGCCAACTACAAATAAATATTAGGTAAGTTTGGCAGTTTCAAAGTTTTTAGCTTCATTTACTAAATACAAATAAAATATGCATGCTAAATAAGATCGCTCTCTAGGGCATCATAATTTTTTCCATTGCAACGTACCCTATTTTTTTTTGGGGGGGGGGAGGAATTTAAGAAAAAATACCAATTCAAAACGTTCCAGAAAACTGACATCATATCACAGCCCGTAGGTAATTTGATCAAATTGGGAGTGGGAGAAATACAAAAGAGGAACATTTCAGATAAATATGCATGCTGCTAAACAAAACACGAGAAGGAACAGAATCCAGTAAATCAGTTATCCACAGATGAGCAAGTGGGGTTTCTCTGACCTGTCTGATCTTACAGTCTGAGCTGGAATGCAGCAAGAGGCCTCAGTCTCAGCCACTTGCCTGGCAATAAACTGTGGCTGGATTAAAGCTGAGTCAGGGCAGAAGACTGGTCTTCCTGTCATCTGAAGGTAGTTCAGTTTAGTTCACTATCTCTGCCTCATAAACTCTTGGCTCTCCCTCTCAACCTCTTCACCATTCCTTCTCTCAGTCTCCTTGGGGGAGAAGACAAAAAAATTCAGTCCCCCTTGGCACAGGATTTTTTTGGGGGGTTAACAACATACCCCAGTTTGATTACTCAGTTTGACGGGGGGGCTGCAAAACGTGAGGTTTGCTCTGCAAAACCCTGCAAAACAACTGCAAAACTGTGGCACAGGTTTGGAGGGGATCCCAGATTTCGGGTTTAATGAAGTTCCTCTTCAGCAAAAATGTTTTCATTCTCAGCATCCCACGGGGGTAACTTTGGTGACAAACCATTTGATGAGAGTCTGAAAAAACTTACTGCAGGCTTGACCTAACAATATCCACTCAACTATCCACCTGATGACAACTAGGAATAACCTTTAGGTGACCAAGATAAAGAAATGTGTATATTGAGGCATTCAGGTATAGGTATAGGTGGGCTAGTAAAAATGTATGCAGATTCATAATTTCATAGACTTATATGCAAGGCTATGGGGGGGGGTGGGAGGAAGCTGTTGAAATCAGCACTAGCAACTTCCTAATCAGTGCTAGTTGACTAAAATTGAGAGAAGTGGGCTACTTGTATCTAGTCTGAAAACTTATCACAGAAATGATATTGAAATTAATATAATGCGTTTAGAACATGGGTATCAGGCTGCCTAATACCCAGTGGGGGAATGTGCTAATTTTGCTCTTTCGTTTTTCTCAGGAGCAAAGGGGAAAGGATGTATTTTCAACTTCTAGTTGACTTGTCAACTTCAAATGAAATGTCCAAATTAATATTTATGTGGCAAATAAATTTGCTATAGGTAAACAAGGATTCACATCTGACATTTAGCCTTCCACATGTTTGCTAAAGGAAACAAACAACAAGCTCAACTTCTGCGCAAAATGTGCAGTTGTCTTTAACTGTGGGGACTTCACAGTGTTCCCTACTTTCACCCTCAAGGATGTTTTCCTGTATTGTGGCTCCTCACCTAGTGCAGTGAAAACCTCTTTCTGACTCCTCTACAAACCAAAGATGTGAACCAGCCACGCTTCTCCCATCCCTCTCTGAGTGATCTCCTTCCCACACCCAATTGCCCATTGTTGCTTTATAATCCTTTGCTTTCTGTTCATCATCAAACTGAAGAGACAGAAGATGCAAGTGTACCCACTTGCCTCACCAAAGGTTCTGAAATAGGTTGAGAGGTGTTAAGAGGTGTTTGTTTTTGTTTTTTCTATGATCAGTTTAGTCTTCAGGACTATCACTCTCTCCATCTTGACAAGAGGATCTTTGTCCTTTTAACTGCTTCATAGCAAACAGAAATTCTTTTTTTTTAAAGCAGGTTCTTTTTTTTTTTACATTTTATTCACATTTATTTTTCGCTTTTAGTGTGCTCACAGAAAATTAAAATAGTTCATCATTAATACACATATACAACCATACAAACATACATTTCATACAATCCTTAAAAGTATTCAAACATACTTACACTCAATCCCACAAATAATTCCTTTCCCCATCACCATCCACCACCCCTCACCCCACCTTTGTGTTTGACTTCCAAGCAGATAGCAAACAGAAATTCAACAGGCACAGCTTTTTCTCGTCACTTCAACAACTTGCCAGGAAATTTTCACTTGTTGAATTTCTGCTTCTAGTGCAAATGCAAAGCTCTTCTGTTAAGAGAAAAAGCTACAATCCTAGAGCCCGAACAAAAAGAGTGTTCCTAGCCATATTGACGAGATACAGGCTGAGTCCTTTAAAAGAGGCCCCGTGGATACAGAGTACACATGTTCCACGGGGCCTCTTTTAAAAGACTCACCCTGTACAAGAGGTACAATGGCACTTCCAGCTCTAGCCTATTATGAAAACCAGATTTAAAAGGCTGCAATCCTAAATACCCTAGCAAGGGAGTAAGTCCCACTGAACAAAGAGGAACTTACTTCTGAGTAGACATGTACAGATCACAATGGAAGGCCAGAATCAGATGCAAGACCATGAAATGGGTATTTTCCCTTATCTCCCCTTAATATCTTATGGAAATACATGACAGAATGACATCGCACTGTGCATTCCTCTACCACCTCTCAACAATACTAAAGGTAAAGGGACCCCTGACCATTAGGTCCAGTCGTGACCGACTCTGGGGTTGCAGCGCTCATCTCGCTTTATTGGCCAAGGGAGCCGGCGTTTGTCCGCAGACAGCTTCCAGGTCATGTGGCCAGCATGACTAATCCGCTTCAGGCAAACCAAAGCAGCGCACGGAAACTCCGTTTACCTTCCCGCCAGAGCGGTACCTAGATAACTACTTGCACTTTGACGTGCTTTCGAACTGCTAGGTTGGCAGGAGCAGGGACCGAGCAACGGGCGCTCACCCTGTCGCGGGGATTCGAACCGCCGACCTTCTGATCGGCAAGTCCTAGGCTCTGTGGTTTAACCCACAGCGCCACCCATGTCCCTGGTGGGTGCCTGGGCCTGGGGCAAGAAGAAGAATACATAACATAATATGCTTCCATAAGTATATCTATATTAAGCAATTAACAAAAATGTATCTTTTAAAGATTTGTTTCTAAACTGCTGTGCATAAATTTATATCTATTATACATTCTGTTTATTGTACACAGCTGTGCAAACATTTGTTGAGAAGGAAATTTGTGTATTCTTAAATATAATATTATTGAGAAGAGGAGGGTGAACTTGTCACAGACTCTGAGTATTTAGCAGCAACCTATGTTTGGCATGACATTTAGTTCTGTCTCAATCCTAGGACCATTTTCTTCTCAGGCACCATTTACAGGCTCAGATTCTGAGTGAAAGACTCTGGCACCCTTCAAATATGGATTGTTAGCTTTTTCATAATGTCAGTGAAACCTTGATTCACAAACTGTCAATCCAGATTAATATCCAGTATTAGTTGACTACCAACCTAATAAACTGTGTTAGTAGAAAATCTGAATGAGCTTCAACCACTGTGATGCTATGAACCTTCGATCACTTCACATCACTTCACACCTAATTAGGAACGTGTTAAAAACACTGAGATTTGAAGTGCTATTGTGCAGAGTTACTGTTAGCATGCCACATTATTTGCTGCCAAATCAAATACATGGTTGGCACATTTATAAGGATATTCACTCCATGTTTCAAATATTCTGTTTAAATTATCTGAAGAACCCACAGGAATCGTTCATTATACAAATTGGCTTATTTAACTGGTGTTTTAGATATCTAATAGGACCTGAAAAAACAATTAGCAGAAACTAGAGAATTGTTAGATTTGGCGGCAGAGAGGACCCATCAGCCTAGGAGGCCTGAGCCTCTTTACTTTTTTTTACATAAAATACTGAAGGAAGCTTGTGTTTGGCAAACAAGCATCCAGGTTTCTGACTCTACTCAATTCTAACTAAACTCGGCTTTCTTAAAGGGCCAGCCTTCCATACAGGCATTTTTGCATTCTGTGGTGTGTTACCGTCACCTTGAAATGGCAAGATACTGTGGGAGGCAGTATCATGTTCCTCTGGTTGAGGGATCCAGTTCTATGGATTCTGGTGCTGTAACATTAGAGAGACCTCTTTGCCATCCTCTGGTTCAAGGAAGAAGAAGAAGAGGAGTCTGGATTTGATATCCCGCTTTATCACTACCCGAAGGAGTCTCAAAGCGGCTAACATTCTCCTTTCTCTTCCTCCCCCACAACAAGAGGTGAGTGAGGCTGAGAGACTTCAGAGAAGTGTGACTGGCCCAAGGTCACCCAGCAGCTGCATGTGGAGGAGCGGAGAAGCGAACCCGGTTCACCAGATTACAAATCTACCGCTCTTAACCACTACACCACACTGGCTGTACTGCCAGGGCTTTTCTTCAGCTGGAACTCACCAGAACACAGTTCCGGCACCTCTCATGTAGCTACTATTGCCATTATAAGAAAACAAGGGAGGAGTCCACGCACCTCTTTTTCTAGAAAAATTGCACTGGTTACCTTCATTCACAGCATGAGGCTCCTAGTCAGGAACCAGATCTTACTCTAGCCTCCGACTTGGTGCCTTGGTAAATGCTAGACTGTGGGGTCATGACATGAATGTGTGGCTCCACCTCAGAGAACCCCTAGGTAAGAGGGTAACTACTGCAGAACTTCTCATACTTTCCATCTAAAAAAGCTGAACAGTAGACCTAAAAATTAGGTTTCCACTAGTAAAATGCATTAGAAAGATGGTAAATTAGCATAAATCCAGAATTCCTGAGAGTGTAGAGATATTTTCAGAAGACAAAAATCATCCCAATTTAGCTACACCCTCATTAAATGGAGCTGCTCCAGGCAGCCTGCTTTCTTAAAACTCATTTCTCCCTTGATGTTAATCACCACAGAACAATGCTAAGCAATTGTCCAGGTTTGTAAAAACCTAGCTGTTTCACAAAGGATGAATTCGGTTCACAGTCATCCTTGTTTAGCAAGAAGGCAATACAATCTGGCCAATTATTAAATGGCAGAAAATGAACGAGAATCTTATATTAAACTAATAAGGAATAAGAGAATAAAGAAACTGAAGGTTGTAATAGCGCTTTCAGACAAATACTGTATTCTGGAATGGTGATGGTTTGAAGGCACATGACACAGTTCTATAGCTCCTAAGTTGCTTGGATGGGAGACCACCTGGAAATGGCATTTGAGCTATGCTCACATATGCCAGGAAGACATACTATGAATTATTGTTTCCAAAATCATATATATAATTGATGCAATACCAACTTAAGCAAGCTACTTAAGAAGTTTATAAGAAACTGACCCCCTGATTTAAAATTTGGACACAAATGGAAAGTTCTATTGTACTTAAATTCCAGTTTGTGGCATTTAGTTGGCCACTGTGAGAACAGAACACTGGACTAGATAGCCCTTTCGTCTTATCCAGCAGGGCTCTTCTTACATTCTTAAGGCTGCAATCCTACATCCACTTACTTGGAAATAAGCCCCACTGAACTCCATGAGGCTTACTCCTGCATGGTACAGTGGTTAGAGTGTGAGACTAGGACCTGGGAGACCAGGGTTCAAATCCCCACAGGCCATGAAGCTCACAATGCACCTTGGGCCAATCACTGCCCCTCAGCCTAGCCTACCTGACAATGTTGTTGTATAGATTAAATGAGGAGGGGGAGAACAATGTGTGCAACCTTGCGCTCGGGGGAGGGGGAGAGGTGGAAGAAATAAAAACAAAGCACAGGTTTAAAGCTGATTTTAAAAGGAAATATTCAGTTTGTCCAGAAAAAAAGAGAGGCCCTACTCTCCTGCAGATATAGAGATTTCAATGAGGCTTCAAGAAACAAAAGGCTTGCAAATGGCCTTGCACCAAGGGCGCAACCCACCAGGAAGCTCTCCTGTGTAGCTGCCATTTATTTTAATCACTTAATGAGCCTTGTGCAAGACAATTTTCCAGGAAAGCGTATTCTAAGAGCAGTGTTATAAACTCAGATATATAAGCTAGGCGCCAATTGCCAAAACGAATGTCTAGTTCTCATTTTGGGGCCAGGCGGCTTGAAGGTCGATTTATTCAATACAACTTCATGGTTCTTAAAATTTGTTCTGATTGTGCAGATAAAATATCACAGACTTCTACAGGATGTGTTTTAAGTGTGTGAAAACAGGCAAGATCCAAGGATCACCAGGCATGCACCTCCAGATAGTGGAGACATCAGGCGCCATCCTGGTGGCAGGGCATCTTCACTTGATCACAAGTGGCGCTGGTGCCTGGTGAATTTCGAACACTGCCTACAAGAAATCCAAATTATCTCATGCTGGACCTAAGCATCTACCACGCCTTTTGCATACTGGGTCTACCTCATGAATAGACACCAATTCTTTCCACCAGCCAAACCATCTTTAAAAGATAAATGTGCATCCCAGGCAAACTAAGCACCAATGAAGAGAGGTAGGCCTACCATACAAACAATGCCATATGTAATCGAAGGAGTATGTGGGTACATCATCAATTAGCATCTTTTCAGAGTGCAACATTTCAGCATTCACACTATCATAGGGCTATGACAACTAACACCACCTGTTGCTTGCTAGGACATCTCAAACTCAAATGGCTATCACTGAGTACTTTTTTTTTGGTATCCTGTAGCATCTCTGGAGAATGCAATAGCTTTGTTTGCACACATAACACTTTTTCAACCCTGAAGTTTGAGATCAATTAACATATCTGGCACTTGCATGTGGGTAAAACCACCTAACCCTGAATAAACATACTCTCCAAAAACAATGGCACATGTTAAATGATCAGCAGCAAGTTACTCAAAAAGTAGCATTCATACTTACGAAGAATGAAACTGAGCAATGCACTTAAAACATGTAGGTTTCTATAGTGTATTCAGAAATCTTATCTTGGCAACCGAAATTTTTAACTATTGCAGATCAAAATATTTTTGAGCTGAAAAGTAACACTCATGCACTTTCCTAAAGATGAAAGAGCAGTTTGCATTAGTTCTGAATTATATATCACTGCTATTAATAAGGAGGTAAAGCAGAATGCTCTGTTTGGTTTTACCAATTGACCTGATATGAACCCATGCATATGGATATATGGCAACCTACTCACCCGAATTAAATATTTCTGATCCTAGGATTGAGCAATGGGTGTTAAAAGTAGCTGCAACAGAAAAAACTGTCATTTTTTTGGTATTTGATTTTAGAATGTGATTTGCCAGGTAAGCCTCCATCAAACAGTGCTTAATTGGGGGGGGGTTCCCCTAAAAGCTGACGACTTGGAAGTAGATTACTGGGGTACAGATGTGGTCAACATCAATATTTGCTGTGGAACACAGAAAGGCAACCATTTTCAGGCAGAAGAGGAATAAAGAAGACTATATTTCAGCCTCAAGCACTATGTTATAATGCATAGGTTTTGAATCAAGCCCTTAGGGTAGCTTCCCATGAATCCCTCCCACCTCTGGAAAGTATCAAGAACATACAGTATTGACCAACCCATGCACTCAAAAACTGCATCTTACTAATTCGTCAATACCCTTGGCAACAGTTTCTACTTCAGAGTCCTTCTATTCACAGCTCCCAATGTGGGCTGAAGCGTTCAGATTTGGAGTACGTGGCTCCAGATTTCACACTATCAGACACACGTAAATAGAAACAATTGCACAGCTTTGGAACAGCAGCAGATAGAAGCAGATTTGTGTGCATTTGAACTGTCTGATGACTCTTAAGAACAGCAAAATGTCGGGGGGTGTTTGGTTTGAAGGATATGTCTTCCAACATGGTATAACTGTAGAAGGCTTTCAATTGCATTTAACTGGTACAGCAGTTTCATTCTTGGTAGGTTTTATAGCCCTCAGCATTTATGTTTATACAGAACCACCCTGAGAAAGCGCCTTGAGGGCAACAGCTCTCTAAACAAGTGTTTCCCTGACTTGGGTCTCTAGCTGTTTTTTGAACTACAACTCCCATCATCCTAGCTAGCAAAACCAGTAATCAGGGATAGGGGGAATTGTAGTCTGGAAACAGCTGGAGATCTAAGTTTGGGAAAACACTGCTCTAAACCAAAGTCCACTGCCAAGACTAATGGGTTCTTCACTTTCACCTATGAGACTAGTCTGGATGACCTTGGCTGCTCATCCCTACTTTATAGTCACTGACACACAAGATCATTATAAAAGTTCAGGTAACATACAGCATACTAGTAATTTATTGCTGAAGTTTCCTGTCCTTTATTGTGACTAACCCATTGGTAGTCAACTTGTGGAGTGGCATGATCAGCTTGGATCTGTGGCACTCTTGGATAGGAGCAAGTCATCTCATGCAACCAGCTGTGGCACAGATATATCTGATTAATATCTAAACTAATAAAAAGATAAAAACGGAGTCAGTCCGGCACTTCTGCCAGCTCCCAAGATCAGTAGAGGCAGCAGCATCTCAACATACATGGGAGGGAGGCTGTATATGTACTTTGGTGCGTAGCAGAATGGTACCATTTTGATCTTGACTTGCCACACTATTGCCAAAAAGGTTGACAATCCATGAAAGCACTAAAAGCTCAAGGCCACTACAAACAGGACAAGAGTCCTACATGAGAAGCACTTCAATCCTGGAACTAGAATGCAACCTGGGTATATTTCACTACACACATTTGTGGCATATAGACCTATGATCAAACAGTGTCAAACCTTTTTGGTAACTCTCTCTACAAACAAGTTCAGAAGTACAAGAAAACTCTACTGTGTGCAAAACTACACATGCTACACGTACAGCCACACACTCTGTACTTCAAGTTGATCCATCAAGCTAGGGAACTGGCAGGAGTCCATGCATGATAGTTGCATGTTGTTTCATATTTGGAAATGTTTCTCACATAGAAAATTTCTCACATTTGATGTGACTCCTGCTTTCTGACTATACCTGGTGAGATGACAACATTTGTTCTACTTCCATGAACGACAAATAATTACAGTGACAAATGACACATCTGTGAGTGGCACCTTACTTAACACCACCACTTCATTCCCACTGAACATTAAATTCATTTAAAATAAACTGGAGGTGGACAAAAACTTCCTTAAAAATAATCTCAAGTGGAATAAAGCTTCTCAAGCATTTTTTTAAAGAATAAAACTCTCTGATAAGAACTTCCCAAAGCGTAATCGCTGTTATCTTCCAAACTCACAGAATTTTTAAAAGCTGGTGTTGCTGTTAGAAGGTTGATCTTAACTTTATAAACACTGGAATCAAGGGCCATTCACAAGGGTCATATCAGAGGGGATAATAAAAGGTATCTGTTCACAGCAGCTCAACCACATATCTAAGAGAGGAGCATTCATCCTTGTCAAAGCAGTGACAGGGTTTTTTTAAAAAAATATACGATGACAGGATTAAGGACATCAGAAAGGAAAAAGTTGCAACTGTCTGGGGATTGGTTCTGGGAGTGAGAAATTATACTCTACTTTTCTCTCAGTTTATTTGAAGAATGAAGGCGCAAGCCAGAAGTAAGTTTTACCACTTCATTCTGCTGATGGCTTACATTATTCCATCAACAGAGAATTGCTGAGGAAAGTGGTGCTAAGATCACTTGTTGGAATGGGGAAAGTTATATGACATGGAGGGAAATGTTCTACCAGGAGAGGTGCTCTGCTATGGGGTTTTCATATATATGTACAAAAGTATTTGTATGGTGAGCACATGGGAAACAGTGGCTCATTTTTAAATTTACTTTTTACATGTAATAGCTGGAAAACCTGTCTTACTCAGAATTTGAGGGAGAAAAGTGAATAAAGGTAAAGGTACCCCTGCCCGTACGGGCCAGTCTTGACAGACTCTAGGGTTGTGCACTCATCTCACTCTAGAGGCCAGGAGCCAGCGCTGTCCGCAGACACTTCCAGGTCATGTGGCCAGCGTGACGAAGCTGCTCTGGTGAGCCGGCACCAGAGCAGCACACGGAAACGCCATTTACCTTCCCGCTATAAAGCGGTACCTATTTATCTACTTGCACTTAAGGGTGCTTTCAAACTGCTAGGTGGGCAGGAGCAGGGACCGAACGCCGGGAGCTCACCCCGCCGCGGGGATTCGAACCGCCGACCATGCGATCGGCAAGTCCTAGGCACTGAGGTTTTACCCACAGCGTCACCCGCGTCCCTGTAGAAAAGTGAATAAATATGCTTAATTTCTTCCCTCAATCATTTTTATAAAAAAACAACAACAGGGCATTCTTCAATATTTCTATTCAAGCCAAAAGCCTTTTCATTTTAATGTTACAATATTCTCAAAGTGAACCAACCTGCTTCACAGAAAAGGAGTGCCTTGCAGTCCAGTCCTATGAATAACTGAGCTCTGGCAAGCAGCTTCAATATCAGGTAGAATTTGGTGGCACCAGCAAGACTTTACACCCAAGGAGTTTGGCTACTGGCTGCTGTCGGCCAATCCAAGACACTGCGGCAGAGGGGCAGCCTAACAACAATGCACTAACCAACCATTCCTTAAGAGCAGGGGTCAGCAAACTTTTTCAGCAGGGGGCTGGTCCACTGTCCACTGTCCCGCAGACCTTGTGGGGGGCCGGACTATATTTTGGGGGGAAATGAACGAATTCCTATGCCCCACAAATAACCCAGAGATGCATTTTAAATAAAAGGACACATTCTACTCATGTACAGACACGCTGATTCCTGGACCGTCCACAGGTCAGATTTAGAATGCGATTGGGCCGGATCTGGCCCCCGGGCCTTAGTTTGCCTACCCATGCTTAAGACACTATGCAACAGCTTCATGCAAATGCCTTTCACAGGTGAAATGTGGTTGAATCTGGACCACAGCAGAGGTGGGCTGCATATAAAATTCAGAAGATTTTATTCGTACAGTCCCCTGTCTCCCTTTGGGGCTACCACAGAGCCAGCTATAGCTGAATAAGCCTGAGTGCCTGAAATATGATAGTAACTGGCTGTAATGGGAGTTCAGCTGACAGGCAATGTTACAAGACAAACCTGCCCTACTTCCCTCACCTAGGATGGATGTCACTAAGGCTGCATCGGTCCAAGCCACTTTCTGCACCAATCACAGCTACACAGAACTGAAGTGCTTGAATGTAACAAAAACCAGCATGACAATCACATTTTCAACCATGCGATGTATGGGTGTGCACTTTTAGAGACTTGCACTTTTAATTTCACTAGTTGAAGACACGAAGTTCTTTGTATTAAATCTATCTGAGCCACTTGCCACTCCAAAGCCAGATTACCATGGCTAATATCAAACAGCTCTATTGCAAACAACTATTTGTTTGTTTATTAAATGTGTATACCTCTCTTCATCCGTAAATCTCACGGCGGCTCACAACATAAAAAATACAATATAAAAAATATATAATAAGAACAAGAACAAAAATAAACCAATAATCCTCCTTCCCACAACACATTTAAAAGTGTATTGGATGTTTATCAGCCCAAGGCCTGGCAGAAGAGGAACGTTTTTGACTGGCACCTAAAGGTGTATAATGCAGGCGCCAGCACATAAATGGTACCTGAAAATGAAGTTAGCATAAAGACTTGCAATGCTAAGTTGAAAGTATTTTCACACTAAGATTTGGCTATTTGGGGTAAAATTGGTCAAAAGTGAACTTTGATCTTTTCTATCACAAAGCAAGTGCAAATAGGCTATTAGTACTACGTATATAGATTAAATCAATGGTTTCATAGGCTTATCAGAGATTCTTTAATCAGAAGATCAGCAATGACAGGTCAGTTTGCTTAAATAAATAACTTGCCCACTACTGCCAATCTTCCCCTCTAATGTGCAGACACAGAACCCTCTGCTAAGAAGTATTCTCTGTTTGCAGAGAACTATGATGAAGCCCAACAGCCCTAACAAATGCTCTTGAAGAACAGATTGTTAACACCAGACACACCCCAGAATCTTTTGCAAACCAACAGTGGCTCCCTAGTAGACATGTTGACATTGAAATGGTAGCAAACTTGAAAACTCTTGGCTAAGGCAACTTCTGGCATCACTGCAGTATATGTTAGCTCCATTTCTACCCTTGATAAATTTTAGCAGCCTTAAGATCACTTTGCAAGACATTACAGAAAGAGGCGCAGGTTCTGCACTGTATGCATGGATAAAAATCACACACATAATGTTCCCAAACATTATGGAGAAGAAGCAGATACGTACAAAAGTTAACACATACCAGCTTCTGTTATGTGAAGCAGCTGTCAGTATATTTAAATAAGATCTCTCTTAGGTGTAAAGTTTGGCTATGACCTAGCAAAAAGCTTCTTAAGTGTCAGTAATGTCTTCCGCACGGTAAATACCTTTGTGAAACAGGTCATCACAGGTTAGAAGCAAAATAGAGCTTCTGAATCAGGGGTAACAGAAAGCCTGAATTACAGTTTTAGGCTGAAGCTCAGCAAAAGAGCAGGGACCAAAGATGTTGTAACGGCATCATCCAGTGCCCTCCCCCCAGGCTGTGCTGGCAGAGTGGAAGTGAATGCCATCCACTTCCAAGCTTTTTTAAAATGTGACTTTTTTCATTTCCCTCCCACTGTTTTCAAAGAGAGGGAGAGGTTCAGACACACTCAGAAACATATCTAGCTTTCCCCTGGGTTTGGGGGTTTAGTAGGAGACCAGGATGACTTAGGATCTTTTGGATATCAGCAACTTCCCAGAATCCCCCCTATTTGGTCCTTTCCATGTCAGAGCTCTCATCAGTTGGGCCAGGGCATCAGAGAGGAGGCTCAGACATCTGCTCTCCCCACCTGACATCAGGTAGAGCTATTGCATCCTTCAGCCCCTGAGACACTGTCCCAGGACCGTAGGAATGCATAGAAAGATACTATGAAAATATAATCAGATAACAAGGAGAAATATATATATGGATAACTTCAAGGATAAGCAGACATATAAAGTTAAACACTGCTAGAAAAAGGGTATAAAAATACATTTGGAGTCTAGATTTAAAAGTGTAGCTTTACCTTTAAAGCACACATTTTCACACACCATTGCATTTATTAAATAATATAGCAAGCATTTTGAACTAGAAATACCAATTCTTGCAGGAAGATTTAGGGCAATTTATGTGGAGCATATGAAAATCTAGAGCCCACTTGTAATTAGTTATGAAGATGTATCTATTTATCACCAAATCCTAATCACATTCCCACAGCATTTACAAAACTGAAATTCCAACATGATAAAGTGATTTTAACAAATCCAAGTTAAACTGAACTTCAAGCCACAAAAGTGTGTTTCTTCAATTACACCCCAACACTAGAAGTACAGATCTCAAGTTCACAACACACTAGCCTGAGGTAAATCATGTTTGCATCACGTTATCTCCTACTTTTTTTGACAGTGCACCCATCCCAGAATAGCAGAGCCACTCAAAATAATTTCTGAAACAAAATTCTTTAGTTATCAATAGCACTATATATAGTTCATCTCAACTACGGATTTGATCACCTCTCCTATTGCTTCCATCAAAGGAGGTCTTAAAACTATTTACTATGTGAGAACATTTGGCTAAATTGCTGGACATGAACTTCCTTAATGGCAAAATCAAGAAGAACTCTGAGAAGTATCAAATAGTGGAGTGGAGAATTCAGAAACAAACAAAAACAATACTTCATTACAACAAGTAACACTCATATAGACACCTGAGGCCATGAACACCTTGAGAGCCCAGGCTGCTCCGATGTGGGCAAGCTTCAAGTTAGTTACTTGCTGATACCAAGCCCAGACTTCTGCAGATCAACTTGAGAGACTCACAACTATGCAGTAACCTTAAATTGCGCCAGGGCGAAATCCCCAATAAAACACAGCAAACCACACTTTCCCCCTTTTTCTTTTCTTTTTGTACACCATCAAACCCATGTGGCAGCCTTCCAGTTTAAACTGCACTTGGGCTATGGGAACCACCATAGTACAAGCAAGGCGCCGGTGTGAACCAGCCCTTAGTCACCACACAAGCAGAGACTACTCCTTGGCACAACTTGGGGGCGGGGAGGTGGGTTGAGAAAGCAGATAAAATCAATGGTAGCTTTTCAATGCAAGGTATTTAAATCCTTTTAAAAGAGAGAGAGTGTGTGTGTGTGTAAGGGGAGTTACACATTTCTGAAAGATCTAAGGACCCCTTCCACTTTTGGAGGGGTGGGTGGGGAGGCAAATCGCCATGGGGAAGAAGACTTATTATTATTCCTAAAACCAGCTTATGATTTGTGGGGAGGAGGGCTATAATTACCAGGAGTGGGGTAGAAGGAGAAAGTGTCCAACTCTGGATCAGGAAGACCACCACCACCACCCTTTCCCTGGAGGGCATTTGCTGCAGTCGCAGAAAGTTGAGGACGCGCATACCCTTCAAACCCACCTCCCCAATTCCCTCTCCTTTTTTCTTCTCTTAAACCAACACCTCCCCTTGACATAGACAACCCCCCCCCAAAAAAAAACCACACACACACCCCAAACCACAAAATCCCAGAGGTGTGTGTGGCGAGGAGGGAGCAGGAGCTTTTGGCCCTCCGCACCTCTGGCACATCCACCTGCCCCCCTCCCCACCTGCCCCCCTCCCCAATAACAACCCCCTTCCTGCCGAGGGAAGCAGGGGGCGGCCCCGGCACGCGAGGCGTGTTTTGGGGGTGAGGGCGCGGGGGGTGGTCTCCCCTCACGGCCGCCCCCCAAAACACCTTTGGCCCACAGGCGGGAGGGAGGGAGGGAGGGAGTCAGCCCTCGGCGGGGGCCTCCGCCGTAACTCCGGGCAGGGAAAGGAGGCGAGAAGGGGGAGAAGACACTGACCTGGCTGGGGGGAGAAGGAGGAAGAGGAGGAGGAGGAAGCAGCAGCAGCAGCAGCAGCAGCAACGAGGACGGCGCCGGCCACGCGGGTGGGGTGGTGGGGGAGGGAGCCCGCTCCCCTCAGACACACTCGCCGGTGGGGAATATTTATTTTTTAAATATATATATATATATATATGCAGATATGGAGACAGACGTGTGTATATGTGTATCTATATATATCTATATATATATATATAAACAGAACCCGGAGAAGGTTAGAATGGGGGTGGGGGGGGAATTATTCCGGTCGGGAGTTAGTACAACAAAGAGGCGGAAATAGCCGAGCGGAGCCGAGCGCGCCCGAGCGGGGGCGCCGCGAGCCCCGGAGCATGCGCGCTCGGGACGGACCGAGCGCGCGCCGCCTCGCCACCACCACCACCAGCAGCAGCAGCGGCAGCAGCGCGGCGGCTGGTGCCGGTCGGCGGCCAAGTCCCTCAGACCTGGGCAAAGGGAACCTTCGGCGGGGGGAAGGGGCGGGGCCTGGCAGGGGCTGGCGACGCCCACCTGAGGGGAGGGGGAGTGTCGGAGGGCGAGAGGACCTTTAACGCACACGCCCCCCTCCCCACGCACGCGGGCGCGCGCACCTTCCGTTCCCATGGCGACGGGCTGCTGCTTCTGGGCCCAGGTCGCGGCTCGCGCCCTGATCGAAGTGGGGCTCCCCCATATTCACGACACCCGCGTTTCTTTGCCACTCGCTTTTCCACGCTGGCAAGAACGCCATACAGCAATGTTAAATCGACAGCTGCTGTTGCCCTGTTGCCTAGCGGGTTTCTTTTTTTCCCCCTCTAGCGCGTCAGCAAAATGTTTTGGAAACTCTTAATAAAATAAAATAAAAACTCAGTCACGCTTAGCGAGGTCTTGGGTATAACTAAGAAGACTTAGGGCAGAGCTTCCCAAGTTTTTCGTCTCGGCGACACTTTTTAGACATGCACCATTTGTCCACACAGTAATTCAGTTTTACTAACAAATCGGAGGTTAAGCTAATATCCCTTATAAAAGCGTTCGCGCGACGCACCTGCACACTGCAGCCGACACACTAATAATGTGTCACCACGCACAGTTTGGAAAGCTCCAACTTAGGGGCTTACAGAGCGACTGCATCCCCACACCAAGATGAATTGCTGTTTGAGTCCCACCCCAGTTCATACATTTTCTGGCTACTTCTCTGTGACTACACATAGAACTGTAGAATTGTAGAGTTGGAAGGGTCCCTGAGGGTCATCTAGTGCAACCCCCGGCAATGCAGGAATACAGTGGTACCTCGGGTTACATACGCTTCAGGTTACAGACTCTGCTAACCCAGAAATAGTGCTTCAGGTTAAGAACTTTGCTTCAGGATGAGAACAGAAATCGTGCAGCGGCAGCAGCGGGAGGCCCCATTAGCTAAAGTGGTGCTTCAGGTTAAGAACAGTTTCAGGTTAAGTACGGACCTCCAGAACGAATGAAGTACTAAACCCGAGGTACCACTGTATCAGCAAAGGCATCCCTGACAGATGGCGATTCCACCTCTGCTTAAAAACCTCCAAGGACTCTGCAACCTCCCAAAGGAGACCATTCCACTGTCGAACAGCTCTTACTGTTATAAAGTTCTTCCTGATGTTGAGTTGGAATCTCCTTCCTTGTAGCTTGAAGCCACTAGTTTGGGTCCTACCCTACAGAGCAGGAGAAAACAAGGTTGCTCCATCTTCCATGTGGCAGCCCTTGAGATATTTGAAGATGGCTATCATATCTCCTCTCAGTCTTCTCCAAGCTAAACATACCCAGCTCCTTCAACCGTTCCTCATATGGCTTGGTTTCCAAGCACTGCTGTAGTAACGTTTGGGAAAGAGCCACATTGAATGGAACTGATTCCATGTGTCCTCCATGTGTGGCGAGTTGTGTCCCCTCTCCCCTGCCACTTCTGCATCTGTATTCACTATCTGTCGTGGCAGTGGGTTAATCCTCTGCCAAGCACTCAATAACACCCACTGCTGCTGCTGGCATCCATCTCCTTTGGGTAGGGTTGCCATATGTCCAAAATTTCAAGGGTGAAATTAGCGCACAGTGGGAATTTTGAAAAATCATCAAAATGTCCGGGTTTTTGAAGGAGGAAGTGTGTAGAGTGGTACCTCTGGCTGCGAACGGGATCCGTTCCGGAGGCCCGTTCGCAACATGAGCAGAACGCAACCCGCATCTGCGTGTGTGCAGGTCACTATTCGCCGCTTCTGCGCATGCGCGTGACGTCATTTTCAGCGTCTGCGCGTGCGTGAGCGGCGAAACCCAAAAGTAACCCTTTCCAGTACTTCCGGGTCGCCACGGGATGCAACCTGAAAACGCTCAGCCTGAAGCAAATGTAGCATGAGGTATGGCTGTATTTGATTATCACTCTCCGCCTTTTTTGCTTTTCCTCCCCAAAAAGGCTCAACAACTGCTGCGATGCCCTGCACTGAAAGTATAAATTGTTCCACCAAGCTAAGGTTCCCCTTGGAGCTCCTGCGTGATTGGAGACTATGACTGGATTGGGGGGGGGGCAGGGAGAAAATGTCCCTGGATGTGCCTGCAAGTCTGGTTGTGTGGTTAGGGAACTGCACTGCTCAGTCTGTTGAGCATGAGACTCTTAATCTTAGGGTTGCGGGTTCAAGCCCCACATTGGGCGAAAGATTCCTGCATTTCAGGGGGTTGGACTAGATGACCCTCGTGGTCCCTTCCAGCTATACAGTTCTGTGATTCTATGATGGCTCCCTTTCCTTTGCCTCCAATGTGATTGCATCTGCTACACCACACAGGCTAGGCGTACAAGAGGTGAGGGGATGCATTTTCCCGCCTCGCCCTGGCAGGGATCCAACTTCCCTCTCCTGCTTTTCAAACCTTTGGCTTACAGAGTGAGTCACTTGAGGTTGCTGCTGTCAGTGGGTGTTTTGCAGCTCCTGTTTCTTGCCTGTCCTGGCCTTTCCCTCGTGCTGGTTGGCAAAAGGGACTTTCCCTCCCTTGGTCCCCTCTAGAACTCTCTTCCCAGCAGGAGCGCTCTGTGTGCTCCGACCTGGGGAGCCATATGGGTGCTGTGTTATGTAGGCTCCTTTTGGGTGCGTGGGGTCATAAAAAGTGGTTGTGAGTAGCGTGAAGTAAAGGTAAAGGGACCCCTGACAATTAAGTCCAGTCGCAAACGACTCTGGAGTTGCAGCGCGCGTTTGTCCGCTTCCGCAGACAGTTTTTCTGGGTCATGTGGCCAGCATGACTAAGCTGCTTCTGCTGAAACCAGAGCAGCACACGGAAACACCATTTACCTTCCCGCCAGAGTGGTACCTATTTATCTACTTGCACTTTGACGTGCTTTCAAACTCCTAGGTTGGCAGGAGCAGGGGCCAAACAACAGGAACTCACCCCATCGCAGGGATTCGAACCGCCAACCTTTCGATCGGCAAACCCAAGCGGCACAATGGTTTAACCCACAGCGCCACCTGCGTCCCTGTGGGTAGCATAAATGGGTTCAAACTCCAACCTTTAGGATTCCTGGGTGTTGACAATACTGGGTCATCGCTGGCTCTGGTATTAGTGAATTTGGGGCACTGGTCTCATTTTTTACATTTATTTTCCAAATTTTTATTTTTTACATGTTGTGAAGTGTCCTCAGTCTTACGAGTTCATTCATTTATTTGTGAGCAGCATCCTTGACAGAGTTCCAGAAAGGCAGACTTTGGTAGCTTCCAGGGGCTCTGGGATGTTTGTGCCTGAGTTTTCCTGTGTTGCAATTTCCCCCTTCACCTCCAGGGCTGGGCAGGTATAGCCTACATAAGCTGCGTCTCCCATCCACTGGGGAAAATAAAATAAAATTATTATTATATAGGATTGCTTGGAAAGGACACACACTTACCCTGGCCATGCTTTCCTGGGAGTAAGTGCTCAGATAGGCTTACTTCTGAGCAGAGAAACAGAGGGTCGCACTGTAAAGCATGTATACCCTGCCTTTTCAACAACTGCTCAAGAAGGCAGCTTGGAAAACCATAAAACATACATAACTTTTAAAAAATCGTAAAAGCAATGGCAGTAATGCAGCTGCATCAAATTTTAATTTTAACATTGATTCACGATGTCGAATCAAGACCTATGTACTATGTATTTGCCTCTTTCTTTTTTTAAGTGGTTAATATGCCCTCTGCCAATAGTAATGTTGCTGCATTAGTGAGCTATTTTCCAGTTGTGTGTTTAATAATTGAAATCATGTGACACACAAATCATTTCACTAGAGTCACAATATACTCCTTGATATTCTGTTTGATAATCCCATTTAGCTCTGTTATGCCTGCAATAGACTTCAGCACATTGTGGCGGAGAGGGGGTGTAATTTGAATTTTAACTTCACAACAAGCCAGAGAGGTAAAGTCGGATGGAAGGCAGCAATGTGTCTTCTGTGGGGATTTGAATTCAGGTCTCCCTAGTCCAAATCTAGCTTGCTGTTTCATTAAGCCACACAGGCTATCCTAGATAATGTTATATCTCTGCCAGCCTTGAGATTTTACTTTGCTGAAGAGTAGAGATATTTAGACTATTTAAAGCTATGGTTTTCCCTGTAGTGATGTATGGAAGTGAGAGCTGGACCATAAAGAAGGCTGATCGCCGAAGAATTGATGCTTTTGAATTATGGTGCTGGAGGAGACTCTTGAGAGTTCCATGGACTGCAAGAAGATCAAACCTATCCATTCTGAAGGAAATCAGCCCTGAGTGCTCACTGGAAGGACAGATCCTGAAGCTGAGGCTCCAAGACTTTGGCCACCTCATGAGAAGAGAAGACTCCCTGGAAAAGACCCTGATGTTGGGAAAGATGAAGGGCACAAGGAGAAGGAGACGGCAGAGGACGAGATGGTTGGATAGCGTTCTCGAAGCTACCAGCATGAGTTTGACCAAACTGCAGGAGGCAGTGGAAGACAGGAGTGCCTGGCGTGCTCTGGTCCAGGGGGTCACAAAGAGTCGGACACAACTAAACGACTAAACAACAACAAATATGCTAAGTTAAAATATTGCAAGAGTCTACAGAGCTATCACTACAATTAAGAAAACTTGAAATGGTTTGGACTGGTTTGGATGCCTTGGTTCAGTCCCTTTACAATTCTGTCTGCACTGTTAAAGGGTCTTTCATTCTTACTTCCAACCCATCACACAATTCCAAAGGTGTAGGCATTCTGCTCAGGAGGACAATACTGAGAGCTGCCGAGTTAATCTCTAACCATTCATTTCCTACCTCTCAAGCCTAAACATTCTCATGGAGTTTGTTATGTTCCCAGGTATTTTATTATTGTTATTATTAAGATAAGAAGCCACAGAAAAAGCCGCCATTCACAGCACTTACAGTGCAACTTCTGCATTATACTATTTTCGCGTTGCATTTCTTGCAAAAGCAATTGATCCTGTTATTTCCCTGCTTTTCTCCTTCAGGCAGCCAAACACTAAGGGCAGAATGACTCCACAAACTAATATACATTTTCCTCCAAGGGTCCTATACAGCCGAGATGCTGAGTTTGTTTGTCTTTTTTCTATTAGTAACTCTCACTTCACAGAATTATAGTTCCCAGGCTTTCCCAGAAAGCAGGGGAGACAATTAAAGCAGTTTAGGCCTGTCCAATAGAGAGTGTAGTAGATATTCTGAGTATGAGATAAGCCATTTGACACTATCCCTCATGAATAGTCCTCTCCAGGATAAAAGGGTTCTTTACCCAAGAGGCAAAGCTACCTGCTTCCAATCCCATCACCATCTGGCTTTGATTCTTGCCCAGAAGCACACCTGGGAATTGTAACTCAAACTGGATCTTCCAACACACATTTAAGACATGAGAAGGAACCCTCTGGGGCTGCTTCCCTGTTAGGATGGTTTTCTAGCAGAAAGTTGGGGGAGGGGGCATTGCCAAATAATATTTATTAGTTTTCCAATTTTTTAGTGAATCAATACCAAATTTAATACAATTTTCCCCCAAAAGTTGAGTTCCCACCCTTCATCCCAGATGTGTCCCTACTTTCCCCCATTGCTGCTTGGTATTACATATTTATCTCTAATTCACATTTCATTCCTTATATTCAATTTGCCATTATTAATTTCCTAATTTTCATTTGTCCTTGCCCCTTATCCATCAGCCATCAATTTATCGATTCCTGCTCGTATATTTACATAGCAATATCATATTCCCTTAGAAAACAGAAGAGGTTATACTGTACATCCCCCTGCCTATCCACTTTAAGTCATTGCTTATTATTTCTATATTAATTCTCCTTTCTTTTCATCTTGCGTGTGCTGCCGTCTGCGTCGATCTTGTCCACTGCCCTTCACTTCTCAAGTAGTTGTTCATCTTCACTTTTACCCGTCCACATTCCGCACAGCCAGTGTCCATTTCCTGTCCAGCTCCAAATTGTTTTGCAAGTCCTGTTCTCTCCGCAGCGTTTGTGCTCTATTATCTGCCGTAAGATTATTTCTCAAGGACAGCCATCTGCTATTAGCTCTAAACAAGCAGAGCTCTCTTCTTGCAACCCAACAAACCCTCGTTGCAGAAACCAGCCCACAAAGCCCATTGGGGAGGAAGACCATCATTCCACGAAGACTTTAAAGCACTAACAAGGTCCCTTCCTGGCAGAAAGTTTTATTCATTCTCCCAAGGATGTTTTGTCAACTTCGGAACCAGGTCCTAACTTGTTGGCACTGTGCCCAGGGCCGGATTTAGGTTTGATGAGGCCCTAAGCTACTGAAGGTAATCGGGCCCTTTATATGTCCAGCTGTCCTTTGTCAACAACTATTTGTCACTCTTTTTTGTGTTGAATATATGCTATATGGTAATTTATGGACCTAATAGGTATCTAAAGCCATTTGCACACAACAAATTGGAGCCTACACAACACAAAACACTGTTGCTGTGTGCAGGTTTTATTTTATTTATTTTTTATCTTATATTTTGGAAATGTACATCCAGGTTTTTTTTCCTTTAAATTTTTTTGGTGGCCCACGAGAGTGTGGGGCCCTGAGCTATAGCTTGTTTAGCTTATACGTAAATCCGGCACGGACTGTGCCATTCAGATGGAGTCACAGCTGGTTGGAAAACCTTAAGAAGAGCCTACAGGATCAGGCCAAGGGCACATCTAATCTAGTACAGTGGTACCTCTGGTTACGTACGTAATTCGTTCCGGAGGCCCGTTCTTTACCTGAAACTGTTCTTAACCTGAAGCACCACTTTAGCTAATGGGGCCTCCTGCTGCTGCCATGCCGCTGGAGCAAAATTTCTGTTCTCATCCTGAAGCAAAGTTCTTAACCTGAGGTACTATTTCTGGGTTAGCAGAGTCTGTAACCTGAAGCGTATGTAACCTGAAGCATATGTAACCCGAGGTACCACTGTATCCTCTTCTCACAGTGGCCAACCAGATGTCTGTGAGAAGCCCACAAACAAGATGTGAGCCTTGCCGTAGCTTTTGTCTCTATCTACAAAGCAGAGAAGCAGGAGGAGCACAGCAGAGCAACGGCAGGCAAGAGGGCAGGTCTAATTCTCTGCCACAGCCAAGCTCAGAAACCCTCCTGGTTTTATCCAGGAACGTCACAACTTCCAGCCTCCCATTTCCTGATGGCTTTGTGTCTCGTGGCCCCGTACAGTAAGCCCTGGCGAATGTGGTTGCTCAACCAAATGC